GATACGCGTGCACGGAATATCCTGCGCGTGCGACGATTATGGATTAGGGGAGTGACTCGGCCGTTTAAAATTTATCTGTTAGATTAACAGCTGTTGTATCCTCATATTTCAACTCTCTGATATTCGTTAAAAGAGCACTGGTTCTTAAATCTTTGGATATTTTTGTTCAAATCCTTAAGTTCAAGTATTTCGATTATATTCTGAGAAAAATTTGCACATTAACTCGCAAGTATATAAAATACATACACACAATAGTTAAAAACATAACATATAATATACATACAACACAAATTTTATTTTATTTTTTAACTTTTATTGTTATTTTTAAGTTGAAATTTTAATTTTAATTTTTAATTTCTAATTTCAATTTTAATTTGAATAATAAATAAAAAACCACTCCTCAATGTTTAAAGTCGACCAGACTGGCAATAATTTATTATAAATAATTATTTGAAATACAACAACGTTTCGGCTGTCATTGCAGCCCTTTTCAAGTACATCAAATTTAAAACAGTAAATCAACTTCTATGCAAACTACCGACAATGTTAACGCTTATTTTGATGAACAATGCAAGACTGACAGAAGTAAGACATATTAAATAGATGTAACTGTTCGCAAGAATCTTAGTCACTGATCAAATATTATTTATAATAAATTATTGCCAGTCTGGTCGACTTTAAACATTGAGGAGTGGTTTTTTATTAATTATTACTGGCAACCTTAAGGATATTATTATTGAATAATAAACTTAAAATTTATTTTATTTTATTTCATGTATTTGATGAAAAACTTTATTTTTTTGAGTAATTGTATTTATTCGTATAAAACGTGGTTTAAGTACTTTTTAAATTGTTTATTGCACGAAGACGATACACAATGCTACAAACTATCAAGTAGTAATATAATTGATAATATTTTCGCCTTCGATTGTGTTGTGCTGTAAATATTCTGTTTCGATTAGGTTGTTCCGACGGATACACCCGACCGACGGGAGTAGGTTGTAAGTTATGATAGTTCCATTTTATGCAATCCGTGTGCTAGTTTTCGAAGTTGAAATTAAATATGGGTTGATATTTACACACAGTAGAAAAAATAAGTTTATTTCGTTTTATAATTGTCTTCTTTACACATAGATAAGTTATTTTCAACAATTTTAATGAATTGTTTAAATAGCAAGTTAATCTCTGGAGAATAGGTAATAATGCTATCGACTACGCTGATTTCAATAATATTATAATATTTTACATCATAATTATGTGTGAGAGAATACATAAATTAAATGTTGAATGGAAATAAATTTTTCTTGCAATCTCAATACACAAGTTTCTATGGGAGAAGGTAAGGTAAAATTATGATTGCGGCGTGTAAAGATCTCTTTCTACCGACTTCTATGGCATATTGATATCGCATTTATGTCAAAACGTAGTTTCTCGTTATGTAAAACTTTCCGTTTGACATGACTTTAATTTTGACGGGTTGGAATGGTCTCTTCAGTTGGCCGGAAAGTTTCTATTTCTCAACTGATCGGTCTTTCTTCTCTTGACTCCTTAATTGCACTACAAGTATATTTATGCGCTCATCTTGTTGCACGTAAAGTCCATTTTAAGACGATCTGTAATTTGCGTATGGTATTCTTCTGCTTGCTACTACATATGTGCGTAGCGTTAAAATAAAAGTAGACGCGTAAAAGAAAAGACGCATTTTTTTATTATATCAAACTGTAATAAATACAAGTCATAATTATATGTATATGTAAAAAAATGTAATACTCATATAATACATGTATAATACTCATATAATTATTAGTGTAATTAAATGTGTTTGCATCGACATTTTATTTTTCTAATTTGTTATCTTAATTTTATTACTATAGAGCATGTGTGTTTATATATATATACATACATATAATGAAGTATATACTCTGAGTATATGTTAGAATATAATTATTTAATTGCAATAATATTATGATTTATAATTATTGTTGATATATAACATGCAAAGATGAATGTGTTTTTATAGTTTAGAAAGCATATTATTTTTCTATCTCGAGAAATAATTCTAGATCGAGAAATAATTTTATATCACAAGATACACACATAAGATTCTGAAACGTATATATATGGTTATTAAATTTACCAATTTATTTTCACGAATATCTTTGCTTACATAAATATAAAATATTCTTTTCACAGATATATTATAATCACAAATATTTACATTACAACGGCTTTTAGGTAGGATCGTGTTTCGATGCTTATCGTGAATTATCGATCGTTTAAATTGGGCTTAAGCGGATGATGTATTCGAGTAGATCGAGTAGCACGATGTCTTTCTCGATTTGTCGGATGCGGCGATTCGAATGCGGCTTTTCTCAAAACCATGTTCGTGTTCATCTCTTGCATCTTCGGTAGGTCCCGTATAAATACCAGAAACGCGCGTTTGGCCCGAAGGCGTTCTCCGTCCGGACGGAGAGCAATCGTAAAAGGTCCTGGAGCTCTAATTTATAGCCGACCGCTGCAATACCGGTAATCTAATTAGTTTAATGATCGAAAAATATTTCCCCGAGTCTTTCTTAATCCGAGGATAGGTAGCGCCGGCTTCGTCTGAATTCGGCATTCAATGCCGAAACTTATCCGCGAAAATATGTATCTTCGTGAAAGTTTGATTTCCAAATGCACAAAAAAATTAAGATAGGTTGATATGAATTGCATAATCATTTTGTTTTTTGATGCTTTATCATATTTTGCTGATGATCGCTATTAGCGATGGGATTAAGTATTTTACGAATACGTTTGAATTTGTTTACCATAGTTTCGAACTCTCTATATAATTACTTTAAAAACCGGTACTTTTAAGTAAAAGTAGAAGATCTGAATGAGGAAGGTTCAAATCTCAAATATAAGAGCAGTACTTTCAAGTAGACTTGGATCAAGTACGTTCAAATCTTTTATAAGTATTTTAATGATGGGATTTAATACAAAAAGGTTCGAGTGTAATTGTATAATTTTGAACTTTCTATATCTGTAAGTATATTTGAACTTGGATCAAGTATGATTAAACCTTTTATGAATACTTATAATAAATTGCGAGTAGATGGATAAATAGGTATATGAGTGGAATGATAGAAAGTACTTAGAAGTCAGAGTACTATTCTGAATTTTATAGATACTTAATTGTATTTCACAAGTACAATATATTTTTGAAATATTTTATTTCTTATGAGTATTTGAAAATCAACTTGTTTCAACAAATGAAACTTGATTATTAGATTCGACTTGAATTTTTAAGTACATATTGAACTTGATCCTTTCTTAAGGAAATCCTCCAGCAAACAACGAACTCTGACAAAATAGTAGCGCCCCCATTTTAGAATTAAAAATATCGGTAATTACTGATTAATTTTTGAAGAATAATTACTGATATTTTGAATTTCACACTATAAATCATCTAGATTAAACATGTATTAGAAATCCATGTATATACATGGCATACATGGAGTCACTTTCTGCTACGTTTGATACTATTATAGATTTGAATGTAAATATATATTGCTGTTTTTTGCTCTATTATACCTACAACGCACGCACATATACATAGGAATCGTAATACAAACCGTACTTTCATATTAGACTTCTAATCTAGATTTAGAGGATAACAGTTCTTTTTTTCATGTATCTTAAGCCCAGGGATCTTGTGTTTATATTCATATAAAATGTATATTTTTTATATAAAGTACTACATATAATAATATGATGAATGACGACTCGACTGTCAAGTCGATCGAAACGTCATATCGAGATAAAAATTGATAAGAAAAACTGTAATTCCATAATTATTTCTCATTTTTCATATGAAATCGAACTTCCCTAGGATCATTGATGTATGTATTGCAATCATAGAGAAACATTTTTAATTCTGTCAAATTAATGCGACAAAAGACTAGAAATATGAAAATAATAATTGGTTGTTAAAACGGACAAACGTGAAGGATTCCCTTAAATTATGCTATGCGACAAAGAAAAGAATATTAATACGATCTATATAAAAAACGTATATATTTTAGAGAACATTATGATGTATACATAAAAAGTATTTTTACAACTTGTCATAGTTATTTCCATTAATAATATAAATTCGATAGATTATGTGGAGATAAACAAAGATCTCTGATCAAATTTATATAAAAAAAAATTTGCATAGACGCATACAAATTCTCGTCATATAGTAACGACAGATCCAGTCGAGAGCGAAACCGTTTGAATAAGGAGCATACGCAATTGCGAGTCAATTGCGGTTTACAATATCGCGCGACAGTAGGCTCCCGCTTCCGCGGAAGCTAAACCTTCACCGGTCGTTTCGTTATTGTCAGTTTAGCTGACTCGGTTAGGTTTCGCAAGGCGTTTCTCGCTCGCGTGTCCAAAATTCCGCGCATCGGCGTCGTCGCGGAAGCCGGACGGCACGCGAAACCAGATGCGTCATCAGATGCGAAACAGATAATTACGTCGCAGTCGATAAAGGGTGACCACTTCCTCCAAACCTCCAATCATATTGTCGTCGTGTATCGTCGACTTGTCAAATAGCCGTACCAGCTAATATAATAACGCGCGAGGGCGGTGTGTGTATGTGTGCGCAAAGAAAACACCGGATGTGCGAAGAAGAGAGAGATATATTCTTCCTACCGTTGTCGAAACGTGTACTCGCCATGCACGTTGTCACATTTATGTCGATTCTCCCAATTGACGATTTCAATTGGCGTGCGATGACACCGGTGACCACTATATACCATTTTTTTGGATTAAACGAGCGCGTCACATCTGCGAGAGCCCAGTTCCTTCCGTTCGGGAAAAAGAACGAGGTTCTCCAACTCAAGTTCGAAATCGCTCCACTTTTTGAGAGCGCTCCGACAGAGAGAGAGAGAGAGAGAGAGAGAGAGAGATAGAGAGAGAGAGAGAGAGAGAGAGAGAGAGAGAGAGAGAGAGAGAGAGAGAGAGATAGAGAGAGAGAGATCGCCGTTACAACGGACGCGTATATACGCCAATCGTAATTACCCGAATACGCGCATTGTAATTATCGCCGCTCCTCGACTCGACCGTAACTCGGCGAAGGTTTGACGTAATTGCCAAGAGGTTATTAACCGGGAAATCGTGGTCGCGCGGCGGCGGCGGCGGCGGTACGACTTGTCATTACTCGTGTGAAGAGAAGCATAAAAAAAGAAGAAACTATTACGAGCGCGAAATCGCGTGTGAACGTCGGTTTCGCGAGCCAGAGAGGAAAAGGAGGAGCTTAAATCTGTAGGAGAATCGCGACGCCGGCCAGAGTCCACTTGGTAGGCTTTTCGCGGGTCTTCAGATTGAACGTCCAGATGTACGTAGGTCCGCGCATTCTAGTTCTGTAAATTGGACACTCGTACATGTTCTTCGTCTCTTGCTTGTCTTGGGTGATCGCCTTCACGAACACTACCGGCATTAGGCAGAACAGTTCCTTGTGCCGGCTATCCGTGATAATACCAATCGGGACATCCCATCGCGCACCCTCCATATACAGGCCGTTCACGTATGCGCCCTCTCGCGGCGGCACCCTGTGATAAAAAGATTATCTTGGTATAATCGCGTTGGGGATTCCTCGAGAACAGGTCAAATTTCGAAAAATTTATTGCATCAAAAATTTAGTGCACAACCTGTTGTGTACTTTAGGGATTTTAAGTTCGGTAAAAAAATAGGGATTTTGGAATTTTATATATTTCCGGAAAGATCTCCCCTTTCTCACGTAGTTGTCTCTTACGTAATTTCCTCCTTCTGCTTTCTGGTCACATCGCAATGCAGACACATCTTGTCCAAGGGCCACTCGTTTTTACGGGCGGTTTGCTGCATGATGGCGGTAAGTAAGGACTGCGGATTGAAGAAACCACCCAGCCAAATCGACAACGGTAACTGTCAAAAAACGCGTTCCGCAAGAAGGCGTTAGATTGGTCAAACGCAGAAAGAAAGACTAATTTTTTTAACGTAATAAAGCGAATGATGAAACCATATCTTCTCGAGTTGGTTGCATCGTGTGACAAAATTTCAGATCTTTTTTCCCCACGTTTTTCAATGAAAATATGTAATTTCTCTTTTAATTTATTTGCCGTTCGTAGCAGTCGTTTTTTTCTCTTGCTGCAAACCGCGGTCTCGCCTTTACTTACGTTAAAATCTACCGTCCAATTCGATAACTCGGTTATTCGATTGAGCATGTCCGCGAACCAGTTCGACAAACCAAGAGTGGAGGGATAAGCGCGTTTGGTCCATGACGGTGGTACAGATTCCATAAACAGGTGATTTTGCAGATCCTCCATGTCCGCGCTGATCGTGAGCTCTCCCTAAAATGGATATTTAGATTTGTCACATCACTGTTTTTCGATATTCTTCATGTCAACCACCCACCCTCAAACCGAGATCCAACTCTCTCAGAGATCTTTTTAGTTCTTTGCAAAGCGTATTCATATGCTCGCATTCTTGGAGAGCGACGATAACGAAAGGAGTGCGATCTTCTACCTGGGAGAAACAGAGAAAAAAAGTTAAATTTTATTTATCACCATAAAAAAATAAATTACGATATTAGTAGTGCTGCGTGATGTTATAAAGATAGAGGAGAGAAAATTAAAGCTCGCGTCCGAAGCGGCAATAAAGTCGAGGACATAAAATGCGTAATGACCGATGTTAGAAAGGTAACACATGTATAGAAGCAGTTAGGAGACTGCATTAAATATGACATCGGAATAATTGATAATTATAATTTTCTAATGACTTTGTGACACACACAGTTTAAGTAAGCAATTATCACATTTAATGATTATATTTATATGAACGATTGTGCCATTATATTGTGGTGTGACATTAGATTGAAAAATATCTTTATGTCGCATTTATTCCAGTGTTCCTTTTGTTTTCAAAATTAACTGAACACGATTCTTATAACGAGTCTGGATTATAATAGCCTGACATCAACCTTGCTCATCAAGTCTGGTATATTAAACTCCTCGGGAAGCTTGTCGAGTAAATCCTCTATCATAACCTTCACCTTGTCCTCTTTCGATAACACTCCGGCTGTTACATCGGCGACGTCCCGCGGCTGCATCCCCCAGATTGTCCTGAATAAGTTCTCCGCCGTGTTTGTAAGGAACCCTGTGCAAAGGGGTAACAAGACTATTCATTGCGTTTTAACGCGAGTAGAATAAAAACTGCACGATGAATGAAATATCGCTGATCTTATTAGGTAAACTTTATTCTCAACAATTGATTCGAAAATTGATCGCGAAAATTTTACCGATTTCAGCATTGGGGTGAAGTCCATACAGGACGGGGCTCTCCGTCGGCAAATAATTTTCCACATATTGATGGTAGCCCTCGTAATCAGTACTGGGTGGCACCAGAAAACCCGGCGCTAGATTTAATTCGCCTTCGACCAATTCCGGCTGTAGATATTCGAGGAGATACGTTCTACAGAGCCTTCTGTCCCAATTATCGGTTATATGACCACCATACATGATCTCTCCGAACAAATAACGCAAATCCTCCCAGGGTGTCTTGGTATTACCCTCGAGATAGTTTAACAATACCGAAGCACTGATGGTCAAGTCGCCGACGTTAAAGGGATATAACTGTGCACGTTAATGAAATATTAAAAATAAGAAAATTGAGTAAAGACATTTATTAAAAGGTGCTTCAGCATCTTTTGATATCCATCAATTTATATTATATTATATATAATAGAGTGTTTCAGAATTAGCGGAAAAGTTTTTAATGGCAGATTCCTAGTATCATTTGGAGACGATTTTTTCTCAGCAAAAATGTCGCGGCACCAATAATTTTCAAATTATTAAGCAGTTGAAAATAAAGGCTTTTTTGGAAACTAAGCTTTTTTGAAATAAAATATTAACAAAACTACATTCTTCAGTTAATTTTAGGTAGAGTTTGCTTTAATAGAATTTTAATATAAGGCCTCGTTATATAAAGTTACATAATAGCAAAAATTGAGAACATACTAAAAATGATGCCATCCTCAATATTTTCACTAAGGAAAAATCGTCTCCAAATGATACGCAGGAATCTAACATTAAAAACTTTTCCGCCAGTTCTGAAACACCTTGTATAATTATTACTGGATGTAGTCTTCTATATAGAATTTTTTAACTTTCTATTTAAAATTCGTCTAAAATTTAAAACTTACGTGATTGGAGTCATCATTTTGTAATATATGACTCACAAAGTTATAGAACACTTTATCGAATTACATAGAATATTTGAACATAGAATTTTTACATAGAATATTTGAAAGCCTAATGCTTAAGTAGCGCGAATACCAACCCTATTCCATCCTTGCGCCCCGAATTTTCTACGTTCGGCTACAGCAGCGTGATAATAACAAAGAGCAAAGAGAATAGCTTTGAACTCTGTCTCCTTGGTGCAAGACTCCAACGTTTCCTGGCTAAAGTTGTCCAGAGCTTTGTGGATATTGGCACGTATACCCGTCGGCGGTTCATTGGTGATCTTTATGGCCGACTCTAATATGCCCTTCGATCACATCGTGAAATGTTATATGCAAAAATTTGACAAAAGTTTAGAAATGACAAACGTTTAGAAATGATGCTCACAAAAATTGAAAAACTTATCACTTTTTTTTTATTTGTAATTTTTTTACGATAAATTGCATGTAAAAAATAAAATGTATGTAATAAAAAATAAAACCAATATTTTTCTCGCTTATTTCTTTACTGGGGGATTAAAAAAGGAACAAAGGGGAATTTTGAGATCTCAACCACAAGATACGAATTCTTAAGTTTCTCAATTTTTGCAATAACATTGCGTTGGCTCTGTTGGCTGATATATATAATATATATTGGGTATTTATTTCGAGAGCGGATAAATATTCGTAAAAAAAAAATTCACTTTTTCTGGCAATTTTTAAAATTTTTCATTGGTTTTAATTGTTTTCAATTTCTTTTACCTGCGGTATTATCGACTCATGAGGATCGGGGCTTGGTTCCGCACTAATATAAAGACGATAGTTTTTGTGCGACTCGTCTGAGAGCTGTTCTATTTTCTTTTCCAAATTTGGCAACCAGTTTCGCACCAGATGGATATTTGAAGTATAACCCAGTGACCGTCGCGCGCCGAGATGTCCATCGCCTCTTCGGCGACGGGCTCTTGACCTTGTCCCAAGGATACGTTGTGGAAATTTTGTGCATCGAACGTAAAGCCGAGCCGTCTACCGAGTTTCTCGACATCCTACGTTAAGCGGCATCGTTATTCCGTTAAGTAATCAATTAATTCACTTTTAGTTATGTTCAAAGTTCAAACTAATACTAGTTTCACTAATATTCGATAGAATCGTGAAAAAAGTACATGCGTACTTATATCCGAGTAGTCGCCAATTAAAATTATCTCTAATGTCTAGAGACGTAAAAACGTGCCTTTAAAGGATCGACTCCCGGAGACAAGATGAAAAATACCGGCGTGCTCGCGCTCGTCTCTTCGTATGATTTTTCGAATAGCTGCGTACGGAACTGTATGAATTTTGCACCCAGTTTCTCTTCCACGAAACCTCTATAGAAATCGTTGAAACATTAAATTAGATATAAAATAAGCAATATGCATTCCAAAATTCAAGTCGAAACCAATAATCGAGTTGCACTCTTAGGATTCGAATAATACTTATAAGAAATAATATTTTATATATAGTACTTGCGAAGTAATCGAATCTAGAACAGTTATATTCAAATTTTAGATTGAATGTACCTGCAAGATTTGAAATAGTACTTATAGGTATTTTTATTGCAAGGAATTAAATCTTTTATAAAAAGACTCAAACTCTAAGATGAAAAATATTTATATACACACAAGGTGATTCTAAATAAATATAAAAATATAGAGATATAAGGTTCCGAAGAATAAATCACTATAAAAGTGGCTTTAAGCCGAAGCAGGGTATTAGTACTCGAAAATTAATTTATTTAAATACAAGAATATCTAATATAGATCAAAACGTTTGCCAATTGTATTTAAATAAATTAATTTTCGAGCACTAATACTAATAGAAAATGTTCAAAATGTATTTAATTTGTTCAAAAGTTGAAGAAAACTTATTTTTTATCTCTCTCCTTAGAAGAGTGTAATTTCTCAAGGAAAGATATAGGGGTATATGTTTATATGAAAGATTCCTTTCTTGATTTTCGACAAAAAATTTAAAGTGTATATAAATTTACACAATGTATATAAATTTAAAAACTCGAAAAATATACGGTTTACAGAAAAAAGTTTCAGATAAAAGTTGTAGGGCTAAAAAATCTATTTATTTAAGATGAGTTGCTAAATAAATCATTACGATATTATGATATAATGAAAGCCCATTGGTTTTTAGGGGTCACATTTGAAAATTCAAATTATTCTACAATGCAGTTCTAATAAGATGTACAAGAATGTTGTACGTTTTGTGTATAATATCAGTACAAACTAATTACTAATTATTATTCATCGCAACTGAAAAATCTTGTAAACTTTATTATTGTTTATGGTTGTGATCTCTTGAATTAGTGAAGGTTTTTCCGTATTCTTCGACATCCTTATCTACGGACTCTTTTTCCATTTATCTTCATTTTTAAGATTTGTTAGAATTGTAATTATAGCAAGCTTTTCAGAACTGTAACAAACTCAAGTTTTGTAATTCGGAAAATACCTTATAAAAAATCTTTATTATAGTGTTTTGAAAAGCTCTCGAGGTAAGCTACAAGAATATGTAATCAAAAATATAGAGTTCTATTTAAGAAATTCAAGATGACCTTATTCTGACCTTGGGAACGCCACCCAAGGTCAAACTGATAAGATCAATAAATAGACTTTTTAAACCCTGTAACTTTTGTCTGGAATTTTCTTCTATAAAACATATATTTTTCGAGATTTTTAAGGGGTCCGACCTTTTTGGGACACCCTGTATAATTGCACATATTTTATTGATTTTTATTCAAACAAACATTCAGTCTAGAGCAAATTGTACCGTATGGCGTAGACCATTCGATCTAGTCTCACGCATCTCATTATGCAAAGTCTCTGAAAGGCTGGCTTATTTTTCCATTCCTGAGGGAATTTTTCTCTCTCCGGCGTTTCCGATTCCACGAATTTCTTCCATCTCTTCGCCGCCCCGTCTATGTCGCGATCTAGATTGCGGAAATTTTCCATTCCGCTCAAATACTTGATGCCGCCCCAGGCGACATTGCTCAAAAAGTCCACCGGACTCGTCTGATCCGGTAAATAAGGAAATCGCAAGAGAAAATCTACCTCGGTTGGATCTATCTCCTTTGTTTGCAGGAGAATCTAAACCGCAAGTATTTGTTAATACCTATATGTTCATTTATTCGACATGATTGCTTTATAATTAATATTTTTTTATTAAAATTTATGAAAACTAATTTTTCAATATAGATGTAAAAAAAGATGTAATAAAAGCTAAACGCGAAATAAAGGTAAGTATAAGTAAAAACTTTTAAATAATTTTAGTACTTTTTTACATATATTGACATATTCATATCTTATTGTTTTATTGATTTTAATGTTTTTGGTATGAGAGTCTTTATTGTTTATTATGCCAAAAAAAGAGCCGCATCGTATTTACGAGATGATATAGTACCTGAAGAGTCAGCTGACAGAGAAATATGAGCTTGTCGCTCTCGAATAGTCCTCTACTGGTGTACGTAAAAACCAGATACGTGACGCTGTCGATCAGACTGGCGACGCGTTTACCGAGGGCGTCGGCCGGTTCCGCGAATTTAATAGCATTCTGAAAGACCGTGCTGAACGCCTTGAGAGAAAATTGGTACAGCATGTTGATCTTGTTGAGGTCGTTAAGAATGAAGTAGAGGAGGCTTGCCCCGGATGCCACCGGCCGATAGGACTCTCGCGCCTCGTCTATCCTTGTAGCGGTCACCTTCGTCTCGATCGCCTTCGCTTCGATCTCGCTCGCGGTCTTTTTCGTAGTTTCTAGGTTTTCCACGAGAGCGACGTCGCTTAGAATGTCGGGTCCCGCCGTTGCTAATCTGAACGAGAAACGTGACCATACTTGATGTAATTAGATGACAGACAAATTTAAAAAATAGATAAAACAGGTAAAAAACTTATTCTTCAACTTAAATCATGAATGCGAAGATTTCAATAAACAAGACTCTTACATATTCGATTGTCAAGTCCGCATTGACAGTAACGATTAATTCAAAACGATGGCAATAAAAATCTCTATATTGTTTTATCGATAAAAGATGTACAATAATAAACGAAAATAATATAATTAATAAATATAATTTTGTTTGTTAATAATAAGCATAAATGGCATTTTAGCAAGCTAAATTATTCTTGCGACTTAGAGCGTTATTTTTCGTTTTACTGCAGTGTTTTTATGTTCAAAATAATTGTGGTGTTAAAATATAGTCTCCCTATTTTGACATAATTTAATATGTGAAAGCAAATATTTATTTCATTTCGATACCTGTCAAAAGCTGGTTTTTATCCTTGGTTAGACTCAATTCAATTTAACATATGTATATGTTATTTATTGATTATCCAAAAGGAGAGTTTTCGATATATCTTACATGTCTGTTCTATCGATTTCAAATGCTATTGTATTGAAAAATACTTTTATTTTAACGTAAGTCGCAAGAATTTTCATGATATATTTTCTCGCTTCTGACATCATCAATCTAAGATGGCTACAGTAAATATATACCCAGTTAGTATTAGGATGTTCAATGTATGTCCAACGGCTATCCGTTTTTGGACATAAGACGTCTATTAAAAATCCAAATAAGATTCGTCGGATATCCGATGAACGTCCAAAGGATGTACATTTGTTATAACTTTGAATGTTATAACATAGAATGTTCAATATACATATTTAATGTTGGACTTATTATGGACTAATTTTGTATCTACTTTGAAAATCTTTTTAAATAATTTTAAATTTTAATTAAAATTATTTTAAAAAACAAATTATATTTAAAGTGATTTATTTTTGTGAGGATGTTATCTTTTCAATAAAACAAATTTTTTTATGAGATAACAAAGTATACTGGCATAATTATATACCAAAATGACAAATATGATAACTTAAATATAAAACTTTGGTAACTGAAAAAATGACCTTTTAGTATAATAATAAAAACATACAATACTACTGTTCAATAAACTTATAATAATAAACTGTTTCAATAATTTAAAAAAATGGTTTTTATCAAGTAATAGCACAAAATTCAAACTTTACGAAACGCAGCGTTCGTGCGCGTATTACTCGATATTTATCTTAATTAAATTGTGCTAATTATTATTGTTATATAAAATAAATAAATTGTAATTAAGTATAATTTTATAATAAAATAATATAATTTATTATTTTTAATGTATAAATTAATATATAAAACTTATATATATATATATATATATATATATATATATATATTATTAATATATTGAAAATCTAATGGATATAAATAAAAATAATAAAATTCATGTAATATCCAAATGCGGACTTAAAATATATATAGATTCTGAATGGGATATCCATTTCAATTCCAATAACGGATGTCTCCTATATGTTCATTTTATGTGGACGTGCGGACATTAATCGGACTTAAAATGGACGTTCTCTGAACGTCCAGTGCTATCTGGGCAGGATCCTTAAAGACATTAAATTAACTAACATTAAATTCGTGTGCACAAAAATTGAATCGAAAAATTAGTAAATTCGATGTAATCGAGATATTTCTAACGATGAGATAAAGTATCTTCGCAAATAGATTTGAATTTGTATGGATAGGTTAGTTTTAATAAGTTAGGTTAAGTTAATTTTCGAATTCTCTATGTATATTAAAAACAATAATTTTCAAGTAGATTCGAACCTGAACAAGATAGTTTTGAATAACTCTTTATAATAAGTATATTTTGAAATACGAGACAGTACTTCCATAAATACATTCGAACTAGATAAAGTATATTCGAATCTTATAAGTATTTATATGTATGATATATAGAGAGATAGAGATAAACTATCTTATTTAAAATCGAATTTGTTATCTTATTGTTAGAATTCGAGTGTTACTTGTAAAAGATTCAATTTTTTACGATAGAAAGTACTTATAAGTATTATTTTAAATTTTAAATATTTTTGAAATTCGAACATATCTGTTCTAGATTCGATTACTTCACACAATAAGTACGATACATATATGAAATATTTCTTATGAGTATTATTTGAATTCTAAATAAAATAAAACTTGGTTATATCGGATTCGATTTTTGAGTATACATTGAACTTGATCAAATATTTCATCACATTATAGAAAGTATGACTCACGTTACCTGTGTAACAAATCGTCCTCTAACACCTTCAGCGTGATCTTGAACATGTTTTGTTGAGTCGTGAGCTTGGCTTTGCTCGACTCCAGATCCGGACGTTCCGCTTTCACGACGGCGCCTAATAGCTGCTCCTCCAAACCGTCCTTCGTAACCGTGAAATTGATGAGCGTGGTCTGTGCTTGCATCTCCGGCTTGTAGTGAGGATTCGCCAGTTTCGTTTGCAAGATGAGACGGAAGCGCGGATCGTAATCCACCTCTTTGTCCCCACCTTGATGGCCCTTTGTCAACGTTTGTTTTGTAAGTTCAATATTTCGTCGGATATTTCATGTTTAACTGATAAAAAAAGAAAAACATGTGTGTATACCTTCCTCTCTTTATTAAAACCCGACCCAGGATCGGATCTAGGACGGCGTCGACGGTTTCTCCAATACTCTCCAGTAACACTACCTCTCCGTGCGCGATAGCGTGTTCGATTCTGTCGAGGTAATTCTTTTGAGTTAAACGCAATACCACTAATTTGTCCCCGTATTTATTCTTGATCCACTTGATTCCCTGTAATTGCGGGTCGATCATTAGTGGCCACCTGGACGAATTCGTGAGTATCGTCGCATTTTCAGAGGACATTCTATCCGTAGGTAAACCTATATGTAGGAGGATCGAGGAAAATAGATTTCGATGGGAAAAAGTTTAATCTATATTTTTTTATGTATTTGTTTATTTATATTTATATGAAAGAGTACTGTAAAATTGCGATTTTCAAAATTGTGCGATTAAAATAAATGAAGTAAAATAAAAGAATCAAACGTGCCACTTACCGTCGTTATTCCACTGGGCGATCTTCGCGTCGTCGGTCATTAAAGACAACGGATCCAAGTCTGGTGTGTGCGGTATTGGCACTTGCAGGTTGTCGAGAAACGGTAACCAATGTAAATTCATGAGATCCATTCTGTATTTCCTCGTAAAACATCCCATATAAGAGATGAATGCCGTGACGAGCAACACATTGCCCGGTAGGGTAATTTCAGATTTTTTTAACCTGTTTTGTGGTGTATCGCACAAATGTATTTAGAAATACGTTTAACGCGGGTAATTGACATTTTATCTCGATGCTTGAAAATAAACTAATTGCATGAACCAAATTAGATTTAAATAAGTATGAAAATTGTTACACATTTATTAATTAATACAATAAATTGAATCAATTATTACACAGTTCAACAAAAAAAAAGACCAGCACGAAACTAGTCGTTCTTATGGTTTTTTGGACGCTGAACACGAATCTGTTTTCAAAATTGCTCCATCACGTCACAATTTTAAGAGACATGCAATTAAGTTGCAAAAAGGGTTATTTTCACAAACTTTGTCATATTATAGCTACAATATGCGACGTGCTAAAGAAGTTTTCTTGCCACCAAAATAAAGTATATTGTTAAGATTTTTAGCTCTTAATAGAAATTTTCGGTGACGTGATGGAGCTATTTTGAAGACAGATTTGTGTTCAACGTCCAAAAAACTATAAGAAACGACTAGTCTCGTTCCGGTGTTCGAAAAAAAGTCATTTTTGTTGAGCAGTGTTATAAAAAGAAAATAATTTCTTATCCTTTCTCTGATGATTCAGTTGTCAGTATATGATGAACAGGAGTGTTGCATAAAGCGCATTTTGCCAAATTAACTCGATATTAATAGAACGCTTTTTTGTTTTTCTAAATAATTCTTTTTCTAATGTATAAGTAAACAAATAAACAAAATCTGTACACTTACACTTGCACAGTCTCGGCCCAACGAACGTTCTCGGACGCGAGGCCATTTACCAATCGATTTGCTAGATCTATAGTAAACGCGGTGGCTTCCGCTTCGTCCTGACACTTTTGTTTTGCGGCTAAAGCCACGTTCATCTTTTCGCTCAAAATGTCTAGCATCCTCTGAAGCTCCTGCAGAATGTGCGTGAACGAAGAAAATTTCAAAACCCACAATCCCTCTTATATTTTAATAGAAAAGATACATGAGAAACTAAGCAGAAATAACACTAGTTTATGCTGTAAATCGAGGGATAAACTCACCGCCAAGCGGTTCCTCAAAGAATGCAACTTCTCCACAGCGGCCCTCAACTCGGCATTTGCCTGAGCGAGCGCGGCTCTCAGAGGTTTTACGCCCTCGTTAATGTAATGAAATATCATGATATTTTTGACCCAACTGCACAGTCCTGCTGCCGCTTGTGATTTTGAATAAACGAAATCCGGATCGAACTCTAATCATATGTGTAACGTATTTTATTAAATACATATGATTTATTTTATTTTTCAGATATAAAACAACGACAACCAAATGACTGTGGTGTGTTTGTAATTGCGTTTACTGTATCATTATTATTTGGTTTAAAACTAGATATTATAAAATATGAACATTTTTTGATGAGAAGTCATTGCTTAAAATTTACGAAATACTTGGACTCTATTTCTCACATTAAAATAAAGTTTACGTTATTATTATTATAAGTAAGCATTTATTGATGAAGAATGCCTAAAATTGCCATCTTAATTCCATAGCTAATTATAATAGTTAAACTATAAGCAATGATACCTTTGGCATTGATGTATGGCTGGATCGCTTTAACGACCTCCGGATGTATGTTCTCTTTTTCATAATGCCGCAAGTGCGACAGAAAGCCGTCAATAGATCCCATTACCATTCTGCAGGCTTTCCAAGTCTTGTCTTTCGGAATTCTTCCCTCATGTGAGAATAGAATGAGCACAGCCTGGACGACCATTAGCACCGCTTCCGGCGGCGTCCCGAAAGATTTCAACTCGGTTAAGTTATTCTGCAATCATGTAAGATTTTTTTATTTTTATAGAACCCGCCATAGGTGCATATTTCGTTACACTAAAATACATGACAAGCTATCAGATTTTAAACTTAAGAATCTTCTTTTTTTATCATATGTGTTTTTCCCATCTGACAAGATTGTTATTTTCGAAACCCTTATTCATTTTTATTAGAAGAAATATGCCGTAAATAAATGCGCGATAACAATTTAAAAAAATTAGACATTAAGTCAAGGTACATTGATTGATTGGTGTATATATATATATGTGTTTTATTCACATAACAATTAACGTTTCGGTTATCTAATAAAAGATTAATGAAAATGACTATTACCAAAAATTTTTTAAATCTCAATAGATTTAAAAGAAATTAACATTTTGAAACATTAATATCTCGAAAACTATTGATTGTAACGCATCGTAATTTGCGGCATTCTTTTTCCCGATGAAAAATGTATCAAATAAACCTATCAAGTTAAAAGGGATCCCGGAAATAACATCCTCCCCTTCCATCACAACAAATTTTTCTCTGCATTTTTGTGTGTTCTTTTTAAATTGCCGTCGCGTGACTCCTGTCCACTCATTGCTTTTTCGGCGCTTTGATTACAATACATATCGCGAGTTCGTTAACCTTGTTCAAAGTATCGAGCGCAGCTTCGGCCTGGCGCACCGCCGGCTCCGCCCGGGCCAGGTCTTCGTCGCAGTGTCTCTGATTTTCCAACACCACCTCTTTCATCTCCGCCACTTTCGCCTCTTCCTCGATCACTAAAAAAAATTCCCGTTTCGTGCTCGTTATATCGTACGTTAGCGATTAATTCTACGATGTCTTACCGATAGCCTTTTCTGCCTCCACAATCGCGTTCTCCGCACGCACTTCGGTCAATATCTTGTCGGCTATCTCGTTCCTTTTCTTCAACTCGATCTCTTGAGCGGTCAGAATGATCTTTAACTTGTCGACCTACTTCGCGAAAAGATAACTCAGAAGATGGACGTAAGGAGCGCCTGGAGCGAGGGCTTCTCTTGCCACCCGCCGCCTGCCAGCCATAATCGGCTACCCCTAATGTGCTCGTAACATATGTGCATTATATATATTCTATATGTAAGAGGGGAGAGAAAAAAGCACGTACACAAATACATATACCTGCACACGTACAAGTGCAAGCGATGCGGGTAGTTTTCTATTAACAATTCTTTTATTATTTAATTAAAGTTAATAAGTTAATAATATTTAATCTGAAACAAAATTAAAGTAATTTTGGTCGGATTTTTATTGTAAAATATGATAATTGTCTATTTTAGAAACTTTTCAACTTTTTCTAGAAATGTGTAAAATGAGTGTCCAAACACATTTGAAATAGAAAATGTAATATAGTGACATGGAATCTTTTTATATGAATTTTATTTGAATTTAAATGTTTTTTTATCATTAAAAAATGATTATTTTAAATATTTACACTTTTATATTTATTTATATTTAAATTCTTATTTTTATTATTTATATTTTTTTATTGTTATATCTTATACATCATTTTTATTTCTTTTAATATAAATATGAAGTACAAGAATGTTTTCATTGTCATATCTGAATTCAGACATTCATATAAAATATAATGTAGTATTCTAAAATTTTACGCAGAAAGCAAAAACGAAAATTATAATCTATCGAATAAAAATTCCGAAAAGAGAACAAGAAATATAACAAAATATACCTCAATGGCGCAGGATGCGAGTTTCACCAATCCATCGTTGAGACGCGAAATTATCGCGTTCAAATCGTATGTTTTTTCCGTTAACAATTTAGAGTACAAAGAGATCTGCTCGAGAAATGATTTTGGCGTCGTGTAGTTGTATCTCCTTTCATTTTGCAAATATATCGCGGACACGTTGTTCACACTTGTGTGAACAAAAGACATGAAAAGTGATACGGAAGTTCGATATTCGACCGGTAACTCCTTTAAATCCTAGTACAAAGAAATTTTAAAAATTTAAAAATTACAAAGTTGTAGCTTTTTTTAGAAAAAATATTATAAATAACATTTCACTTTTGCACATTATTATAATTTTAATGAATCTTTAATATATTTTCAAAATAATACGTCAGACTTTTTTTTAATTTTTGATCAAAATAAGGTGAATTTTTGTAATATAGTTATATATATTTAAAGAAAATTAGACATTATTAACTTAATAACTATGATAATATTATGAGAAAAAGAACTACTATATCTTATTTAAGATTATAATATATATCTTATTTAAATTTATGTTAAAACCAATTTTGCGGTAGGGTCGAGAGAAATAACCGCGTGTAAAATGTGTTATACCTCCAAAAACGTCGCCGACACGGATTCTAAAGCCGTTTGTGGCCAGTCCTGAAACCAGTCGATCGCAGTGCAATTTACTATTGCGGGGAACTGCCTGGCCCTTTTTCGTAGGGTCGCCCCTACTGGTGAGAAACACAGGACGCATCTCAATTGCCTTCGCACGCGTTCGATGAAGAATTTCCAGCAGTTCTCTTTAGTGTCGATTAGCCCGGTTTGCTTGACCTGCACGAAGAGCGATACTAATTGACTGGTAGCATTAATTCCCGGTTTTTTCCCGTATATCTATCATCTCAATATCCGATTTAATTTCGAAATAATTTAAAAAATTGGATATTTTTAGCTTTACGTTGCCAAGGATGTTTGAACGAATTTAAGGTATTTTAGGGATGCTGAATTCAGAAATGACAACCGTTTTGCCAAATTAACTCTAGTTTTTGAGAGAATAGATACCCAAATTACGATATTACTCCAAATACGATCTGTAACTGCTGACATATGCAGCAAGATTTGGTCTGTCTTTTTATTCTTCAACATTAATTTTATCTCTAACGTGATCTTGATGACCCACATAAATGAAAATCGTATAACCGGCATTTTTCTATGCATTAATTGTATTAGATGTTTCATATACTTTTTTATGATTTGAGATAGTTTCCGTATGATTTATATAGGGATAGGTTACGTCTGTTTATTACATTTTTTCGCAATTTTTATATTTTTCATGGAACACCCTTATCTAAAAATTAAGGCCAATTTAGGAAAATCAATGTCATGTGTGTTCGAAATCAGTGATACAAAGTTACCTTATTATCAATCTATAATTGATAATAAAATCAGTGTTGATCAGTGTAATAAATATAAGCTAAAAAACAGCAAAATTTAGAATTTTTGATACACTTAAGATAATGCTTGAAATGATTAAATACTTTGCGAACCTTCTGCACCTTTTATCTCAATATATAAAAAAATATCTGACGTACTATTATAAAATGGCGCTGTATGTTGTATTTTACCTCGTTGCGCACAGTATTAATGACGTTATCCACTTCGTCGTCAGTCAACAGGTCTGCAATCTCCCCCGACGCCAGCATATCATTCACAACGACTAAGAATTTTTCCTCAGCAACTTGTGAATCGCTCATTAAGAAAGTAATACCGATACCTCTTATACCGGCCTTCAAGTACAACACGGCCAAGTCAGCTTTCAGCTCGTTTAACGAGTAACCTTTACGCAGTTGTACTTGAAATACCTATTTAATACACATATAAGTTAAATCCAAACAAACTGTTTTTATATTAGCTTAAGATACTCATTAAACATTTGCAACAATTGCAAAAATATGATTTTTATTATCAGCCTCTCTCTTTATATATATACACATTCCTTTGTTTATCGTCTATATGTTTGATGAATCAGTTGAAACCAACTTGGAATGGGATCAAGTTCAATATGTACTTAAAAATCCAAATTGAATGTAATAATTAAGTTTCATTTTCTATAGAGGATTCGAATAATACTTATAATAAATAATATTTCACATATTGTACTTGCAAAGTAATCGAATTTAGAATAATTATACTCAAATTTTAAACGTCCTCATAGATAAAAATTTGCCTATTTTTAATCAAATGGCTATCATTTTGGGCATTCCTTATTTAGTTAAATGCTTACTTTTATGATTATTAAATAATAACATTAACACAAACTTTGTTTTACTCTAATTTCGTAATCACTCATTTTTTACTTTTGGGGTATATATAAACCTTTTTCTTTACTTTGACGTAAGAAATACATTGTAGAAGTTTATCCAAGTACTTCGTAAATATTCCGTATGCAATGTAAATTCTTATAAATACTCATAAAAAATTCGAACATACTTGATCAAGGTTTGCATGTACTTGAAAATACTACTCTTGTTTTTCAAGATACTTAAAGAGAGTTTGAAATCATGCAAACAAAGTTAAACCTACTTGTAAGATACTTAATCCCATCGCTAGTTGTTGGTTGTCGTGATCTACTCTATCGAATATTTTTCTGGAAGCTCGAGAAGCTAGAACTACGTATACAACGTGGCTATGATGCCTAATCGATAAAATGGCCCCGCTTACCTCCAACGAGGAAACGAAAGAAGCTAGTCGTGACAAGGATTGTTTGCCGCTGCCACCTACGCCCACAAGAAGTGCATTACCCCTCGGCGCCTCCAATATTCTATTGATACGACACACATGATGTATAGCGTCCTCGAATAGTACTAGATTCGTTGCAGAGACCTATAAAATCGAAAGAAATAAGAGAAAGTCGTATCATGACTTGCAAAATAATTGATATAATCGACACAATTATAAATGCTAGATTATTACATTTATTGTATTCTATTTATTTAAGAGGATCCTTCATATTTGTTTGTTTTATCGACCAAGATTGCAATACATACATCAATGATCCCAGGAAAGCTCGATTTTATATTGAAAAACGAGAAATAATTACGAAATTACAGTTTTCCTTATCAACTTTTATCTCGATATAACGTCTCGAATGGCAGACGAACTGTCAACTAATCATATTATGTGTTTTATATAAAAAATATACATTTTATACGAATATAAACACAAGATCCTTGGGGAGAGGGGAGTTAAGATACATGAAAAGAAAAACTGTTATCTTCTAAATCTAGATTAGAAGTTTAATATAAAAGTATAGTTTGTATTACGATTTCTACGTATGTGTGCGTGCGTTGTAGGTATAATAGAGCAAAAAACAATAATACATATTTACATTCAAATCTGTAATAGTATTAAACGTCGCAGAAAGTGACTCCATGTGTGCCATGTATACATGGATTTCTAATACATGTTTAATCTGGATGATTTATAATGTGAAATTTAAAATATCAATAATTATTCTTCAAAAATCAATTACCAGTCAGTAATTACCGATATTTTTAATTCCAAAATGAGGACGCTACTATTTTGTCGGAGTTCGCTGAGGAATCCTCTTAAAGGAAATTAAAGACAAATGTAGAGAATAAATAAGATAACAATATCCCATCGAAATATACCAGTTCGTTATAATTGAGCAAAGCTTCATCGAGTAATTTTACAAGCTGGACCCAATTCTTGACAGGCGCATATTTGGGTTCTCCGATCCCTTCCGCGAAATGACAGTATATCAACGGCTGCTCCAAACCGATTTCGTTCTCGTTCAAGTCCTAACCGTCAATCAATCAGGTAAAACATCCAGTATAAATAAGCCAATAAGCGTGTTTCACGCTTACAATTGGGATCAGCTCAGGTGTAGCAAACATTTCAAACATTTCGAAATAAACGTATAATAGTTGAGATGGATCTAAAAGGATTGCTCGTGATCTCTATATTTCCAGCAAACACAGTATATAAATGTTATATACTTATAAGCATGTTACATGTAACGTATATGTTAGTTGTAATTTCCCACTCATAGATGTAACATTTTTAATATAACATATATTACATTATAGTTATATTGTCATTATATCCCAAGATAGCACTGACTTATCAATATATCAATGTGCTATTTGGTATATAATTACAATATAACTACAATGTAATATATGTTATATTAAAATGTTACATCTATGAGTGGGAATTACAACTAACATGGATGTTACATGTAACGTACACGTTATATTACCTGTTATATTCCGTTTTATTATAGCAATGTAACAATTATATATCGGTGTTTGCTGGGTTAATTCTTCTGTTAATGAATGGGATATCCAAAATAATTTTAAATGTTAAAAATGTATCAGAACTTTTCTTTGTCTAATACAGAATATAAATTTGGAAACAGAAAAAACTGTTTGATGCCTAGTATAGCTGTTTTAAAAAATGTGTCGAAAATATATGCAGTTGGTACCTACTATTTGGGTATCCATATACATTGACTCAGAGATGAATAATTATGCATTGACAGATAAGCCATTAAATAAACGTACGGGTATATTTTTTCGAAGAGCTTCGAGCAACAGCCGATCAAACACTTTCTGATCGTCAAAATTCACTAATTTGTCCCGATACACCCGCGTCGCTTCATGAACGTAAAGCCTGATTATGTGACTCGGAAGTGGTAAGACGTCACCGCGGGCGAACAGCATTCCCTGAACGATATTATTTTGTATTTTGAGAAAAAGAATCACGTATATTGGTAGGCGGAGACGCATTTCTTACTTGAAATATGTTGGTTAAGTCGCGTAAGTTGAAAACATAGTGGAACTTGATGACCGTCGGTAGGAAGGTCGCGGCGATCTTATCGTGGAAATACAACGCGGTGTTTATCAAGGGACCCGTGAACTTCTGCACCGCCGGATGAAACTTTTGCCGCGGATCAATCACGTGCTGCTCGAGGATCTGGCTGTATATCAGTTTGAGCGCCTCGATTTGGGGAAAACTGGGCAAGAAAACGTCAAATACAATGATGAATATTTGCTTGTATTGCGTAAGCAGTGTTGTACTTAGATTATTTTGAAATTAGCTAGTTGAAGATAAGAAATTATATAAATTTATTTTAGATAAGATAAAGATAATTTTTTAGAAAAAATTATACGACGATTCAGCTAGATAATATTATTTTTAAAGGGATCCTATATATCATCCTATTTTATCGAAAATATCATTTTTGTTCTTTTTCTTTTTATTACTTGAATAGAATAATAAATGCTTTTCCACGATTAGAGTACATATAGAAACAAAGCGCGAACCTACCGATTTTATGTTAAAAACAAAAAATCTTTTTAATTTTTAATTAAAAAAATTTTTTGTTTTTAACATAAAATCGATTCGCGCTTAAAAAGAAAATATATCAATAAAAATTAATAATAAGCAGTAAAAAGAAAAGGGTGCAAAAATAATGTTTTATCAATAAAATAGGACAGCGTTTAGGATCCCCTTAAGATTGCTTATGTAAACACAGTTACAAAAAAATGTAAATTATAAAAGGGTATAAAAATATTTTCATACTTTTATTTATAAGTTTTTAGCGCTTACTGCTTAAGTTCTATTAATTAAATATTTTTGTGTACTATGATTCTAAACCAAATTAGTTGAACATCTATAGATAATTTATAGTGAAGATAACACAACATTTTTTCATCTAACAATAAGATGCAGACATAGACATTTTTATTATCTATGTAATGATGAGATAACGCAAAAGTTTCATCTAGATGATCATCTATATAATTTTATTTAGATAACAGCAAACACTGTGCGTAAGTAATCGAGAATAGGTATATGGGAAATAACTTTACCTGACAGCAAAAACGGCGAAGTGTCTCTGCAAGCGAGGATCTATGGTGAAACTACCTGCGGTAGGATTCATGCAAGACACATACTGCGTATTGTGAATCTCCTTTAGAGTTAGTTTCGTTCTGTCGTACCTGTAACAAATTCGTAATTATATATTAGGGAAACCTTATTTCTATTACTATTGTGAGTTATTGTAAGTTATTTTTCAATTAGGAAAAATTACATTTCAAGCGTGATAAAATTATTAATTCAGAAAATATACTGATTATAAATAAAGATATATAAGATAAGGGAACTAAGAATCCAGCAAATACAATATATAAATGTTATATACTTAAGCATGTTACATGTAACGTATATGTTAGTTGTAATTTCCCACTCATAGATGTAACATTTTTAATATTACATATATTACATTGTAGTTATATTGTCATTATATCCCAAGATAGCACTGACTTATCAATACATCAATGTGCTATTTGATATATAATTACAATATAACTACAATGTAATATATGTTATATTAAAATGTTACATCTATGAGTGGGAAATTACAACTAACATGGATGTTACATGTAACGTACACGTTATATTACCTGTTATATTCCGTTTTATTATAGCAATGTAACAATTATATATCGGTGTTTGCTGGGAATCTAATATTGTATGTACACCTTGCTAATATCGTATATTTGTATTTTTTTACTAGTGAATGCTATATTCTTTTGGAAATTGTCTTGATTGTTTCTTCTTTTTGCAATATGTTAATCTATTTGTGGAAATAAATGAAATTTGTTGGGGTAATTTATTTTAGTTTTAGATATCTAAAATTTTTTTTATATTTGTGTATTCAGGTAGATGTTTTGCATGAAAAATTCAAAACATACGTAAAGTATTTTAATTTTTTATTAATGAAACGTTGTAGACTTTTTTTATTCTTGTTTTAACAGTCATATTTCTTTCGCGAATTTTTGTCTTATACAAGATACTTCAAAAGTTTAGAAACTATTCGAATATTTCGTAAACAATAAATTATGTATAATTAAAATGGATTTTTCTTCATGTATTAATAATAATTAAGTAAATAATTTTAATGAAGTGCAATTAATATTTTTCCAATAATCGTTAAAAAGTTAAGAATCAGATATTATTAGGCAATATTAGGAAAATATTTTACATTTTCTCTTAAAAATGGATTAAAATATGTATTTTTTTATCTCATTAAAATATATATTTTTTGAAATAGTTTTGTTTATATATTTATTACAGTTAAAGTTCGTGTAAATTATGTGATTTATTCAATTTTTATTTTCCAAAAAAAATCTTGTTTAAATATGAGGCTTAAAAATGGGTCTGATATTAGACACACTTTCTTTATATAAATATTATATCTGTGTTTTAAAAATAAAAATTATAAAATAATTTTTTTATTTAAAAATCGCAAAAATACACGTTTAGCAAATCCATCATTCCGCGCAATTACTAAATTAATTCTTAAAGGAAAATCAATTTTCCACTTGCTTTACGTAGCAATTTCAATCAATATAGCGAAGTTATTACCAATGATTATAATCCATATGTTGCCTGATGAGAGTATGAGGTTGTACAGTCCCGTAAGTGTCCACTTCCGGCATGTTCATGTCGTCTATAAAATATACCAAGAGTTTCGTTCCTGGTGGCCCATAATTTCGTCCCGCTTTCTTCTCCAAATGCTTCTCGAGTACCTTCTGCAACATGTCTTCTCAAACGAAAACGAAAACCAATATGATTCGTCGTTCATTAAAGTGAGAGCCACGACAATTGCATGTAATATGATATAATTGACTATCATTTACTTACATTACACTCACAAATATACAGCGAAATATATTTATACATTAAAGAATAAAAAAAATTAATTTTTTAAGTGGATTTTGTAATTTTTCTAATTTTTTATAAATAGTAGTGTAACTTTTTAAACACGAATCTTTAAAGTTACTTTGAGGATTTCGAAAAATACAGTTGGGAAATTTATATAAAGTTTTATAAAACTCACGATTCACTATTCGAATTGTTTCTCTTATGTTGTGTACCTGATGTTGTGTAGAAATTGAAAGGAACATTTGCGATATTGTAATTATCTGCCAAATCGGCCAATTTGTCGGCCATTATGACACTCTTTCCAGAGCCTGCTCCGCCCACTAACATTACTGGAATGCGTTTCTTCATAAACAAGTCCATGAAGAAACGCAAACGCATCGTTTCTCCAGTTGGCACCAAGGCGGACTAAATTAAACATTAAATACATTTAAAAAACATTTAATTTATATACACAAAATTTTTTAAAAATTTTGCTCACAGAACCATATCGTAATAAGTAAATAATAAATAATAATAATGATGATGACGACGATGACGACGATGACGACGATGATGATGATAATGATGATAATAATTAATAATAATAATAATAATGATGATAATAATGATAATAATGATAATAATGATAATAATTAATAATAATAATAATAATAATAATAATAATAATAATAATAATAATAATAATAGTAATAATAATAATAATAGTAATAATATTAATAATAAGAACCTGAAGCGGAATATCCGAGTCTAATTCAAACTGGATGACTTTCTCGGTCCAGGGTACCAACTTTTTTGTCTCTGGTTCTATGAAATAACTGAATACAGTTTCGCCCGTTGGAAATTTGACGGCCCTGAATTCATTTAGCCACCATCTGTTGAATTCCTTTCGCCAATCTATCAGCTGATCTCGAAACATCGCGGAACCGAACGCCCAAATGCAAGCGAAGGCAAAATATAATTCATACCTGAAACATCAAAATATTGAAATATAAACGTATGTTTTTACGTCACAAAAGATCATCAGAATTTTATTCGCTAATATCGCTACCATTCCTTCGGACACTCCGGCGGGACATTTTCTTTAGTCAGGAAACAATCAAGTAAGTGACAAAGCATTTGCAGATGACATATCTCTGGTAAGGGAGTGACCTTCTTAAATCTTGACTTTGTCACTTCTAGCAAGGGTGGAATGTACTTTTCAAAGAGAATCGATAGATTAGCACGTTCGGAATTATCTCTCGTCTCTATCCAGCTTGTAATAAATCTGGGAATAAGTTTCTCTTGAAATAATTCCAAAAATTAATCGCAATACGTATCAAAACATAGATTAAATAAATTCTAAGCTAATTACATGCATCAAAGTGTAACTATGATCGAAATATATATTGGAACTTTTAATGAAAATTTTCTTTATCAAAATAATATCATTCATTGCTTACGGGCTCCAACCTAAATCTTGTGGATTAATATATAAGATCCCTGCTCTGGACACTGTCGCTGGCGTAGCTGTTCTAAAATAGAAGCAGGCATATTTCATATATTATTACTAAAGATTTTCGGTTTCTATTTGTTAGTTTATAAGGGCTACTTCAACCAAATTCTGATTAACTTAATCGACGATAAAATTATATCTATGTTCTTTTTAAGAACGCATTTAAAACGAGACAAAGATATAAGTTTAATCGTCGATTAAGTTAATCAGAGTTTGGTTGAAGTGGCCCTAAGGCTCCTTATATGCCACACACAGAAGGAGAGTTTTCAGTATATTTCACATGTCTGTTCTATCGATTTCAAACGCTATTTTATTGAAAAACATTTTTATTTTAACGTAAGTCGTACGAATTTTCATTATATATTTTCTCATTTCTGACGTCATCAATTCAAGATGACTACAGCGAATACACAGGAGTTTTAATGTTTAATTAAAACAAAAATAAATTAAAAAAAAAATAATTTCAACTTTTTCCTTTAAGTTTAATTAATTAGCTTTGGTTCTTTTCAATGATCAAGCTAACATATATTCAATTTTTAAATTATTTTTGTCTAACATGACATAAAATGTTTGCTAATCTGCCTAAGATGTTATTCAAAGCAATTGAAAGTATTTGTGATAAATTTCCAAATTTTAAAGAAATTCTTATAATAACAAATTAAAAATTAAAGAAATCTATTATTTAAGAGTTAGAAGTAAAACGTACCTTAAAGTTGCGATTTCAAAGAGAAGACGCATGTGTTTGGTCAGTGCAATTCTCTCATTACTCGCCAATGTCAGGACCTTGTTATCGTCCATCACGGTATTCAATGATTCGATCCACATCGGGTCGATGTCACCATCGAACACGATCCACTTTGGACCGTTGCTGGGCATATTGGCCTGCTCCCTCATTATCACGGAGATCAAGCTGCAAAAGTGGCAATAAGAATAAAAAGTCAAAGGAAGAGCCTGTTATATATATATCGAGCGTGGCCTAATAAGACTGAAAATTGACGGTTGCGCTGTCTCCCAACCCGTCTTTCCATTCTCTCGTCGCCGGATTAATGACACCAAATAACTCGTCGTTGGTCACCGCCTTCGGATTCAGATCGTTGTAATGCGGTTTGCGCATTTGCTTCGTGTACGTTCGGTTGAGCGTTTTCCAGACTTCGGTCTTACCGGTCCCGGCGAGGCCGACGATAAAGACAGAGTGTCGAACGTGAAGCAACTCCTCCAATTGTACTACCTGAGGCGAAGCGAAGAGGCGAAGGAAAATCTCTTTTCTTTCTCTTCTATATATATATATACACTCACCAATTATTTGAGGTGAATATTACGTGTAATATATGTACCTTTAAAATGAACCCATCTTCCGGTTGTAGCTTTAAATCGAGAGCCGCAGATTTGATCATCATTTCGAAATCCAGATCTCTTTTTCGCGGTACATCCAACGCGGGAAATAAATCTCCTGAGAAATAAAAGGAAAATTGTAATGTAATCATTGATATATTAATGCGCCTTGGAAATATACAAGCTGCCTTGAAACCAGCGATGAGATTAAGTATCTTACAAGTAGGTTCAAATTTGTTTTCATAGTTTGAATTTTCTACTTCTTTGAAAAACAACACTTTCGAGGAAATTTAAAATTTGGATGAGATAAATTTGAACTTTATAAGTACCTTGAAAAATAAAAACAGTATTCCTAAAAACATTCAAACTTGGATGAAGTTCAAATCTTTTATAATTTATGAGAAATTAGGGATAGGTGAATGAGTGTGTGAATGTGTAGCAAATATTATTAACCGATTTTTTATCTTATAATTAATTAGAATTATTTATACAAGATTCGATTTTTATGATTTTAATTGATTAGTAAATATTTATAAAGTATTATTTCGGACCTTGCAGGTGTACTCTAAAATTGGAATATAACTGTTCTGAATTTGATTACTTTGCAAGTACAATATATTATTTCTTATGAATATTATTCAAAACCCAGAAAATAAAACTTGATTATTGGATTCGACTCATTATCAGATCTTTAAGTACATATTGAACTTGATCCCATCCCTACTTGGAAAATTTGTCAAACTACTTTCTAGCTACAGATTTTGTTATTCAGTCAATATCAATACTTCTTTAGTAAAAATATCAGAAGAACGAATATTTTTCAGGCTTTTCCATGTTTCATTCAAATAATATTTATCTTCTTCCCGTACCTATTAATCCCATAAATACTGGCACATCGTCAGTCACGATTTTTGGCATATTAAAGTCTCTTAAAGCTCTCATTAACACTTGCTCCTCCGGTGTTTCCTTATCGTCGCGCTTCAATTTTCCAGCAACAACCAAAACGGACTTGATGGCCCTCAGACCCCAGTCGTAATGGTCTTGTTTGGACAAGAGTTCGCGACATAGCATATACAGAGAAATGAACTTTCTCGCTAGTAATCTCGCTTCTTGGAAACCCTCGGCCACCAACATGATCTCGCAAATTAGCTCAAAATCGGGCACCACCATAGCGCAGGGTCTATCGATAAATGATTTGTTAACGCGATTATTAATTCACTCGATAAATTCTCTCTTTTCGCGAAATATCGTTTACCGAAATAGCGTCTTCAAGTTTTCGGGTAATTCCGTTCTACCGGCATAACCGGGATTCATCGTTATAAACATGCCAACTGTGTCCACAATGTTGATCTCCTCCCCAAAGAACAGAAATTTCTTCTTTCGATTTTTACCCCATCCAGAACGCATTTCACTTGCACAGAGACGACTGACAAGACCTCGACGGAAATCCTATTGAATTCATCGAAGCAACCCCATGCTCCAGTCTGCGCTAATCCTTTGTATATGTTGCCGCAAGACTAGAAGAAGAAGGAAGGTATACTAGTTTGAGAAAGAAGATAAATTGGATTTTATTTAACAAAAAATGGACAATAGATACTAATATAGATACTAAATATTTATGTCGAGATAAAAATATGGGGAATAATATTATTCTATGACCCCTTAATTTGATAGGTGTATTCAATACCTCTTTTTTGCATCCTGAAAAAATTTAATTTAAACCAAACTTATTAGCACGAACATTCTGCTATAGCTCGTCTGCCTTTTCTCGATAATTTTGATTTTCCAAACTTATTTCTTAAATTAAAATAATTTGTTATATTAAAAAAATTGATAAATATATTTTTACATTTTTTAAAAAATTAAAATTTTGAATTATTGATATCTCGAAAACTATTGATCATAGCACATTACAGTTTAGGATATTTTTCTTGCTGAAAATATTTCTCAAACACATCCATCAAATTGAGACCTCCTGGAAATAACATTCTTGCCAAATATTGTAATTTCTTTCTTTGTGCATGTACAAGTCAATATATTTAAAACTTCGCATGTGTGTTAATGTCACAAATGTAGAAAAATGTGTGCAGGAGGAGTTAAAAGTCTCACGGGAGATAACAAAACTCAATTTTACGCTCCGTTAAGCATAACGTAACTTGAAAGCTTAAAAGCACTTTGGCAGAAGAGGACGCAGTAGAGTTGTAACAAAAGAATTACGCGTACCTAACCTAACCTAACGTGTATAATATGTAATAATAACCGATCGTAAAGAGACGAAGAACGTTTATTTCATAGAAACACACGCCCGGTGCAAGACCGGTGGAATCTTTTGCGAATTTGACATTTCTTCAGCCGATAACCTTTGCGTAGGAAACGAAAGGAGAAGGTGGAAGAGGGATATAGAGAGAAGGAGGAGCTATACTTTATAGTCCATTTGTTCGGAACAGTTGAAGACATAAACCATTTGTCCGAGGGCTCTACCGAGGTCCTTGGTCGTCTCGGTTTTCCCCGTCCCTGCGGGCCCAGCCGGTGCGCCGCCCATTATCAGATGCAACGATTGCGTCAACGTAATGTAGCATCTGTCCGTCAACGGCGTAATTACCAGCCGCGGCACGTTATTTACCCAGGTACTCATAAGCGTTATGAAACAGGCGTCGCAAATGTGGCGAAGCAATCTTCCGATTTGTCGTCCCACCTACGGAGGCGCGAGAAACAATCTTTTTCAAATTTTTTTCTTTATCTCCCTTTCTTCTCGTGCGCACCTGCGCGAAGAAATTAGCGTGTACATTGCGCCGGAATAAAAATTAAATCAACATCGGCATAAAAAATTCTCAACGTGAATATATTATAATTATTTTAAAAAAATAGATGAAATTGTTCATATTTTTTTCGAATAATTCAAAAATAAAGGATAAAAATACAAATGGAAAGAGTAGACTATATAGTAGAGGTATAATATGTATATATTTAAATCTGATTTCAATTAAAACAGCTTCTGATAAAAAGTGTTTTTTTACTTATTCAGAAACCATCTTTAAATAAAAATTTAATATTTTTAAATATATTGTACAGAAATCTACTGTAATATGCAGTATTTTCCAGTATATTCGAACTGATCCAAGTGCGAATTACGGAAGATACGAATCTTTTATAAATACTTCGAGAAACTTATTATTTTAAGTTTTATATATATGCGTAAATAATAAGGCAATATGCCTGTATGAAGTTAGCCCCCCATTTTTCGAATTTTAAAATTTAAAGGTTGTTCCAGGTTGTTCTAGACTTGTTCTAAATTGTTCCAAAAGATCAAATTTAAAAAATAAAAATTTTCGCGAAAAATGGAAAAAAAAACGATTTTTTGACCTGGCCCCCATTTTTCGAAAATCGAACTTTTAAAGGTTGTTCCAGATTGTTCTAGTTGTTCTAAACATTGTTCCAAAGTGATAATTCCCTAAACAAAATATTTCACGAGATATAATAAAAAAATAGTTTCGTGCGCTAAAACAGTATTTTTACGTTTTCGGCTATAGTTATTATCTCTTAAACACCAAACTGTATATTTAGCTAAAAACGAACAGAACAACCTGGAACAACTCTCAATTTTGCTAGAACATAATTTTAAAGAGTACTTTACTCTTGGAAATAAACATATTTTGTTGTTTTTTTCGTGTTTTTCGACCGATAACGACGTGACAGCGATCCCAAACTATAGAACAATTACGTACTGGCATAGAACAACTTGGAACAACTCTCAGTTTTGCTAGAACATTATTTTAAAGGGTACTTTACTCTTGGAAATAAACACATTTTTTTTGTTTTTTCATCTTTTTTGCCCGCTAAAGTCGCGATAGCGGTCCCAAACTATAGAACAATTACGTACTGGCATAGAACAACTTGGAACAACTCTCAGTTTTGCTGGAACATTATTTTAAAGAGTACTTTACTCTTGGAAATAAACACATTTTTTTTGTTTTTTCATCTTTTTTGCTCGCTAAAGTCGCGATAGCGGTCCCAAACTATAGAACAATTACGTACTGGCATAGAACAACTTGGAACAACTCTCAATTTTGCTAGAACATATTTTAAAGGGTACTTTACTCTTGGAAATAAACACATTTTTTTGTTTTTTCATCTTTTTGCTCGCTAAAGTCGCGATAGCGGTCCCAAACTATAGAACAATTACGTACTGGCATAGAACAACTTGGAACAACTCTCAGTTTTGCTAGAACATAATTTTAAAGGTACTTTACTCTTGGAAATAAACACATTTTTTTTGTTTTTCATCTTTTTGCCCGCTAAAGTCGCGATAGCGGTCCCAAACTATAGAACAATTACGTACTGGCATAGAACAACTTGGAACAACTCTCAATTTTGCTAGAACATAATTTTAAAGAGTACTTTACTCTTGGAAATAAACATGTTCTAGTAAAATTGAGAGTTGTTCCAAGTTGTTCTAGCCAGTACGAAATGTTCTATAGTTTACGATCGCGTGTCGCTGTCGCGACTTTAGCGGCGAAAAGATGAAAAAACAAAAAAAAATGTGTTTATTTCCAAGAGTAAAGTACCCTTTAAAATGATGTTCTAGCAAAACTGAGAGTTGTTTCAAGTTGTTCTATGCCAGTACGTAATTGTTCTATAGTTTGGGACCGCTGTCGCGACGTTTCGGTCGAAAAACACAAAAAAACAAAAAAATGTGTTTATTTCCAAGAGTAAAGTACTCTTTAAAATTATGTTCTAGCAAAATGAGAGTTGTTCCAAGTTGTTCTATGCCAGTACGTAATTGTTCTATAGTTTGGGACCGCTATCGCGACTTTAGCGAGCAAAAAAGATAAAAAAACAAAAAAAATGTGTTTATTTCCAAGAGTAAAGTACTCTTTAAAATAATGTTCTAGCAAAACTGAGAGTTGTTCCAAGTTGTTCTATGCCAGTACGTAATTGTTCTATAGTTTGGGACCGCTATCGCGACGTAGCGGTCGAAAAACACAAAAAAACAAGAAAATGTGTTTATTTCCAAGAGTAAAGTACTCTTTAAAATTATGTTCTAGCAAAATTGAGAGTTGTTCCAAGTTGTTCTATGCCAGTACGTAATTGTTCTATAGTTTGGGACCGCTATCGCGACTTTAGCGAGCAAAAAAAGATGAAAAAAAAAAAAAAAATGTGTTTATTTCCAAGAGTAAAGTACTCTTTAAAATAATGTTCTAGCAAAACTGAGAGTTGTTCCAAGTTGTTCTATGCCAGTACGTAATTGTTCTATAGTTTGGGACCGCTATCGCGACTTTAGCGAGCAAAAAAGATGAAAAAACAAAAAAAATGTGTTTATTTCCAAGAGTAAAGTACTCTTTAAAATAATGTTCTAGCAAAACTGAGAGTTGTTCCAAGTTGTTCTATGCCAGTACGTAATTGTTCTATAGTTTGGGACCGCTATCGCGACTTTATCGGTCAAAAAAACAAAAAAAAAAAAAAATGTGTTTATTTCCAAGAGTAAAGTACTCTTTAAAATAATGTTCTAGCAAAACTGAGAGTTGTTCCAAGTTGTTCTATGCCAGTACGTAATTGTTCTATAGTTTGGGACCGCTATCGCGACGTTATCGGTCGAAAAACATGAAAAAACAAAAAAATGTGTTTATTTCCAAGAGTAAAGTACTCTTTAAAATTATGTTCTAGCAAAATTGAGAGTTGTTCCAAGTTGTTCTATGCCAGTACGTAATTGTTCTATAGTTTGGGACCGCTGTCGCGACGTTATCGGTCGAAAAACACAAAAAAACAAAAAAATGTGTTTATTTCCAAGAGTAAAGTACCCTTTAAAATTATGTTCTAGCAAAATGAGAGTTGTTCCAAGTTGTTCTATGCCAGTACGTAATTGTTCTATAGTTTGGGACCGCTATCGCGACTTTAGCGGCAAAAAAGATGAAAAAACAAAAAAAATGTGTTTATTTCCAAGAGTAAAGTACTCTTTAAAATAATGTTCCAGCAAAACTGAGAGTTGTTCCAAGTTGTTCTATGCCAGTACGTAATTGTTCTATAGTTTGGGACCGCTATCGCGACTTTAGCGGGCAAAAAAGATGAAAAAACAAAAAAAATGTGTTTATTTCCAAGAGTAAAGTACTCTTTAAAATAATGTTCTAGCAAAACTGAGAGTTGTTCCAAGTTGTTCTATGCCAGTACGTAATTGTTCTATAGTTTGGGACCGCTGTCGCGACGTTATCGGTCGAAAAACACAAAAAACAAGAAAAATGTGTTTATTTCCAAGAGTAAAGTACTCTTTAAAATTATGTTCTAGCAAAATTGAGAGTTGTTCCAAGTTGTTCTATGCCAGTACGTAATTGTTCTATAGTTTGGGACCGCTATCGCGACTTTAGCGAGCAAAAAAGATGAAAAAACAAAAAAATGTGTTTATTTCCAAGAGTAAAGTACTCTTTAAAATAATGTTCCAGCAAAACTGAGAGTTGTTCCAAGTTGTTCTATGCCAGTACGTAATTGTTCTATAGTTTGGGACCGCTATCGCGACTTTAGCGGGCAAAAAAGATGAAAAAACAAAAAAAATGTGTTTATTTCCAAGAGTAAAGTACCCTTTAAAATAATGTTCTAGCAAAACTGAGAGTTGTTCCAAGTTGTTCTATGCCAGTACGTAATTGTTCTATAGTTTGGGATCGCTGTCACGTCGTTATCGGTCGAAAAACACGAAAAAACAACAAAAATATGTTTATTTCCAAGAGTAAAGTACTCTTTAAAATTATGTTCTAGCAAAATTGAGAGTTGTTCCAGGTTGTTCTGTTCGTTTTTAGCTAAAATATACAGTTTGGTGTTTAAGAGATAATAACTATAGCCGAAAACGTAAAAATACTGTTTTAGCGCACGAAACTATTTTTTTATTATATCTCGTGAAATATTTTGTTTAGGGAATTATCACTTTGGAACAATGTTTAGAACAACTAGAACAATCTGGAACAACCTTTAAAAGTTCGATTTTCGAAAAATGGGGGGCCAGGTCAAAAAATCGTTTTTTTCCATTTTTCGCGAAAATTTTTATTTTTAAATTTGATCTTTGGAACAATTTAGAACAAGTCTAGAACAACCTGGAACAACCTTTAAAATTTTAAAATTCGAAAAATGGGGGGCTAACTTCATACAGGCGCATATATGTATGAGTACGTGAATGTATAGTAAGTATTATAAATAGATTTTTTATTTAGACTTTGACTACTTATAAAATGTAGACTTGTACTACTTATAAAAGATTTGATTTTTTGCGATAGAAAGTATTTGTAAAGTATTATTTTGAACTTTACAGATACTTGATTTAAAATTCAAATATAGAACTGTTCTAGATTTGATTACTTCGTAAGTACAATATATAAAATTATACTCTTATGAGTATTGTTCGAATCCTAGAGAAAATAAAATTTGACTACTGAAGTTTACTTGGATTTTTAAGTACTTGATTACTGAAGTTGACTCGGATTTTAAATACTCGATTTACGAACTTGATTTCATCCCTTACAATTTTTCTCCAAAAAGAATTGAACAGTTGCAAAGTTTCTTGTGTAAAATTCCGTTCGAAAAAAGCCAAATTAGAATCACCTGTGTCTCAACTGCGACTGCCACTGAAAATTGGTGAAGCTCTCCGCTTTGATGGATATTAATTTCCCGACGACGTCACGTGCGTGAACATCGATGGTGCAGATGGTCATGATCTTCTGCCGATCGTTCTCGTTCAGCTCGCCTCGTAAAAGCGCGATCAGCATATTCAGCTGGCTGATCTGCTTCTTCTGGTAATCCTTGAGGGCATTCTCGTATCCCTCTTCGAGCCGCGCGAATGCCATATTCACCTCGGAGGTCCACCAGATTTGGGTGCCGCATAGAGCCGGCTGTGCCTGGTGATCTAGAATCCAAGAGTCACGGTGCTTCTCGTCGTACGAGACAACAGCCTGGCTGATGTGATACCTCACGGTTCGTGTCATCGCCTCCGTAACCCAATTCAACCAGATCTCGACCTACGAAAGTAATCAGGTGATTATCTTAATTAAAATAAAAGCTAAACTTAGTAATGCTCCGTGAAGTCTAGCAAATACGGGAGATGTATTTATGGAAGATACATCTTTTTCGAAGATTTGTTTCACTGTCATTAAAAAAAAGTTTATAATACATGTACAATTAATCTTTTAATCGAAAGAAAATAAGACAATATTATTTCCGGAATTATTCAATTTAATGAACTATTTTCATAGGATTTTTTATCAAAAGAAAAATGTCGCAAATCACAGTGCAACGATCGATATTAGAGATATCGATTTTTAAAAGTCGCAATAACAGCGCCATAACATGATGATATTACATATGTACATTTAAGAAAGAATTAAGTACTCCGTATTAATTTTATAAAATGAATTTCGGTTAAATCAACTGGTTTTTTCATATGTTGTAGCTTTTATGATCTGCTAAAGATGTAATAGTCTTAAAGCTAAATAATGGACAATTATTGAGTTACAGCCAGTCAAACTCCCAGCAAACACCGATATATAACTGTTACGTTGCTATAATAAAACGAAATGTAACAGGTAATATAACGTGTACGTTACATGTAACATCCATGTTAGTTGTAATTTCCCACTCATAGATGTAACATTTTTAATATAACATATACTACATTGTAGTTATATTGTAATTATATACCAAATAGCACATTGATGTATTGATAAGTCAGTGCTATCTTGGGATATAATGACAATATAACTACAATGTAATATATGTTATATTAAAAATGTTACATCTATGAGTGGGAAATTACAACTAACATATACGTTACATGTAACATGCTTGAATACATAACATTTATATACCGTGTTTGCTAGGCTGTTTAGAAGAGTTTTTCGTGTTTGACTGACTGTAAATCAGTAATTGTCTACTATTTAGCTTTGACCCTATTATATTTTTTGTTTAGCAGGTTATTAGCTACAAAAAACACGAGAAAACCAGATTTTACTGACATTCAATTTTATGTAGGATTAGTATACGGAATAGTTATGAAAAATTTTTATTTATGTAAAATATTTATATGAAATCTAGATGAAATTGAATCCCGATAAAATTAGCCGGTTTTCTCATATGTTGTAGTTTATTATCTACAGAACAAAAATTGTAATAGGCTCAAAGCCAAATAATAGACAGTGACTGATTTACAATTAATCAAATAGTGAAAAACTCGGATTTTGCGAGCTGTTTAACTAGCTGTAACTCTAATAATTGTTTATTATTTTTAGAGTTAAGACTATTCCCAGGTAGCAAGCTGACGTCAAAATAACGTCATTTTGACGTTTAATGACGTCAGCTTGCTAACAGGGTTGCATCTGTTGTTCAGTAGATCATAAGCTACAACATATGAAAAAATCAGCTGACTTAACCGAAATTTATCATTTTACATAAGATCAGGATAGAGTACTTTAGATAACTTGTTATTATAATGTTATGCGTTTGTGTGTATTATAAAATGAAAACATGGGCGGGAAAGAAGCGAGCACTTTTTGCACTCCCTACCCTCCCCCGAAAAATTCTAAGCTAACTCAAACCCACTTTTAATTAAAATTAATTTTGTTATATTAAAAAATCGATGAATGATCTCTTACGAAAATAACAAATTTTTATTCTCCATATTAAAAAAATTTTTAATTTTGAAAGATTAATATTTTATTGATTATAGCGCATCGAGATTCTTGTTCTCGGTAAAAATCTATCAAACATACCATCAAATTGGGAAATTCCAGAAATAATTTTCTCCTCGAAAATAAGCAACTCATCTGTAAACTGGTTTTTAAAGAAATTATCGAAAAATAAGAATCCAGAATTAATAACGCTTAAGTTGTACAACCGCTGCATATTTATGTGTCATTGCACATCTTGTGAAATTTAATTAATTTTATACCTTTCCCGTGCAATCGCATATGCCATGCATGGCCATTTCCTCGCCGTCTTTTGCTACCATCCCGTTGGCTTGTTTCGTCGGCTTTCCTCCGTCGAGTTTCCACTGCAACTTCGCCAACGAGTCGTACAATTTGGACAAATGCTTGCAAACAATTTCGGGATAATTTCCTGTCGCGATGAAGCGCATGTGCAAGTAAGAATGAGATAAATAATTCTATCGTTATGACGGGGAGAGAAAAGACTTTATACCATTGCTCAGTATGTCCAACAAATCTGCGGACGAGATAAAATAAAACCGTGGATAGGCCAGTCGTTTCGTCTCCAGATAATCGGACAACGCTTTCTCGCAAATACTCAGTTGTCTCTCCAAATCCTCTAAGCGGTCTAGGAGTTTCGGTCTATTCATCGACTTCACTATGTTCAAGTTGGTCAACATTTCCTTTAATAGATCCTTGATAGAAGATACAAGAATTATTATTTAATTGTTATTTTAATTATTAAAAACTATATAAATCATTGAAATAAACGAACTTTGCACTGTGGATTGTCGTGCAACTAAATTATTATATAATTTTTTATACACTTTCTTTACCGCAAAATATTACGAATATTAAAGGGATGTTGACTAGATCTATTTTTTCGACAAACATTATTTTCAACTCTTTATTGGCTGTACAGAATGAAAAATCCTTTACTAGAATTAAAGTATTCATAATAACAAATCTGGATTTCTATATACATATAAATATAAAAAAACAAGAAAGTTAAATAATTACAGTTTTTCTATCGGTCTTTTGCATTGAATCAACCTCACCTAAACAATAAGAAAACTAATCATTTAACTTTCTTGGTATCTTTTTATGAATACTTTAATTCTAGTAGGTAAAAGATCCTAAACGCCGTCCTCTTTTATAAAAAAAAACATTTTTGCTCACCCTTTTCTTTTTATTAATTGAATAGAATAATAAATGTTTTTCCACGATTAAAATGCATATAAAAACGAAACGCGAACTTATCTACTTACTTTATGCTAAAAACAACAAAAAATTTTAATAAATTAATTAAAATTTTTTTGTTCTTTTATATTCAGAAGCTTTAGTTTCATTGTTTTTACGAGAACCTCCTTTCGAAAATTTTAAGGGGAGATTTTTTTGAGTTTAAAATCACCTTAAATTCCTTGTCTATCTTCTCAAGCGTTTCGATTCCTCTGGCAATTGGCTTCTTATATCTTCCGAACCGATAAAATGCTCTCCAGATGCATCCATGTTTGTTGAACCTTGGACCAGGCGTTGATCGTGGCGTCTGCATTGCTGAGCTTCTTTTGCCAATCCATCACCTCATCGAGGAGTAGGCGACATATTTGGAGTCCAACATATTTTGTAATTGCACCTGCGACAATCAGTCTTTCTCATTTCTCAAGGCTGAAGAGGTTGAAGAGAATAAAACCACGCTAGAAAATATGTACGTACTTGATTCTCCTCCAACATCTCAATCGTCTCTTCGCTTATTTTCAGGACGTTGAGTTTTGTACGTTCGTGCATCTCTTTAACGAATTCGAGAGTGTCCCACGTGTGGTGCAGCTCCTTGAGAACTTTCTCCATGGTCATCTCTTTAACAGCCTTGTCCACAATATTCTTAACTTCGTCCTCGTATTTATGAAGCTCTAATTTCAGCAGATCTTCCAAAGTGGTTTTATCGTCCATGGTGAATTTCACCTGCGACATCAATATTTATGTTTATTTAAACTTAAAGGTCTCTTAGATCACTGAATAACGAGTGTCAAAATTGTCAAATTCAAAAATGGAGCATCAATATATTAATATATTAAATAATATAATCTATTAAAAAGTGTTATGTTGCAATATATTACAAAATGTTTAGATTGCAATTTAAAAATATTCAATTCAATTCTTTATTCGTCCCCTAAGGGATTGAAGGCGCTTTTGAAGGAGCGTTCCCCAACCTTACAAACTCTTACAATCTTACTTATATCTACTCTTAACTCTACTCTTACATCTAATTTACAAATAACTTAATTCTACCTTAACCTACTTATCTACTACTTTAGAGAGAGAAAGAGCCGTCCCTACCTATCGCTTCGCTTCGGCTTCCGATTCCCCATACATTCTCCACCACCTCATTCATACCTCACTCATTCTCCTCCTCATACTTCCTTCTTCCTTTTCCCCTCCCTCCCTCCTTTCTTCCGTTCTCCCCTCTTCCCTCTTTTTCTCTATTTCTCTCATCCATCCTTCCCCTTCTCCTCCTTCCTGCAGTATTTCCTTCATTCTTTCCCACCAGTTTCCCTTCCCCCCTTCTCCCCCACATTCTCCTATCACATGCTCCCATGTTTCATTTTCTATCCCGCATAACCTACACCTTCTTTTCCCCTCTTCTTCCCAGTATCTCGCCCCTCTCATCTCATTGTTCATTCTGAACCTGACTATCCTTCTCCATCTACTTTCCCCCCATCCCTTTCTCAGGTATTCCGGTAAACCCTCCTCCTTCCATTCCCCATACCATCTATTATATCTCGACTCTCTTATCCTCTCCCATCTTTCCTCCTTCTGCCTTTCCCTGTCTTTCTGTTCCCACCCCTCATATACTTCCTCTCCCCTTCCCCTTTTTTCCTCCATCTCTTTCCCTTCTATTCCTCTTTCTTCCCAGAATTTCCCCCTCTCTTCCTCCCACATCGTTCTTTCCTTTCCTCCCCTTATCCTCTCTTTCATATCCTCAAAACATTTCCTCGCTAAACTTCCTCCCCTTCCTTCCTCCAACTTCCTCTCATACCCTACCGCCCTCCTTCCTGCCCTTATCCTAAATTTGTCTTTTCCTATCTCCTCTCTTACCATATACCCCGGCGTGCACCAGTCTACTCCTAACGTCCACCTAATCCATCGCTCCTGCATTGCCTCCACCTCTCTCCTCTCCTTCCATCCCCATATTTCCGCCCCATATTCCAACACCGTCCCCACCAACCTTTCCATTAGCCATACTCTTTTCATCCAGTCTCCTGCAAACCTTCTCTTTCCCATTCCCCACACCTGTCTTATCACCGCTCCTGCTTTCCTAACTCTGTTCTTTACCTGCGCCTCCTGCCCCCCGTTCCTCTGTAGCTTATACCCTAAATATGTGAATTCTTTCACTTCCTCTAACCTTTTTCCTTTCCATCTCCACTCCACTCTCTTCATTCTTCCTCCTCCCTTTTTAAACCTCATTACCTTTGTCTTATCCACATTCACCTCTAACCTTTTCTTGTCCATATAACTTTCCATTTTCCCCAACATATGTATCATCCCTTCTTCATCCTCCGCCAACAGTACCATATCATCTGCGTACGCCAAACAATGCACCTTTTCCCCTCCCAGTTTCACCCCCCCCCAACCTCCTTTTCTTAGCACTTCCTCTATATCCGCTATCAGCAAACTGAATAAGTGCGGACTCATTGGGCAACCTTGCCTCACCCCCCTTGCCGTCCAAAAATTTTCTCCCTCCTCCTTCCCCACTCTTACCTTACTCCTCGTTTCCCTGTACACCTCTTCTATCCTACTCCTTAATCCCTCCCTCACTCCCCTCCTCTTCATTGCCTCCATTAACACCTCCCTATCTACCGAATCAAACGCCGCCTTCAGGTCCATAAATGCCGCGACTACCTTTCCCCCCTTCTTGTTTACCCTCTTATTCACCAGATAGTTCAACACATAGATACTATCCATCACCCCCATTCCCTTCCTAAAACCTGTCTGACTCTCCGGTATCATATTCTTCCCCTCCATTTCTTCCTTTAACCTTTCAGTTAAAATTCCCACGTATATCTTGTATAGCGTTGGCATCAATGTTACTCCTCTATAGTTTTCCACTTTATTCCCCGTTCCCTTTTTCAACAGTGGCACTATTATCCCTTCTTTCCACCTCTCCGGCCATCCTTCTCCTCTCCATACTCTGTTGCACATTTCCCATACCCACTCTTCTACCCTCTCCCCTCCATATTTCCATACCTCACTTGGTATCCCATCCTCCCCCGCTGCTTTTCCTTTCTTCAGTTTTCCCAGCATCCTCTTCACTTCCTCCCTGCTTATCTCCTGCTCCTCATCCCTCTCCCTTTTTTCTTTTCCTCCTCTTACCACTTTTACCTCTATCCCTCCCAATAATCCATAAAGTATTCCTTCCATTCCTCCGCCTTTATCTCCTCATTCACCCCTTCTCTCTTTTTCCTTTCCCTGTTAATAATCTTCCATACCTCTCCTTCCGTTCTTGCCTCTATCGCCTCCTTGTACCATCTTAGCCTCTCCTCCTCCCTTTTTCCTTTACACATTAGCTTATATTCCGCCCTTACTTTTCTATATCCTTCTCCTCCTCCTCCTTTTTTCCTCCATTCCCTTAACTTTTTCCTCACTTCTTTCCTCTTCTCCTCACATTCCTCGTCCCACCACCCTTTCCTTTTCCCTTCTCCACTCTCTTTTTCTCCTTCTCTCAATTCCTCTTCTATTCTTCCTATTTTTTCCTCTAGCTCCTCTTCAATCCCCTCCTTCCACCCCTCTCCCCACTCTATTTCCTCTCTTATTCTTTCTCCTCCCCTCTTTGTCCATCTCCCTCTTTTTCTTATTCCTTTTCCCTCCCCCCTTTTTCCCTTTTCAGCTCCTCCTCTTCTTTCTAGCGTTACAATCAATGGGTGATGGTCCGATTCTATGTTATCTCCCACCTCCATTCTCTTTATCCTTTCCTTTACTCTATCCTCTCCCACCACGTAATCTATTACCGATTCCCCTCTTCCTCCTGTATATGTGTACTCCCCCTTCCTATCCCCTCTTATCCCTCCGTTAAAAATTCCCCATCCCACCTCTTCCAACTCTTTTATCAACTTCTTCCCTTCCTCATTAACTTTCTTGTCCTTTGATCTTCTTTCTTCTTCCTCCTCCCCTCCTATCACCCCCCCCCTTTCTACCTGTCCTTGCGTTGAAATCTCCTCCCAAAATCGTCCATTTATTTTCTTCTTTCTCTTCCATCCATTCCTTCATTTCCTCCAATTTCCTTTCCATGTCCCCGTTGATGTATACGCCTATTACCCTCCACTTCTCTCTTCCTACTTCTAAATCCGCCATCATTATTCCCTCCGCCTTTTCTCCCATTCCTGATACTTTTATCTTCCCCCTCTCCTCCCTTACCCCCATGATCATTCCCCCCATCGGTCTTCCTTTCTTCTTTCTCTTCTTTGCTGCTTGCTTCTCCCATCTATATCCTTTCGGTAACCTCTTTTTAATCGCCTCCCACCCCCTTTCCTCTATCCATGTTTCCATCATCACCACCACCTCCCAATCTTCTATTTCCTTCCAGAACTTTTCTTCCTTATTCTTCAGCCCTGCCACATTCCAAAAACCTATCTTCCATTCTTCTCTTACTTCCCCTCCTTTTTCCTTTCTCTCCTGTTCCTTTCTCCTTCCTTCCTCCGTCCCCCTTTCTCCTTCCTCCTTTCTCTTCTTACTATTGTTCTCCCCTCCTCCTTTCCTCCTTTCTTCTCTTCTCCCTTCTTCTATCCCTTTTTTTCCTCCATTCCTGTCTTCATACCCCCTTCTTCCCCCCTCATTTTCTCTATACCTTCTCTAATTTCTCCTTTCCAATTTTTTAGCACACCTTCCTCCTCTTCCCATCTCCACCATACATCATTGATTTTTATCCTTCCATAGCTCGTCCATACATTGTTTCCTTTCCTCCTTTCTATCTCCGCGATCTCCATTAGTCTCCATTTTATCTTTCTCTCTTCCCATGTTAAATCATCTTCTATTCTCACCCTCTTTCCTCTTAATATCTTCTTCCTCTCCATTACCTGTCTTTTCTGTTCTCCACTTCCTAGTTTTACTACCACCATTTCACCTTCCTTTCCCTCCTTTCCTTTCAACATCCTTATCCATTCTATCTCTGCTTTCGCTCCTATCTCTTTCATTAATTTCTCTACTCTTTCCTTTACACCTTCCTTCCCTTTCTCCATTCTTTTTATTACTATGTTGTTTCTTCTCTCTTCTCTTTCCTTCCATTCTAATTTCTTTCCTATGTCCTTCACTTTTCCTATTATTGTCTCGTTTATCCCCTTACTCTCCTCCTTCGCCCCCCTCTCTTTCTCTTACCTCCTTTCTTCCTCTTTCCTCTACTCTTGCTTCCAAATCTATCACTCTCTTCTCCAGGCTCTCTATCTCTTTTCTCAATTCTCTTCTTTCTTCTCTCCATTCCCCCTCCTTTTTCCAAATTTCTATCTTCAATTTTCTCATTTCCTCGCCTAACTTCTCTGTTATCTTCTCCCCTATCTCTTCCATCATTCTCCTTAACTCCTCCTTTTCTATCCCCCCTACCTCTCTATTCAGCCTTTCTGTCTTCTTGCTCCTTCTTAGGCTTCTTTCCTTTTCTTCCTTATCCTCCTCTCCCCCTTCTTCTCTTTTCCTTTTCAAAAAATCCTCTATACATCCCATACTGCTCCTCCTCTCCTTCCCTAACTCCTCTACTCTTCTCGGCCTCCCTGCCTTCTTTTTTATTTCTTCCTCATCTCCCTTTTTCCCCCTTCCTCTAACATCCTATCTCTATTGATCTCTATCCTCCTATCTCTAATATTCTCTTCATTAATCATTTCCCTCTTATCGCTTTCTTTCTTCGATTCACCTACTCTATGCTCCAACTCGCTCCAACTCGCTAGTGAATTCCCTAGTGAATTCCCTATCTTTTTACTTTACTGCACCTACTCCCTACACCTACTCTCCTCTACTCTCTTTCTTCCACGTGTCTACGTGTCCACGTGTCTCACCTTTTCCTACTTTCTCCTTTCTAACTCCTTACCCCTTTATCCTCTCCTATCCTTTCAATCTCTCCTCCTCTTTTTTCTACACCCTCTCACCTCTTATCTCCTATTCACCTCACCCCTTTTCTCACTCTTTCCTCACAAATACCTGCCACGCTTTCACACACCTGTCACTCACTCTCTTACCGGAACCGGAAGCCCAATTTAAAAATATTTTTAAAATTGATATTCGCCATATTGAGTTCACTATTTTGAATTTGACAATTTTGACATTGGAATCTTATTCTAAAAAAAACCCTTAAAGGTTTAAATAAACATAATTGAAAGTTATATTTTTCGATAAATTGTCAATGACGAGTCACAGCTAACTTCTTCAATGCACTCCACATTTAATCATGGATATCTTATTAACCATAACTGACATCAAAAATTTCTTTTGAAGGTTGAAAGTTCTAACAACATTCTTTATTTTGATTGCAATAATTCTCCAGCACGTCACATATTGTAGTTATAACAAAGTTCATAGTAAATAGCCTTTTTGCACTTTAATTGAAGATCTCTCAAAATTGTGAAACAATGGAATAATTTGGAAACCAGATTCGTGTCCAGCACAAAAAATGAAAAACGGCTAGTTCAAGTTAATTTTTTTTATCGAACTGTTATTTACGCACCCGTGTTTCAGCCATGAGCTCTTGCCAATGTCTGTCTCTGATGGCGGGATTTTGCAATTCCGAAACTGCCCTTAACGATGATATCATGTTTCTCACCTGTGCTTCTATGCGCGCGTACAAGTCCCAAGCTCGTAACTCTTTATCTAATTCTAAAAATTAACACAAAAAATTAATTACTCTCATTTTTAAATATATTATGTACAATTTATATATGATGCGAATGTGATTAAAATCAGAATTTTTTGAATTTTACAAATACTTGATATAAGGAAGTTGGAGAAACATCGATATAAACAGTGCAAAAAAAAAACTTACGTCTCAATTCTCGAATAAATCTTTTACATTCTTGATCCATTCCATCGACATCGATTTTTTTCCAGAATGTCGTCTTCCATTCGTCCAGATTCGACGTAATGATATTGACATAATCCCAAAGATTTTTTAGAAGTCTTAATTCTCTTCTAGCCAGCTTGATTTGCTTAAATTCTGTTACCTATAGAAATGGGATCAAGTTTAATATGCACTTAAAGATCCGAGTCGAATAATCAAGTTTTATTTTCTGGATTTCATTTTTTTGGTTTTAAATAATATTGTATAAGAAATAATATTTTATATATTATATTTGTGAAATAATGGAATCTAGGACAATTATAAACGAATTTTAGATTTGAGTACAAAATTCGAAATTATCTTATAAATATTTTCTATTGTAAAGAATCGAACTCTTGTTTTTCGAGCTTTTTATTTACAAAAGTTCGAACCTATTTCATTCAGGTTCGAATTTTTATTAATATATTTGTCTCATAAATTTGTCAATAACAAAGAGAATGAAATCTTAATTGATATTTATTGAATATAAAATGATATAAAAATAATATATACACATACAATAATTACAGTATTATTCGAGTAAAAATTTACTATGAAAGTATATATATATATATATTTTTAATAACCATAAAGGTTTCCATTCAAATAAATTCAAAACTACTTGTAAGATATTTAATTTCATCGTTATATACAACATAAAATTTCTCATAAAAATGTACTTGAAAGTAACTAGTTTTGTTTTTTTAAGATACTAGAGAATTCTAGTTTAAGTATACTTGAAAGTATTTTTTTTTTTAAAGTAATTATAAGGAATTCGAAATTATACAAACAAATTCGAAGCTATTTGTTAAATACTTAATTCCATCGCTAATTACCTGTTGCTCAAATATATTCGCTTGATCGTGCAATGCCTTTAATTCCTCTTCAAATGCCAGGATCTCTTCGTTTATTTTGTCTAGTTTCTCATACACGTTTGTACAATCGAACCTAAGCAGTGATTTAAAAATATTATGTTATAAATTTAGTTACAAAAATAGGAAAGAAAACTATCTTATCTAGAAATGTGAAGAAAAACTAATTTTTTTCATAAAAATAGTTTTCTTACGAAAAAAATTATAATATGGTTGTAAATATAGTATTTTAAATATGATTTTTTTTAGATATTTAATATCTTTATATTTTTTGATTACTAAAATTGATTTTTCATTATTTTTAACTTTTTAGATAATACAAGTAGATTAATAGATGATAATTCGAGTCTTTTCAATTATAAATGCATAATACAAAATTTTTGTTAAAACTATTCGAATTATGTCAAATTTTATGTAATTTGCAAAAATCTCTATAATAATTCATTAAAATTATTTTCGAGAAAGAATAAATTAAAAAAATAAGAATAATAGGTTCTTTTACTATATGTTAATAAAAGTATAAAAAAAAATATTATATTAAAAAAAAATTCTTTTCTTAAAAAACATCTCTAATCTTACCCAAATACGACGTTTTCGCGGAATTGCGTCAGATACTGCTGTTGCCTGAAATCGTAATAATTAAGATGCTTCTTCAGCAGCTCAATTTGTCGCGCCATCAAAGGACTCACGAGCTGCTTCACCTGCGCCGCCCATTTCTTAACCGTCGCCCATTGTTCCGGCAATTCCGTTAGCCAGGTATACGTTTCCTCACCGAATTTTACTTGGTACTGTTTGAGAAGGTCTATGGTCGCCTACAATTGAATAAACATGATTATTACAAGAGAAAAGTAGCTTTTGAAAAGTTGTAATTTTTATTTTCGTTCTAGTGTTGAATTTTTCGTTCTACATAAATTTGAAGAAATAATCATGAAATAAGATACAATTTACTTATTTTATTTTTTTGATTTATTATTTATTTTCTTTTATCATTTATTTTCTTTTATTTATTTTTTCTATAATATTAGAAATCAAACGAAATTACATAATATCATTATTTACTCTACCTTTATAGGTTCCCACATGTCATCAATTTGGTATTGCCGATCTCGGACTTCCTTTAAGTAATATATAGTGTTTAGCAAATCTTCGTAATCATCCGGTGCGATCGGCTGCATGAATTTCTTTAAAGCATTTGTCAAGAATTCACTAAGGTTTCTGAGCCTGCAATGTATGAATTATTCGAATATCAATTGGATTTTTTTTCTAAATATCTGAAAAGAATGATATGTATATATTCAGGAAGTCCATTTTAATCGACCACCTCCAAAAACATTTTTATTTTTGATTGTACAACAAAAGTTATTTGATTTGAAGGAGGACAGAAGATGACTACTGACTTTTTTCTTAAGAGAGTTTCCTCTAAAGATTTTTCAAAGTCATTTAAAGGTTATTTATTTATTTTTTTTTAATAGAACTACTATAATTTTTTTTATACAAATCAATATTTTTAATCATTTTTGTATAAAACACAAATTACTTTTTGGTATAAAAAGTTATAAGGATAAGATTTATTGTTTATTAGTGTAAAGAAAACACATATAGTTATTTGTAAGAAAAAGTATGTAGCTACTAGTTGAAAATTACTTATTTTTTTTATAGTTATGAGTTTTTTTACACCAGCTTCCTTTTATTATTTTATGCATGAAAGTATTGTGGTAATCGTTAAAATATGAATATTTTATGAAATATTTCATAATTTATGTATCATTAATGTCAAATTTAGATATAAAATATCTCGTAAACTATTTATTTTTTGACCATCTTACCCTCATAACTTTTTATGCCAAAAATTATGAGGAATCAATTTATATAAATAAATTATAGTAGTTCCACTAAAAAACATAAATGATCTTGAAAAGCGTCCTTCAGAAAAAAATCAGTAGCATCATCTTCTGTCCTCCATCAAATCAAACAACCTTTGTTTGAAAACTTTTATTTTGTACAATAAAAAATAAAAAATAAAACAATTTTTGGAGATGGTTAAAATTGGACACTCTGTATATATAAATCACACGTACTCGTTGTTTACGTAATCGATGAGATGCGTCTTAAATAAATTGGTCCATTTACAAATCGTGTTGAGCAGAGCTTGCTTGAAGGATCTCACATCTAGACGTAACCAACGTAAGAAAATCTTCTCGTTTTCGAGTTCGTCGCATTTTTTGTAAAGCTGCATAAAATAGTCGATCTCTCTTTTGAAATCATCCAATCCTGGCTTTCTCTCTCTCGGATTCTCCGGAAAATTTTCTAGACCCTGCGCCATTAAGTTTTTTTCCTCATCTGTTAACGCTCGGCCAAAACGTAAGAACAGATTCAAGTACTGCTGCTTGTCGTCCAGCCATAGCCAAGAAAATGGCTCATAGATCTAGTAGTTTGAAGATTAATTGCATTTTGAATTAACCAATTAATTTCATATTTAAATGATTTTTTAAAATACAATAAATACTATTATTCGAAAGTTTGCTCGACAGACTTGCTTTTTTATATTAATTGGAAATAATAGAGATTTAGAAAGTTGAGATAATATACATATATACATATATGTATTCCTTTGGGGGAAAATGACGAATAAAATATGTCTACGATCTAAATTTGAGATTGAAAATAAAAGATAAATATAAAATTGCTTGGAGATCTTACGGTAATATATTCCTGTGCTTGCACCAAACCCAGTTTGATCCTGTTACATGTCTCCTCGAGCATGAAAATGATATTTTCTTCTTCCGTTAAATCGATCTTGAAATATTATAGCGCGATTAGTAACAGAAGAATTGTATTATAATATCATGTACACGATAGGCTGAAAAAGTATACTTAAAAAGTCATTTAATGACTATTTTCTTCACGTAAAGGACCAAAAAATATTATTTTACGTTTCAGATAATATAGAGATGTACGCTGAATGTTATGCGCCTGTTACCGAGCACCCTATATACAACGACGTACTCCATAATGCTCTCGTTCAGTTGCGACATCAGGATCCACACGCGGTATCAGAATTCCCATTCTCATAATGTCGAGCAGCAGGCCCTCGTAAAATGCGTAGAAGCCTTCGGGATCGTCCGGATCTACCGCAGGACGAAAGACAATTTGGGGCGCCTCAAGTGACAACTGGATCTCGAAAAGAGGCGACACGTTGCTTTCTGGATCGGTTTCATCCAGCAGGTAACATATACTGCAAATATGCATATTGTGTGAATGTGATAATTTTTATTTCTTAATAAAATATTATCGAGAAATGATATTTCTAAAATATAAAAATGAACACAGTAGAACAAAAAAGACCTTTTCTTCTTTCTCTCCTAAATTCTAATGTCAGAATTTGCATGTCAGGAGTTTGAGTAAAAAATGGAGTTTTTGGCTACTTTTAATTTTTTTATGACACGAAGAAAACTGGTTTTTATTTAAACTCAACGGTACGGCATCTGAAAGTATAATTCAAGAGCTTTCAAATTTTGATTCATGATTGTACAACTTTTTTTTATCACATCATGACTGTTTGAATTTTAGACATTTTATATAATTTACAAAATAGGTAAATACATATTTATAGGTAGCAACAAATAAAAAAAGTAACTATAATATGAATTTACTTGCAAAGAATAAATCAAAAAAGGAAAAAGACAGTTTGATCCTGGTACAAAAAATTTAATGAGACATCTTGTTGATCCAAAAAAAGTTATTTTATTACCTCTGCGTGTTAAGTTAGGTTCAATTTTGTGAAAAGATTGGATTAAATTAAATATATAAACAAATTTTGAAATTCGTTTGAAATTCTTGAATTATAAATGCCATTAAGTTCATTTTAAAAAATCAGTTTTTTTTTACCGCAAGAAATATTAAAATTTAATTTTTTGGCTCACAATTTAAATCCTAACGTGCTAGAAAAATTTAGACAACTGTATCATGTTCAGCACAAAAAATTTTCGGGAAACGTAGAAAACACAGAAAATTTTGTGTCCTACTTTGGAGAGAATTTTGTCTCCTACTGTGTAATCGATTAATTTTAAGATGACGCGTTAACTTTACAGAGAGAAAAAAACACTTAAAGGTTCGATACCTGGTAGAAGCGGCTTGGATCAGAGCTTTCGATATTAGATCGTCGATATAAACGAGATATGGCTTCCATTTGATCATACACTGAGCGATTTCCTCGTCCGTTTGAAATATTTCTGTTGTCAGTTCGGCTTTTTCATTTTCCACATCAGCTCCCGCCCTTTTCCTCTCCTCAATTCTATAACGATAAATGAAAAATGTTTCTCATAACAGGTGCAAACAATTTTTGTTTTATTGCTACTTTTATATACGGATATCACGAAAATAAAAGAGAAGAACGTTATTTCCAAAATCCCTCAATTTGATAGATGTGTATTGGATAGACTTTTTATCGAGAAAAAGAATGTTGCAAATTAGAGTGCGCTTTGATCAATAATTTTTGGAGATATAGATTGTTTCAAATTTGAATTATCTTTTAAATATACTTCTCACAACAATTAGAGAATCACTTAAATTTCAGTCAGCTGTAACTTCGTTGAAAATGAACCAAATTTAAATTTAAAAAAAGGTTTTTAAAGTTTGAAATCTCTACTTTCGAAAGATCACTACTTTTTTGAAGTTCCTGTAAGTTTGGTCATTCTTACACGTAGAAAACTACGAACTGAACAAAATTAGAAAATTTCTTCTCACTTTGCGGACCTGCTCCGTGTGTAAAAAAAATCTACGACATTTGTCAACTCTCCGGTGTGAAAGCTTGAAGTTTTCTTAACAAAATTGTTTTTTAAAAATGTTTCTACGATTTTTTATTACTGAGTTACCGATTAAATGAAAAATGAGCAAGATAACTGTAATTGTTCATAACTCTGTTAAAAATAATTGTATCGCAATTTAAAAAAAAGATTATTAAGGCTATAAAACTTTGTTCTATCGAACGCAATAATTGTTAAAATTTTTACGAAAACATATAGACTGGTTACAAATGAATGAAAATAACGTAAAAATTATCAACTTTTTCTTTTTTCATTTTGACCTAAAAACCAATTGTATAGAACAACAACAAAAATTTGTTCTTCACGTTTTTTTCTACTTTTCAGTACCCTGAATTTGACAAAAAATCGGCGAATAGCTACAAGATTTTTTTCATGATGGCCACTATGTTTTTATGCTGCAAGAAGTTGTAAAATTGCTTAATTTCAGTAAAAAAAAAAAAAGAAGGAAAATGAAGTTAATTAATTAAAAATTGATTTCTAATGACATTGTCAATGTCTACAGTTGTTACTAAGTGTAAGTGTATAATTGACAGAGTCAAAACAATTAAGGGAGCGCTCTAAAATTTGCAAAATTTGATAATGTTTAAAAATTATCTCCTCTTAAAAAGGTCATAGAACAATGTTTCTAGGCTGATTTTAACGGGCAAATCATTTCCCATTTCAAAATCCATTTCAATGGTAGCATTCCTGCCTGCTTTCTCGTGTACGGCTACAAAGTTATGAAATTTCCAGAATGTTTTGACGATTTTAGGTCTCACACGAAAAACATTTCGACGAGACAAATAATGAAACCTAACTTTCTTTAAAGGATTGGCATTGAGATTTCAAAATTTTTGTTAGAGGTTATTTTCATTGCGATTTTTCATCAAATTTGATACATAAAATGTTTAAATAAAAATTTTAATGTAACAAATATAATTTTAATTTACGTAGAAATAGGTTTGGGTTAAGTTAAAATTTTTTCGGGGTGAGTTTGCAGCTTTCACTTTATAATACACACACACACGCTATATATATATATATATATATATATATATATATATATATATATATAGCACTAAATTAGTCCAGAAAATATTCTTTCTTAAATGTACATATGGTATCATCAATTGTTGTGGCGAAAGAGAGAGTTGTGCTGCTATTGTAACTTGTAAAAATCGGTATGTCAAAAATTATGGATCCGAGCACATTGTGGTTTGCGGCATTCTTCTTCTGATAAAAAAATCCTATGAAAATGATCCATCAAATTGAAGAGTCTAACCGGAAATAAACCGACATTCTTATTAGGCAAAATTTGTTTCAATTTTGAGAAAGAAAATTGCTATTTATACTTCAGTTTGCTCGGTAGAATTCGCGCGTCCTCTTCAGTGTCCTCTGTTCTATCATCGAAATCGTCTAATTCCATAACTTTTTGCCCGACATCTATTCGCGCATCTGTGTATTCAAATGTATCATAGTTTCATTTCAATCAAATCTTGAAATTTTAAGGTTTCCGAATAAGATAGATAAAACAACTAATATAAAAAATGGTAGCATTCGTGATGTGAAATATAATTAATTTAGAGCCACAATCTCCACTTGATTCCTCTCGACCAATAAAGCCAAACGCAATGTTATTGCGACAATTATGAAGGAAAGAACATTTTGGAAAGGAATTTGAATCCTATGGTTGGGATCTCAAAAATTCCCCTTGTTCCTTCTCTTAACATCCCCTGTAAAGAAATAGGCGAGAAAAATATTGGTCCGAAAGTTGGCTGAATCGGTCCCGATTCAGCCAACTTTCGGACCAATATTTTTCTCGCCTATTTCTTTACAGGGGATGTTAAGAGAAGGAACAAGGGGAATTTTTGAGATCCCAACCATAGGATTCAAATTCCTTTCCAAAATGTTCTTTCCTTCATAATTGTCGCAATAACATTGCGTTTGGCTTTATTGGTCGAGAGGAATCAAGTGGAGATTGTGGCTTTAAAAATTAAAAGAGCTGACTAAATAAGTATTCACATTATAATTAATTTAGATATAATAATAAATTTCTTTATTAATAAATTAAATATAATTAATTAAAAACTCGAAGAAAATATTCTACAAACTTTCGTTCTGCAACAATCTAACTTTACGAGACAAGAAGTAGTGTGTTGTGCTTAGATGATTTTAAAATTAGCCAGATGAAGATAAGATAAAAATATGTAAATTTATCTTAGATAAGATAAAAATGATTTTATTTTAAATATATTTAGATAAAAGATAAAATTATATGGCGATTCATCTAGATAATTTTCTAGATAATAATTTTTAAGATTGCTTATGTAAACACAGTTATAAAAAAATGTAAATTATAAAAGGAATATAAAAATATATGTATTTATATTTTTATTTTTAAATTTTTATCGTTTACTGCTTAAGTTCTACTATTTAAATATTTTTATGAGCTATGACTCTAAAACCAAAATTATCTGAAAATTATTCTGAATAATTTAGTATAAAGATAATACTTTTTTTTTATCGAAGATGCAGATATAGATAATACATATTTTTATTATCTATATAAAGAGAAGATGACGCCAAAGTTACATCTAGATGATCATCTATATAATTTTATTTAGATAACAGCAAACACTGACAAGAAGTGAATATGAGTTACTACCGTTCCACTCGAACTCGTCTTTCTCGTACCAAGCATCGGGCAACAACTCGAAGAAGAGTTTGTAATTTTCGTCCAAGACTCGATTCAGTTCTCTGACGGCACGCTCGATCTGACCGTATCGCTTTTGGAAATGCTCATCACGTTCGGCCACGGCGAGCAAATTCTCGCTTTTAAAATCCTTACGTTCCAATATCGGTGACAGTGCCCACGAGTAAATCATTCGTAGCAACGCATTGACGTTTTTTTGCGCGCAAAAGATCCGCGAGTGTAACTTTCGTATCGGAAGCATCAGGTTACTGATGTACTCCGGCACTTCTGTATTTTTACAATATAATGTTATACCTATATGATATATGCATATACAGAGTGTTCCTAAATAAGCGCGAAAAATTTTAGGAAATCATTCTATGTCGAAAATTAAGGGAAATTTTTCATGTAAACATGTATTTCTAAATCCCTTCCTGAAGAGTTACATTCCTACAATGGAGAAGGTAAAAATTAGATTTTTAATTTTTTTTCTCAAATTTTGAACAAGTTAAAAAATAAAATTAATATTTCTATTGGTAAAAAAATGTTTATTAATATTTTTTTAATCTTTCCGTATAAAGGGATGAAATTAACAACCCCTATTCAATTTTTTATTAAAACTTTTTAAGAGACCAGAATGTAATCATTTAAAAATATGCGTTAGAAAACTTGATTTGTTTAGAAACTTTTTTTTTCGTAAACTTAATAATTTAAAAAAATAAAAATCTAATTTGAAGTTCTTCTTTGAAAAAATGTAACTCCTTAAGGAAGGAGTATATATTTAAAAAATCATTTCCTATACTTTTTCATTATTAAAAACACTGTATAAATATACATATACATATATGTATATGTATGACATACAGGCTATTCCAAAATTAGACTGTCAAAGTTCAGGTAGTTATAAAGAACATTAAAACAAGTCAATTTTATTAATAAATGCATGTCCGCAAATAAACCGTTTTGACAAAATAGTTTATGAAGTAAAGTATATTTTTTTTTCCATCATATTTAGCTTTCCCATAAATCAATTGCTTATCTGTCAATTGTTCATGAAAAAACTTGTCCATTTCGAAGATGAATTTCGTCTAAATAATAATGAATATTGATATATCCTTTTGTTTTGATATTCTTTACAACCACTCAAAGTTGATCGGTCTAATTTTAAGATATCCTGTATATGTATAACTATTTATCAACTATATTATATAAGTTGATATATGGTATAGTTAATAACTAGTAACATGTGTATGTAACCAGAATTTTCACCTGGAGAATTCCAGTTATAAGTTTCCTGACCGATATGAATCAATTCGTCTACCTTCTTGATTTCGTGTTTCACCAACTCAAATTCCACAGGCAAACTGTAAGTCCTTATCCGGTTGTACCTGCCTCACATTTGAATGAGTCGAAATTATTTGAGTCATCTTGCAGGGTGTATACTCAAATCTTAGAAATAAATTCCCTGAGGATTCCATAATTTTCCAGGTACTTTTGTTTAAAATTAAAGTAATTTAAGTAATATTTAGAATACAATTTTGAAATAAGTTTATTTGTTATACATAATGTTTTAATATAAATGAATATTTTTAATATAATAACGTATTATATTATAATAAAATATATTTTAATATATACTTTAGTTAAAACTAATAAATTTATAAAAGGTAAAAATCTTCTCTCGACCGTACTGGCAAATATTATTTATTCAATCACAACGTTTCGACCCTTCTTTGAGTCCTTATCAAGTGATTTGTAAAATTAAAAATAAAATTATAATTCTAAGATGTCAAAAACGAACATAGTATCGGTTTGACAACACGTCAAGACTCTTAGACGAGTTATTGGAGACTGACTGGAGTCTCCAATAACTCGTCTAAGAGTCTTGACGTGTTATCAAACCGATACTATGTTCGTTTTTGACATCTTAGAATTATAATTTTATTTTTAATTTTACAAATCACTTGATAAGGACTCAAAGAAGGGTCGAAACGTTGTGATTGAATAAATAATATTTGCCAGTACGGTCGAGAGAAGATTTTTACCTTTTATAAATTCTGTCTGGCGTTTCTCAAATATCTACGTTCTTAATAAATTTATATTTTCTTTAAAACTCTTTTCTTTAAAATATTTTAAAATTAAAGAGGCAATGTAGAACAAAATTCCCTAAGAATACCAAGCTACACTGGCTACACACTAGTTCGGAGATTGTCTTTTTTGCTCGACAAAGGCAGGAAAAAGATAACCTCTGAATTAGTGTAGTCAGTGTAGCCAAAACGAACAGACCTAATCTAATAAGTGTTTCTACTCACCATCGTATGAACAAACTGAGATTGTACGTGCTCTCGAAAAAATACTGTGTCTTGTAGTAGAGCCGAATCGCTTCCACGGGCAGGTCTGTCCTCTCCATAATCATCATATAACGAGTTTCACGCAGCAGAGCGGTCAGCTCCGGGTCGAAGTTCAGATCGAGCAATTTATTCCCGCGTATCGCTAATAAGCTCTTCGACAAGTGAACGTTGCTTATATTGACTATCTTGTTGGCCCAGTCCGTAAATATTTCGTGCTCCAGCGTATCCATGAGCGACTTGCGGGAACACGATGTGCTTTTATTAACGCAATTTTCGTCGTACGAATACATAAAGCATTGTGAATTTCTTAAGAGGATCCTTCACGTTTGTCTGTTTTACCGATTAATTATTATTTTCGTACTTCTAGGCTTTTGTCGCATTAATTTGACAGAATTAAAAATGCTTCTATACGATTGCAATACATACAACAATCCCAGGGAAGTTCGATTTCATATGACAAACTAGAAATAATAACGAAATTACAGTTTTCTTTCTCAATTTTTATCTCGATATGACGTCTCGAATGACAGACGAGCTGTCAATTCATTATATTATATGCTTTATATCAAAAATATACATTTTATATAAACACAAGATCCCTGGGATTAAAAAATACATGAAAAAAAGAATTGTTATCCTCTAAATCTAGATTAGAAGTCTAATATAAAAGTATAGTTTGTATTATGATTCCTACGTATGTGTGCGTGTGTTGTATAATAGAGCAAAAAACAGCAATATATATTTACGTTCAAATCTATAATAGTATTAAACGTAGCGGAAAGTGACTTCATGTGTGCCATGTATACATGGATTTCTAATACATTTGATCTGGATGATTTTTAATATGAAATTTAAACTATCAGTAATTATTTTTCGAAAATCAGTTGGTAATTACCGATATTTTTAATTCCAAAATGAGGACACTACTATTTTGTCGGAGTTCATTGTTCACTGAAGGATCCCCTTAAGAGGGAGTTACAAGAGTGCAGTGAATGGAAAAGAAATATTTTAAGATTTAGCAACTCATTACCTGCAGCTGCTCGTACTTCGGCTTAGTTTCGCGCGTCAATTTCAGATTTACCAGAGGATGATCGACAGATTTCACGCATTGCGTAGGGAAGTTTATTCGTTGCCGCAATTGCATCAATGTGCACAATGCGCCAGCCACACGTGGGAAATACTGATCGGTCTCTATCCATACGCTCTCGTCACGGTTCTTAAACCTGCTGTCCAATATTATCTGGAAAAGATACAGATTTTCAAGGCTCTCAAACTTTGTAATAATCAATAATGATGATTACATATAAATATGTATATTATATTTATATTAATCTTGTTATTAACTAGAGATAGAATCATGTTCAATATATATGTGAAATCCAAGTCAAATAAGTTAGTTAAATAATCAAGTTTCATATTTTTTTAGAGGATGTGAAATAGTACTCATTAGAAATATTTTATATATTGTACTTAGAAGTAATTGAATCTAGAATAGTTCGAATTTTAAATCGAAGAACTTGCAAAGTTCGAAATATAAGTACTTATTATTAGTACTTATAATTTTAGCACTTGAAAAGGACCTAAATTTAAGGTCGAACCGTAGTGTGCTTCATATCTAATAAAGACAAATTATTAATAAGAGCCAGTATGATCGAACTAATCATTAATTTCCTTATTACTTATTATTAGTATTCATCACTATAGTAATAAAAAGTAATAAAATTATTAGTAATAAGAAGTACAAACACTGCAATCAAAATATCATTTAAAAAATTTAAATATCTGTAAACAATATAAATAAACATTTTTTGTAATTCTATATGCAAATTTTTATGTATATAATTCAATTTTTGTAATTTAAATTTATATAAAAAGAAATGAGAATTTAAATGTAAGACATAATAGTACACACAAAATATAAATAATAAAAAATTAAGAATTTAAATATAAATCGTATAAATAAATGTAAAAATGTAAATATTTAAAACAATAATTTTTATTTAAATAAAAAAACTATTTAAAAAATGTCTTTTTTCCATTTTTTATTTTAAATGAATATTTAAGAAGCATTTTGCATTTTGCATTTTCAAATGGAAAGGTTTCAACTATTTTGTATTTTCTATTTCAAATGTGTTTCAAAACACCCATTTTTCACATCTCTGTTTGTAAAAAAACTTAATCCCATTGCTAATATTAATCATTAATATCAAAATGATATAATATATGAGACACATTGTGCGCACTTTAATTGCATCGAAATGACTGTGAATTCTTTGAAGCAATCTCTCGTAATTGTGCCACAATTGCGCCATGATGATCGGTCGATTGGCCATCGAGCCTATGATCCATATTATTTTAAATATAAATTCTATATTGTGACACTCGGAGAACGCCTGATCGAATAGATTCGCCAACTGTCGATCGAATTCCTCAATCTACGACAAACGAAATAACAAAATTTACATTATTTACAGCGGGGAAGAAGGGTACAATTTTATATTATTTTTTTAAAACTTATGCGAGTAGTTATATCGTCTCACCTTCGCTATAAAGAAAGCGACGCTATCGTCGAATCGTGTATCCTCCGGTATTAGAATATCGTATTGCAACTCGGCAAATTTATTGTAAAGTTTGACAAACTTTTCGTGAATATTGTATATTATCGAGCATAGCGTTTTTCCCTTCAAACCGGCGAGTTCCATCTTTTCGAGCTTGAAATATTCTTGAGCCGTCTCGAACAACGTCTGACGAATAGCGTGGAATAATTTATTACCTTCTTTGAACTTATACACAGCTTATCTCGTATTTCTAGCAACGAAGATTGGATTTTTATATTTAAAAAATTTGCTATATATATTTTTAAATATAAAATATATTTATTTTTATATAAATTTATATATATATATATATATTTTATATGTATATAATAAATACATATTTTTTTTTAAATTGAAATGATTCTGATATTGAATATCCACAAGCAAAAAAAGCGAGTTATAATTATATAAGAACCAAGAACGTTAAATGGTGCGCAAATTATTTTTTCTTGGTAAATATTATTTATTTTGTACGTTTTGATCCAAATTTCGAATCATCATCAATAAATGTCAAATACAGATAAAACAAATCTTACGAAGCCGATTTTATATGTATATTTTTTTGGAAGTGATTTAAAAAATTAGATTTGTATTAATTTATTTTAGCTTGAAAAGAAGATTACGAAAAAGAATAGAATATATTAAGAGGAAAATGCTTGAATATAGAAATATTTTGACGACGCAGCTAGCATCAAAATAAATTGCTCGAACTGAATTTTAAGACTCGAAGCATGAAACCTTTATCTTTGCCAGACGTTTTTGAAAATTCGTTATTCTTCCAAGTACTAATTCCTCGTCGAAATTCCACGGCATTAAGTCGGCCGAGTGCTTGAAGTAATTATCCAGCTTGCTTCGAAAGAACTCGAATATTTCTGTGTAATAGGTCAGAATGCCCGTCACGTGCTCCAAACGTTTCAAACTGTCCTTCACGTCACCCGCGAACAAGGTGCTCTGATCCAAATATTTGGCGGCCTGCGAAACTGCACGATTAGCGAAACAATGGGCATCTGTACGTTCTTACAGAAAAAGAAGAAAGTATTTAATTTATTGCGTCTTAATTAAATACGCGCGTATTTGATTTAAAGTAGTTCATACTAATCTTATCAGGGTTGGGTAAACACTAGTTAATTAGTTAAAAGTTTAAAAAAATGTTAAAAAGGTTAATAACTTTTTAACTTAGCTTAGTTAATTTAAAATGTATTAATTTGGAACTTCAACTACTTATTTTTGTAACTTATTAACTTTGTCCTAAGTTAATTTTTTTTATCTTTGAATACTATTATTATTTTTTATAAGTTATGTACGTATTATTTTTAAATTAAAGTATTATTAATTTTTATGTTCATTTGTCATCAATTGTAATTATTTCTTCAAAAATATATTTCTATATAAAAATCAAAATTTCTTTGTTAAAGACAAATTTCTTTGTTTTTTCTTTATTGTTTTTAAAAATTAACTTTTGATTTAACTTCAGTTAATTTAATCTTAACTTAAGTTTAATTAAGTTAATTTTTGTTTATGCAACTTTTAACTTAACTAAATTAATTTTATAAGCAACTAACATTAACTTAATTTAGTAAAGCTAAATAATAGACAGTTATTGGTTTCAAATCAGTTAAACATGAAAATTCGGATTTTGCGAGCTGTTTAACTGACTATAACTCAATAATTGTCCATTATTTAGCTTTCAAGCTATTGCATCTTTTGTTCGATATAAACTGCAACATATGAAAAAGCCAGCTGATTTAACAGAAATCCGTTTCAAATAAGATTAGTTCAGGGTACTTTGTTTTATATCTTTCTGATAAATTCTTTTCGAAAGTTGAGGACTCATATTTTCCGACACTATCTGATGATATTTCCAAATATTTCTCCTATAAATCGAAATTCAACAAGCAAAAAGATCAGTAAAAATTAATCTTTGGGATTAAATAAATTACAGCACAACAAAAAGTTTTCATGACATTACTGCTCTCTTGAAAAGATATTAAATTAAATTTCTCTCATTAAATAAATGTCTAATATTAATGTCTAATAAATTTATTTAGATCGTTTGAGCGCCTCAGGATTGAAAGAACTGTTTACCTCGCTTATCAGCAGATTGGATATCTCGGACAACAGGGTGATTATCCGTGTGGAAGTGCAATAATATTTCGAGTTCGACCATATTAGGCACACGCAATGCAGCAGTGGCTTCAATTTCGGTTGTATATCTTTGAATTCGGTATTTTGTATGTCTTCGATATAAGGTTCTAATGCTGTCAGATATGAACACACATCGCGCGCTTCGATCACCGCTAAAAATACGAATAAAAAGCTTCTCTGGATTTTAACGTAATTTTTTTAACGAAGTTATACCTTATTTATCTGAAAACTCTTTTAATTAATTTCTCAGTTTTTTAAATAATTCATTAGAAGGGCAATTAAGGAATTAAATATATCAATTTGTTATACACCCATTTAATTATCAATACATTAAATTAATATTTATTGACCGCTTGTTCGGTAACGTTAATTAACATTAGCAAGATCTAACCGGTGATAACATCCTTAAACAGAGTCTTAAAAGACTGCGAGTAGGGACTTTTAGTTAATTCCAGGATAGATGCCATCTTTCTCACTCGAGGATCCCTCATCTGATTGTAGATAGATTCAACGTTTTCAAGTCGTTTACGCCAAAACTCGATCTCTAAAAGAAAAATATATACGTGATTAATAATTAAAATCTTATGAATTTATTGGAAATCAAATAAATCATAAAGAAATAAAAATATACATACTTTTTTTCTAAATTATATTTTTTTTTTAAATTATCTAAATTATACAAGGTGTCAAAGATGAATCCATGAACATATAGAAAATAGGTAAAAATAATCCCATAAGTTTTTAAAACAATATTTCTATATTCTTTATCGAAGTACTCGTCTATAAAATTAAATTTTTTGTAATTTCGACTAAATCTATTTTGTTTCGATAAATTTTAAAATGCAATTTTGTATCATTCAAAATTATTGTTTTATTATCTAAATAAAAATGTACCTATTTTATTTAAATGATTTTTAAATAAAGTAAAATGATAAATAAAGAAAATGATAATTTTTTTCAGAAACAGTAAATTTTTATGAAGTAAAACAATAATATGTTTTTAGATAAAAAATATGAAGAACCTAAAGAATGCTTAAAAATAAAAAAATATTTTGCAACAAGTTTTGTAGGTTCAGAAGTACAAAGGTTAAGAAGTACTTTTTCTATAATAAGTATAAATACTTATAATAAAGTACTTAAGTACTTTTTAGTACTAGTATATAGTACTAAGTACTAGCTGTAAGTATTGTTTGGACTTTTATACGTCTACTTAATTTAAAATTTAAATTCGATTCTGCGATCGAATTCAATTACTTCGCAAATACAATAGATAAATTAATTCATCTAAATAAAAAAATTATTATTTCTTACGAGTATTATTCGAATCCTAGAAAATGAAACTTGATTATCGGATTCAATTCGGATTTTTACATGTTGAATTCAATCCCATCCCTAATCATAATACAATGCATAATTTATACCAAGTCCACAAATAATGACTATAAAATATTTTGTCAATCTTTAAAAAAATCCGAATTGAATACACGAAGAGTTTTTAATTAGTTCAGAAAATCTTCCAATTTAAAAATAAATACCCTCGCTCGGTAGCGGCTGTTTATCATTGAAAAAACCGCGTGTGCTCTCCTCGTTGAGTACATCGCTAATTTGCGAACACCATTTTGTTACGATAGTCTCTATATCGCTTTTCAAACGAGCATCAATCTCGAACCCGCCGCTCTTCTGCGCTTTCCATTCCGCTTCGAATACCTGTTCGATGCCCATCGGCATCGGCAGTAACGTTTGCCCCGTCATCTTACCTTTAATCTGAAAAATATTGTTTTTTTCCTTTTTTTCGTTTTTTAAAGTATTTTGTAGCAGAGAACTAAGAAAGACATTTCTATTCCGCTTAAAAATTTTACATTTACAGTTCGGACATATTTTATTTATAATAAAGTACTCACTGTGACCATATTAGATTGTGACGTCAGATGGATTATAAAAGGAAAAGGATAGTTTTCGGAATATTTTAGAAGTGTGCTAAAGTCATCTAAAATTGCGTTTCATCAAAATATCTTTTTATCTAAAAATAGCGCGCAAAAATGTTCAGCGTGTATTTTTTCACCTCTGACGTTACAATCTAACATGATCCTAGCAAGCATTAAGGAGAAAAAATCGAAGGATATGTAAACGCGTTTTTTTTCTTTTTTAAATAACTATAAGCGACTTCGCGTACCTGACATATTATGTTGCGAAAATCGTAAACGTGTTTCTTCATGTCTTCGCCGATGATGTGCGGCCAGCTTTTGTGGTTTTTCGGATTCGACAATATCGGCACGTAAACCTAAATAGAACAAGTCGTGTAAGTCAATCTCTTTTTGTTTTTAGAACGCGAGCAATTCGCTACCTCCTCAAACAAAACGGACAATTCCTCGATGGATTTCGGTGCCATGTCGCCAGGTATAATGACGTCTCTGTAATTTTCCCGCGTGATCTTGGCAGGGCTCCTCTTTATGAAATATGATGCCTTTACTCGACCTGTGGCTGGTATCTCGAGAAACGGCACCAAAACACCAGCCGGACTCAGTTGTACTATCAGGATCATCTCCGACGGCGTGTCGAAGAATTTCATGATCATCTCCTAACATATTTTCGTATTTAGGATATAAATAAGCAATATTATTAGTCTAATCTTGAACTCTATCTTTCAAGTGAAAATAGAAAGAAAGTTATTAGATGGTAAAAAACTTCGAAAATGTTGCTCGTGTAAGAATATTGCAATTTCTTTTCTGTTCCATTTCTTCTTAATAAATAATTAAAAATTTATTTATAATTTAAAATAAAGAATAATTCTCTACAAGCATATTTTTCGTATATTCTATTAATCTGTTATTTTGGGAAAAATATTACTAATATTACGTTAATGATGATATTTTTCTGATGAATAAATTAATTTCCTTTGATAATTGTTTTTATAGTACAGTAAAATTTTAAAAATTATTAGAATCATGAAATATATATTATATATTACTCAAACGTAGCAATGAAATTTTTTTATATATAGTCTATTAATCCATATTTTGCTATGAAGAGAATTGAGAAAGAGTATTGTCAATAGGTTAATATAAATTAATTTTTTGTTAATTTTTCTTTAAAAATTATTAGAATCAGATTTGAAATATAGACATACATATATATATATTGTATTACCCTAACGCATATCTCAAATTTGCATTTAATTCACATTAATGATTAAAGGTTAGGAGATTTATGGGGGAAATATATTGCACCTTGTATTCCTCGTTTGTCAACATCCTTATCCATTTATCGAGTTTAATTTTTCTCGATAACACAAGATATTTATAAAGATATTCGAGACGCTCGTCATCCTCCTTTTTCTCCTCTTCTCTCTTGTCGGTCATTTTTATTTATACTTACGGGAAATATTTCTTGTCATCAAGCGCTATTCAATTGAACGATTTGAATGTTGTCAATTTGTTTTCGCAGGAGAATTTTCAAAGTAAAAAGAAAACTACAATTAGCGGAATATATTCGTAATATCTTATTAAGGCACAATACACACATAAAGAAAGACATATTACTCTCGAATGAAATACGCAAATATAAAAGTATAAAATTCATTCAAGTTACAATTAAAGGTATAAAGGCAAGAGATGAAAATTGAAGAATGTAATACGTGAGAATGTTGCATTATACACTTCTTTCGCGCAATAAAAGCTTCAGACTAGATTCTCGTAACGGCACTAAAGAAAGATATTGAGGTCTCTGAATCGCGCCGTCGACCTGAAAGTCACACAAACTGAGAGTGAAACTCATCGAAACTCGAGTCGTGGACTTATCTACCGTTCGTCGTTCATTTCCGGCCAGACTTGTCTTTCGATCCACTCCAAATAGGAATAAACCGCCGTGTAAACTCCTGGTACGGTTCCACCGCAAGTTTGCCCGAACGCCGTGATTCCCACAATGCTCTGATTGGGTCCAGCGAGCATCAGCAGGGGCCCGCCGCTGTCCCCTTGACAGGCGTCCGACCTTCTCGTAACATTGGTGTCCGCTACGCATAGCATATTGTCATCCAAACCGCGAGGCAATTTGTTGAAGCCGGTGAACGACTTGGAGCACGACTGTCTATCTACAAGGCTATAAAGAGGCTGTTATGTATTATTTACAATAATAATTAATGTATTATTTACATAAAAAGAAAATATATAAGATTACTCAAAATGATTAATTTGATTTGAGCGAATCTTTCATGTTTGTCTGCTTTATCGACCAATTATTATTTGCGTACGTCTAGTCTTTTGTCGCATTAATTTGACAGAATTAAAAATCTTCTCTACGATTGCAATACATACATCAATGATCCCAAGGAAGTTCGATTTCATATGAAAAACGAGAAATAATTACGAAATTACAGTTTTCCTTATGAACTTTTATCTCAATATGACGTACGTCTTGAATGACAGACGAGCTGTCAACTCATCATATTATGTGCTTTATATAAAAAATATACATTTTATATGAATACAAACACAAGATTCTTGGGATTAAGATACATGAAAATATGAAAAAAGGACTATTATCCTCGAAATCTAGATTAGAAGTCTAATATAAAAGTATATATAGTTTGTATTACGATTCTTATACGTATGTGTGCGTGCATTGTAGGTATAATAGCAATACATATATTAACGTTCAAATCTATAATAGTATTAAAGCAAAGGGTAACTCCATGTGTATATATAGATTTTTAATACATATTTGATTTGGATGATTTGTAATGTGAAATTCAAAATATTAGTAATTATTCTTCGAAAATCAGTTGGTAAACCGATATTTTTAATTCCAAAATGAGGACACACTGTCGGAGTTTGTTGTTCGCCGAAGGATCCCCTTAAAATGATTATATTTTGAAGTTTACAAGTATATATAGTGTTTAGTGATACAATCGTAAAAGAAAAACTGTACAAGCCTTGTCTTTCATAACTTATAAAAGTATTCGATGTGATTTTCTTTAGTCAAATGAACAAGGTTATGAGACGATAGTCTTTCTCCTATATTTTAGTAATTTGTATATCTGTTGTCACTGACTTATAAGTTGCTTTCCATTTACATCAAAACTCAGAAGAAAGACAGAAGTGAGATTTATCTGAGTTTTGATGTAAATGGAAAGCAACTATAATAGCTGTAACAAAGTGATTTTTCGTTTCATCTAGAGTTATGAGTACGTATCCTCAAAAGAAAAAGTGATTTGGTGTTCTAGTTTCTAGGTCTTCTAGGTCACCGGATCTTATGTGACTTTTTTTAAGGTTAGACACAAAGGATGTTATACGACGATGATATACGTTGTCTACAACCCCTGAACAAGCTCCAAAGGAGATCCAAAATGTCAGTGTCAGTGACAATGGATTTGCTAGAGTTCGGAAAAAATACTGGTTTCGACGTTGCTCGTGTAATTAAGGAAAATCGGGCACTTATAAGATGAGAAACTTGATAGTTTTTCTTTTGCTTGAAATCGAATAAATCATTTTGAATAACCCTGTATATGTGTAAGATTATATCTTTCGTCAGACGCTAAAATTATTTTGCCAAGTAATTTCGTAATAATCGATTACACAAGATATAACAAAAGAAGGTACAGCTAGAAATCGAATAGCAGATTTTTCGTGAAAAGTATTGTTACAAGCACGCATTCGGAAAAATCCCCTTCGTTAAAAATTTTTGATAAAAAAACTATGTATTATAGTTTGACTTTTATTTTCTTGCACCTGAGACTTGGCGTCTTCATCAACTTGCTGCTGCCATCCTCGGCGAAACTAGTAGCGCCCCAACCGATCACGATGAACGATGTGTTTGGCGACACGTCCATATTGTCGAGGGATTTCGTTTGGATACAGATCGGCCTCACGTCACTTGTCATGCGTACGGGCATTCTTAATTTCAGGATCGCCACGTCGTTGTAATTCATGCTGCGCTTGTAACGCGGATGCGTTATCACGTCGAGTATGGGAATCCGTTGCGCTTCGTCGTTTTTTAGATCCTCGCTACCGACCCTTACCTAGGAAGCAAAAGAGATTTGTTCTTTGAATCCCGCAACATAGTTATAAAATTATAGGAAGGTTTATCCGAACCCACTCTTGTGATGAATAAGGATATCTTTGTTATAATCTACGTTATATATAGGATTATTCGAAATGATTCATTTAGTTTCGAATAACGTTATTTTGGAAGTTTAAATATATATAGTGATACCTTAACAGAAAAAGACTGAAAGTTTTGTCTGTCAGCTTATAAGTGCTCCCGTGTGATTTCCTTTAGTTACACAAGCAGATACATCAAGATAATCTATTTCTTTTGGGAATATTATGTGTGATTGTTGCTCACAACTCTAGATACGCTTCAAATGCATTGTTTCAGCTGTGGAGTCAATGACAATGGATATACTATAGAATATAGGAAGAATTGATCTATCATTCGGACGTTGCTTATGTAATTAATAGAAATAACATCAAACACTTATGACAGACAAAACTAGGGCAGTTTTTCATTTAATTGATGTCTCATTAATCAATGTATGTATTTGTAGGGAGAAGCCCAAATGGACAGAGAGTGAGATTAAACTATTAAACACAAGTGTTCATATTGATTTATACTTTGGGTGACGATCGACTAATCAGAAAGTCCTTGTGTTTAATTGACCGATAAACAATTGCTATCCAATTGGGTGGCACTCTAATTGTACATATCAAAAATATAGTAATTCAAAAATCAGATGAATCACTTTGAATTACTTCGTATTATATAATGGATGCAGATTTCAAGTATCTTTTGATCTACGTAGAAAATGAGAGTCTACTACTAATCCGTTTCATTTCTTTTTCACGACAGAACACTCTCACTCGAATCGACGCGACGGCAGTTATTTTTGACGGTTAATCCTTGAATGGGTCGCGACCTTGAACTTGCTGCTCGCCGCTGCTGCTGCTTACCTCTATCGGTACTTTCTCCTGCACGTTGTTCACGCAGTGAGCGGCAGTAAGTACATATTGCGACGAGATCAACGTGCCGCCGCAGTTGTATTTGATGTCCGAATTCTCGTCTTCATCATCCTGGTATCCCAGAGCGACCATGTACGGAAATTCCCCGCGCTCGGCTTGCATGCCACTGAATATGTGGAAGTGCACCTCGTTGTCCCTCCTCGCCACCGGCCCCTTATTGCTACCGGTCCCGATCTCGTTCTCGTACTCCCGACACGCTGAAAATTCCGCAACCGCGAATTGAACTTCAGTTAAAGAAACGCGCGATCGATCGGTTAATCCGATTCTTGCCCAGATCTATAAAGTCATAGTCGTGATTGCGAGCCGTGACGATTGTTACATCATCTCGCGCGCGCGCGCACGTGTATTCAAGGTCATTTATTATTTCAACGAATTCTAGGAAACGATTCGCGCACGTACGCACGCGCATTAATGACAAACGTTGAAGTGACGATACAAGCGATAAACATTAAAACGCTCGAGGTTTACATAGACGCAGCGATGTGTTAAATGGCCACATATATTATAAGTATATATAGAGTGTCTCATTTTAAATGACGCATTATTATTTTTCGAAAATCAAGATTTGCATCGAAAAATGTTTTATAGAAAAATTATAGGGATACTTCGAAGAGGATGTCTTATCGAAAACATGGTTTCATTCCAGGTGGAGGTTTTTGAGATTTTAAGATCATCATTTCTTTTCAATGGATGCTTGATTTTCGAGAAATAGAACTGCGTTATTTAAAATGAGATACTATATATGTGTGTCAAAAATCAAGCAGACGTCAAAATGATATAATACCCTATTACTTCCTGATTTAACGAGAAACGTCAACACATTAAAGTTTGGGAACAGTTCCGTAGTCGCGTAGTAAAGAATTCCGTATTTTTCCGAATGAATATATATATATATATATATATATATATATATATATGTATATGTATAAGAGTCGTTATCGAAAATCACGGCAGCAAACCGAGAAACCTGTTCGTGAATGTTAATCACGACAGCGCACAACTTGCAGGAATGTAATCGTCAGATTCAGTCCTTCTCTCGAGATCGTCTATCCCCACGCCTATATCATCTCGTTATCGTCATAAACCAGACACGCATCTCCTAGCAAAATAGCGGCATAATAATCTATAAAGTTAGATGATAGGCAAAGTAAGGTAATATAAAGTTAGATGATAGCTTCTTGCGCAAGAAAAGCACTTATTGTGTTTTTACCTTTTTTGGGGATTAGATATTCTATCCCTTATAACTTTTTGTGCCGAATATTGCAAAAAGTCGATTTATATAAAAAAAATTGAGATAGTTTTAAAAAATTAAGTTGACCTCCAAATAACATTGAAAAATAATTTTAATTAAAAAATTCAATATAAATTATCAACTTTTTTCTCCTCGAAACCTTTAACTTTTATATAAAATATTTTCTTATTGTAGTCATAGTTCTTGTTTCAGCAAAATTCGACTATACATTAATTAAAGTCAGAGTTGGGTAAGTTAATGATTTTTTTAAAACTAAGTTAAGTTAAAGTTAGTTGCTTATAAAATTAATTTAGTTTAGTTAAAAAGTTTGCATAAACAAAAAAAAATATATATATATATATTAACTCAGTTAAAGTTAATAAGTTAAGATATTAAATTTAACTAAAGTTAAATCAAAAGTTAATTTTTAAAAATTTTATTTATATTGAATTAGAATTTTGTTTGTTAATTCTTTTAAAATTTATAATAACAAATAAAGAAATTTTGATTTTTATATAGAAATACATTTTTTAGTAATTACAATTAATGACAAATATACATAAAAATTAATAATACTTTAATTTAAAAATAATATGTTTATAACTTATAAAAAACAATACTGATATTCAGAGATAAAAAAATTTAACTTGGGAAAAAAGTTAATAAGTTTAAAGTCAAATATAACTAGTTAAATTAAAATTAAATGTGAGACGACCCAACTGGCTTAAATTAATTCTTATTATTATTCGTTTGATGCCATGTACAAGAAAAGACAACGTTCTTTATTCACAAACATTCCTAAGGAATTAGTTTTAAAAGCTATTGAAAAACGTTGGAAGGATATTTCATGTAACACAAATTTTAGTTTGACACAATTTTTATATGGAATCGACGTTGTATTAGAATCTACCAGTTTTCGTTTCAACGATCAATTTTATGAACAGATACATGGTACGCCAATGGGATCCCCCCTTTCACCTATTTTAGCAGACTTAGTTATGGCTGATCTTGAGACAGAATGTTTAAGCTCTTTACAATTTGACATTTCAGTTTATTATAGGTACGTTGATGATATTTTTGCAATAGTACCACGCAATAAAATGGATAACGTTTTGACTACGTTTAATAAATACCATCACCGCTTGCAATTTACACATGAAACAGAGATAAATAACAAGATTAACTTTCTGGATACATTGGTTTTTAGAAACAATGGTAAACTATTGACTAGTTGGTACCAGAAACCTACCTTCTCTGGTAGATATTTAAACTACCATTCTAACCATCCGTTTAAATACAAAGTTAACACGATTAATAACTTAGTCGACCACGCTATTTTGTTATCGGATAAACGATTTCATAATGAGAACTTACAGATGGTTAAAAAAATCTTGTTGAATAATTGTTTCCCTAGGACGGACATCGAGCGATATATGTATAAAAGAACATGTTTTTTAGAAAATTCTCATAACGTAGTTGACAAAAATAATGTATTTGATATTTCGTCTTGTATTTTAATGCCGTATGTTAAGAACCTAAGTGAGACTATTGAGAGATCTATTAAGAAAACAGGCTTAAGTGTTATTTATACGATTCCAAAAAAACTTGATACGTTTATTAAACCCCGAAAAGACAAATTACCTAAAGCCGATATGACCGAGATAGTTTATAAAGTTGACTGCAATGACTGTGACGCCACATACATCGGACAAACTAAAAGACACCTTAATACTCGGATTAAAGAACATATGAATAATATAAAAATGCATGTCAGCAATCAAAATGTTATAAGCAAACATAGAAATGATTTTTCGCATGACTTTAAATGGACAAACTTAAATATTTTACATCGAGAAACAAACACTAGGAAAAGAGAGATTGCTGAAATGTTTTTTATAAAAAAATTTAATAACACGATCAACCTACAGAAAGACACAGAGAATTTGAATCCGATCTATGATAGAATAATCAAAGCTGTTTAACTTAGTTCGTCTTTACCATCCATACCGAACGTTTACGTGACACAATATTTATATTGAAATATGTAAAATGGAACAAAATTAATTATATATTGCACTTAAGAATTTGTAAGGTACGTTTAAATTGTTATTATAATCTTGGTTTGCGCTTTACTTTCTTAAAAATCAAAATTCTTGTATGTACATCTATTGTATTTTTTAATGTTAATTTTAGACTTGATAAGGACCTAAACCTAAGGTCGAAACGTTGTCTTTTCTTGTACATGGCATCAAACGAATAATAATAAGAATTAATTTAAGCCAGTTGGGTCGTCTCACATTTAATTTTAATTTTATTCATCACTGGCGATACAAGATATAACTAGTTAAAGTTAAAAATTAATATATTATTTTAAATTAACTGAGCTAAGTTAAAAATTATTAACTTGTTAACTTTTTAAAACTAATTAACTATAGTTATTACCCATAACCCTGTATATACAATAACTGACACGATTGAATTTCTCTATCTCGGATTCAATTTTTAAATCGTTCTATTTTGCTGCTCGTAAGAGTAAGAAAAGGAAATGATTTTGTGTCAGTCATATAATATATCATACCTATCTCCGCCGGCCGAAGCCCTATCTTGTCTGTGATGTTATACTGGCAGCAGACAATCTCTGTGAAGTCTTGGAAGCCACAGCGTTCCATCGAATCCGAGCTCCTTTTACCCTCCATCACCTCCTGTAACTTGGATGGGCAATCGTGTATCTTCTTGCACACGCCCGTCTTGCCATTCTCCAGCTTGCAATGACTGCCTTCTACGTAAATCATCAAAACCAGATTATACTTTACGCATAAACAAGCTTCGCTCGAAGAACGGGGAAGAACGCGAGGGAAAGCCCGGTTTCTCGAGTCGTTGAAACACTAATCGACGGACGACCCGCACGTTTCATAGCGCATTTATTAACGAGTCTGACCTACAAAGTACCTTTTTCCTCCTCGCAAGATTTATAACGACCAGTATACGTATATGTATATTACTCTCTTTTAGATGATGGCGGAGCTGATGTCGCAGTATGCAAAATTTGCCTGGATCGATAAGATAAAGGTATGTATAATCGTGTATCTCCCTAATTATAGATATGAAAGTATTTCATTTTTTCTTTTCTTTTCTTATCTCAATAATATTTAGTCGACATGCAAGCCAATCTCTTGGGGGATTCCCATCTGTTCAAATATTTAACCTAATATTAAATTCAGATTATATGCAATCGATTTTTTTTCTAGAAAATGTTGTCTATTTGTATATGGAAAAAAATTCTGGAAAATATATATAGAAAAAAATCTAGAAAAATATATATATCTGGCAAATATATAATATAATGGAGGATACATTTATGGAAAGAATTTCAAGAAAATACATATATATATATATATATATATACTCTCTAAATTTCTTGGAGTAAAAACCGAACAATCTCATTCTAAAAGAGTGGAATTTTACTCCAAAAGAGTCTATATATATGTATATACAGGGTGTCCTAGAACACTCTTAACAACGTTCGTGTGGTGATCGCATCGAGACGAATGAAAAAGTCTTATACCATTATGCGATATCTTTAATAAAACTTTCTCTCTTATTCGCTTGACTTTATCTCTCTTACTCGTTCTTATTTGCTTGACTTTAATATTAAATATTTCGGTTATTATTAAAGATATCGCAAAATGGTATAAGACTTTTTCGTTCGTATCGATGCGCTCTATCATCACACGAACATTGTTAAGAGTGTTCCGGAACACCCTATATATATATATATATATATATATTGCATATATATATATATATATATATATAAATAATAAATAATAATAATAATAATATAAATCTGCAAAATATATATGCAGATTTATATTATTTATATTAATATATATATATATATATATATATATATATATATATATATATATATATACGAGGTGTGTTCAAAAAGTATCGCGAATTTTGAATTTCCGCGGGTTACGTATATTCGATTTTCGATTTTTTTGTGGCGTTATGTTGGTACTCATGTTTCTCATTTATGCCGACAAGTACGGCCATTTTGAATGTTCAGTTAATTTTTGACAGCTGCTTTGCTTGCACGTGTTTTGGCTCGTCTTCGATTTTTGCCTATTCCAAAAAATCGATCAAAGAATCTGTATCAAATTTTGTGTGAAAAACAAAATTAAGTGCGCGGACGCATTCCGAATGTTGACTGTGGCATATGGTGAAGCTACCTTGGACCGAAGCAATGTTTATCGGTGGTACAAAATGTTTTCCGAGGGCCGAGAAGATGTGAACGACGAAGAGCGTGCCGGACGCCCGAGCACGTCAACAACAGACGAAAACATTGATGAAGTGAAGAAAATAGTATTGGTCAATCGTCGAATCACCGTTAGAGAAGTTGCTGAGGACCTAAACATATCGATTGGCTCGTGCCATTCGATTTTTACCGGATTTGTGGAAGAACAAAAATTGGCTTTTGCACCATGATAACGCCCCTGCTCACACATCGTTACTTGTGCGCGAATTTTTGGCCAAAAACAACACACTAATAATGCCGCAGCCACCGTATTCCCCAGATCTGGCCCCCTGTGACTTTTTCTTGTTCCCGAAACTGAAGAGGCCCATGAAAGGACGACGCTACGCTACGATTGAGGAAATAAAGACGGCATCGAAGGAGGAGCTGAACAAGATCACAAAAAATGATTTTTTGAAGTGCTTCAAGGATTGGAAAAAACGTTGGCACAAGTGTATAATATCTGGTGGGGATTACTTTGAAGGGGACAAAATAGATATTCATGAATAAATAAATAATTTTTGAAAAAACACAAAATTTGCGATACTTTTTGAACACACCTCGTATATATATATTTGTATATGAAAAAATTTAGAAAATGTAAGTAATAAAATAAACATTTTTTACAATGTTAGAGAGAAATTTTTTGTTTTATTCTTAATATTATACTTTTTGTGTCTCATCTTTGACGATTAAACAATTTTTAACATTAAGTAATTTGCAACATATTTTTTTAAAAGCTACTATGTGTTTTCTTTACACTAATTGATTGGTCTCATTATTCCGTGTATAAAAGTATTAAGGTATGATTACCAAAAACTGAATATTTTACAAGATATTTTATATTTTATGTCAAAAAATTGTAAACTTCAAATTTTTACCTATAACTTGAAAAGTACTTCATGAAAAAACACTTTATTATAGGATTTCGGAAAGCCCTTGACATAAGCTACAAGAATATATACTCGTATAATGAAAAATAGTAGGTTCCATTTAAAAAATTGAAGGTGCGACCTTCATATAATCTTCAAATGATTATACAAGGTCAAATCACAATGACACCTTATGTTCCCTTCGAAGTTAAAAAACTTTTGTTTGAAACATTTTTTCGTATCTCTCATAGTTTTCGAAATACTTGCCTGGGGCAATTAAAATGAATCACCCTGTATATATAGATGTATAATGCAATCGCAGTTACACAGCGATCGAAGAGATAAGGTATCGATAAAGTAGCGCTAGAAAATTACGGATGCAGCCGCGTGCGACTTTCGTCAATCTCTCGCTTGAATTAATTACTGATAGCGGTCAAAGCATCGTCGGTTGTATTATTCTACTACGAGGGGAAGAACAACCAATTGTCGCGGAAAGACACCGCAACATTAGCGGGAACAGAGGAATATTCCGCGGATACTTTAACAACCTAACTGCACGCTAGAACTGCCGATCATGGATATTCATTTTACGACCAATTATATTCTATGATAAACTTGTGGTCGAGATTTCCTTAACGAAAATGTTGAGACATCGAGTAATAATATATTTCTCAATTAAAGAAAGAGGCGAATTGTGCTTTTTGTTAACTATAATTATATCTATGAACTTAAATATTTAAAGAAACATATATAACTTCATAATTAATCAACATGTCTTTATAATAAGTCTTAATTTAAAATTTAAGTTTATCTAAAATTAAAGTGAATTATGAAGATATGTTCAGAAATTAGAAAATTACAGTAGATGGATCTCTTCGTTTTTTCTTGGTTGAAGAAAAAGATAAGCTCATGTCTCAAGTAGCAACCTGACGTCATTAGATTTCAAAATGACGCCTAGTGACGTCTAATGACGTCACTTTGACGTCTAATAACGTCACTTTAACTGTGTTCCGATATTCACTGTCATTACTGAAATGCTATAGTTTACGTTACGTACACTATAGATTTTTAGTACGTACTAGCAGTAATATCGGAACATGGGGTTTGACGTTTGACGTCTAATGACGTACGCTTGCTACCTGGGATAGAATCCATCATTAGAATTACAATCGTGAATAAATTATGTAGATAAAACACTCTATAAAGGAAAAGCATGTCGATAAATGAATGCATTATTACTATTTAAGTTTGTATATCATAGGTTACGATATTATGTATATTTACATTACTATCAAACATTGATAGTACGAAATGAATGAGTCATGTCATTTCTATGATACAACAAATTGCAAAATAAAGAAGTGCGCATGTTATGATAACATTTTATCCCGAACTCATCGCCTTTTGTGACGTTATTTATCTGTTCATAACTTCGGAACTGGTGTATAAAATATAATAGATTAATAGCATTTCGCGAGATTCTTAATTTATTCAAATTATCTATTACGTCGCATATTATAAGCGCGAATATCAAATTGACCTATTAATCTTTCAGAACGTATATGTTTCCATGCTTTATTATATCATATATAAACAATAATGAGACAAGCCAAAAATTTTTCCAATTAAATGTAAATTTATGCATTTTGACTTGTTTTGATAAGTTTGTTTGTTTTTTTTTTTTTTTTTTTGAAAGTAATGTTCCAAAATAGAAATTCCTCTTCCCGAGACAGGCGATACTGGTATCCAAAATTAACATTTAACATTTCGATTCAGTGTTATATGTGTAAAGTGTTCGGACATATCCTACCATAAAGTTCCTCTTGCAGTGGCAAGGCGTGTGTAAGAAACTTAAACAGGAGGACGATGAAAATCGAAGAAGACAAGTTGAAGCCCATCTTGACCAGTCGTTGAGGATTCCTCATCACTCTTGGAAAAAGAGAAATATAATAAATATTTTTATGCTATAAAAAATTCAAGTTACACACTTTTGTTATTTATATATATTTCTTAAATCGTGGATTTACAAAAATGTAGACAAACTTATTACAAATTAACTGAACAACATTTCAGTAAATGAAGAAAAAAAGAAGATGATTTGGAAATTTTCAAACAATTCTACAAATAAAGATATTCAACATTGAACAATTTTAATTAATTTATAAATAATAATATACTTACAAATTTTCTTTGGATTTCGAATGTAGGCGAGTTCTCTAAAATAGAAGGATTACTTGTGATCGAAGATGATCTTCTTCTGGATGAGGATTCGAAGAAGAATATAGGAGAACAACACTTCTCTAGCGTGACGCGATCCAGTCCGATCCGAGGCTCGAGATTGCCTGAGCTGAGACTCGACTGGACTCGACTGGCGACTAACGCGAGTGTGATCCGGTATAATAATCGGCCGCGGAGAAGCGGTGTAGAAATGGGTAGAAGAGACACACTGCTTCTCTGACGCTCGCACGCGGCAAGTCTCGATCGCCGTCATAAATCGCGAGTCAACCAATTTCTCAATTATTTTCTCTGTCCCGCACACGCGTCGTATGCACGCGAGGCGTCCGTGCATCACGCGTGATGCACTCTTCGGGGCATTTTTTTCAGAAGCATTATGAGGGATCGAAAGTATTTCGTGAACAATATGTTGTGCCTCGGTTAATTCAATATCTTAACTTATTAACTTTAACTGAGTTAAATTTTGTTTATATTTCTTATTAAATCGTGCACTGGAAAAAAATTTTGTTGGATTAACAAAAATTCTGTTCGAAAATGGACGAAACGGAATTACTGGTTGAATCTACCAGAATTCCTTTTAATGCAACAAGCATCTACCAGAATTCCTTTTAATGCAACAAGCATCTTGTTTGTACAACAAATCAGTTTATTGGTGCAAACAAGATATTTGTTGTATTAAAAGGAATTCTGGTAGATTCAACCAGAATTCCGTTTCGTCCATTTTCGAACAGAATTTTTGTTAATCCAACAAAATTTTTTTTCAGTGTGGATTTACAAAAATATAGACAAACTTATTACAAATTAATTGAACAACATTTCAGTAAATGAAGAAGAAAAGAAGATGATGATTTGGAAATTTTCAAACAATTCTACAAGTAAAGATATTCAACATTGAACAATTTTAATTGATTTATAAATAATAATATACTTACCAATTTTCTTTGGATTTCGAAGGCGAGTTCTCTAAAATAGGGGGATACTTGTGATCGAAGAAGACGATCATCCAAGATGATCTTCTTCTGTACAAACTTTTTAATTTATTGTTAGTTAATTTAATTTTATAAGCAACTAATTTTAACTTAACTTAGTTTAAAAATTATTTGATTTACCCAACCCTGATAATTGCGAAAATATAATCGGTTCGGCCGGTAAAAGTAGACCTCCGGCATCCTCTTAATAACTAATTTAAAAGTTTTAAATTTAATAACTGTTATAAATTTAATTTAAAAGTTTTAATAACATTAATAACTCTTTGTTTTTGAATATTTTAATTTTTTTAATGATTTTAAAATTAGCTAAAGATGAGATAAAAATATGTAAATTCATCACGATTAGATAAGATAAAGATGATTTTGTTTTAAATATATGTAGAGAAAAGATGAAATTATATGGCGATTCACCTAGATAATTTTTAAAATAATGATTTGTAAGACTGCTTATGTAAACAGTTATAAAATTTAAAAACTATATATATTCATATTTTTATTTATAAATTTTTATTGCTTACTTACTGCTTAAGTTCTAGTTATTTAAGTATTTTATGTGGTTTGATTCTAAATCAAAATTATCTGAAAATTATTCTAGATAATTTAGTAAAGATAATACTTTTTTCATCCAAGATGCAAATATAAATAATACATATTTTTATTATCTATATAAAGATAAGATGACGGCAAAGTTTCATCTAGATCATCTATATAATTTTATTTATTAGATAACAGGAAACATTGTTCGTGAATAATACTGATATTTTTTAAAAATTATCTTATTATGCTATTAAAATCGTATTTTCTCGGATTTGTATACATATATTATATATGTATATGCGGAAAAAATATTTCTTGTATTACAAATAAATCGAAATATTGTAAATATGTACGATTATACAGACGCATAATTTGCAGGATTGGGTAATAACTATATATAGTATATAGTATATATAGTATATATAGTATATATAGTATATATAATATATAGTATATATAGTATATATAATATATAGTATATATAGTATATAGTATATATAGTATATATATATATATATAGTTAATTAGTTAAAAATTAAAAAAAGTTATAAAGTTAATAACTTTTAACTTAGCTTAATTAATTTAAAATGTATATATTAATTTTTAACTTCAACTAGTTATTTTTTACCTTAAACTTATTAACTTTTTTTCTAAATTCAATTTTTTAATCTCTGAATACCATTATTTTTTATAAGTTATAAACGGTTTTTAATTTTTTAACTTTTTTTATTTTTTTATAAAATAAAGTTTAGAAAATAAAGTTTTTTTAAATTAATATATAAGTATATAAAATATTATGTGTATATATAGAATATATATGTTTCTATAAATAAGTGCGAAACATATTAGGAGATGATGCTTCGTCGAAAATTAATAAGGAGTTTTTCATATATAAACCTATATATATGTTAATTAATTAAGAAACTCAAGTATTAATTTTTGATAAAGAATTATTTCCTAAAATTATTCGCACTTTTAGAAACTATTTAGAAACATCCTGTATATCATATAAGTTATGGCTATTTAAGTTTTATTTATTTTTTGTAATTTTTATGTTGCAGCGTTGGAAATAAGGAAGACCTTTTGTAGAGTTATATCCTGGTGAGAATAAGACATAAATAAGAGTGAGTACATCATCGATCAAATCTTTATAAACATAATGTGTTCGCTCTTTCTTGATTGCATTGTGTAGTGACTTATTAGCACAGCTTTTGATATACTACAGTATCAGAGCATATATGGAGAACTTATATTTGTGTTACGCAATACAAATATAAATGCTCTATATTTGTGTTGACACTGTAATGTATCGAAAGCTGTGTTAATAAGTCACTACACAATGCAATCAAGAGAGAGAGCAGACACAGAGTATACAGTTTTGTCACTAATTATTTATCGAAGACATGTATACATATTTATTTTTTGTAATTTTTTAATTTAAATTAAATTACAATTAAAGAACTTGTTTTATTTCTTAATAACCAAAAAGTAATAAATTAATAACTAATAATTTAACAAATTTTTCAGCTACAGTAAGAAGATTGCATACAAATGCAACGGACCAGGAAATTTCGGCGCCAATAAAAATATGGCTAGCTCATGCAAGAGAGCGAATGCAAAAGCGATCAGCTCAGATGAGCAGATAGGATCAAACTGAAAGTAAACAGACTTAATTTATTTCTATCATATAACGATGTATATGTATGCACGCACTAGCGGATCCTGACATCGATAATGGGGGGGTTTTGACGAAAATGCTTGATTTTATATCATACTTTCACGGTTAAATCTTTTTTTTCACTCTTAGCATCTTCTTAAACTCAGTTACAATAGAAATGGGTGCCATGTTTTTTTAACAAGTACATCAAATATTTTTATTTAGATTAATTTAGCGTCTAGCATTTAATGCTTTATATGACTGTTAAAGATTTAAAACCGGTGCACATGCAATGTAAAGCATCATGCTTCTTTGGGAACTTGAATGCGTCGCATAAACGAAATATGGTTGCACGTAGTAGAATTCTGGAAAATTAACGTGTAATTGCGGCCACGCTTAACAATGCAAATTTTGTGTCGTTTTGTATTATTACTAATATGAAGAAGTTCAAAGTTTATTTTTGCGTTTTAGTACGTAACACACATATTTTGCAAACAATTTTTAGATACAGCGTCTGTGGGAAGACAATACAAAATGTTTTGTGTTAGTAAAACAATGCAATTTTGTTTATTTTTAATTATAAGAAAATAATATACATATAAGAGGCAATAGTGTACTTATATATAAATATTTAATTGAAATATAGTTTTTATAATATAAATAAAAATGTGTGTTAAAAATATATAATATACCTAATATTAATATACCAGGAGTGTAAGTTGAAATTTGCCGGTTTTTTCGTTAAAAAAAACACATAATTTTCAGGAATCTCAAAATATTTTTATTCAAAGTATTGACCATTTGATTCTACACATTTCGTCCATCTTTCAGGCAAATTATGGATACCATTCCAAAAAAACTTTTTTTCTTTCGAGGAAAACCATTCGACGAGCCATTTTTCAACTTCTTCAAAATTGACGAAGTGCTGCTCTGCAAGTGAGTGCCCCATCGATGCAAAAAGGTGGAAGTCGGACGGGGCGAGGTCTGGAGAGTACGGCGGGTGCGATAATATTTCCCAATTAAGTGTTTTTAATGTGTCCTTCACGGATCTAGCGGTATGAGACGGCGCGTTGTCATGTTGCAAAATAACTTTGCCATGTCTTCAGGCCCATTCCGGTCGTTTTTGAATCAACGCATGATTTAAATTGATCACTTGTTGTCGGTAGCGATCCGTATTTACCGTTTCACCAGGTTTTAATAGTTCGTGGTACACCACACCATCCTGGTCCCACCAAACACAGAGCATTGTCTTACGGCCAAAGCGATTGGGCTTTGCAGTGGATGGGGCGGCTTCACCAGGTGAAAGCCATGATCTTTTTCGCTTCGGGTTCTCAAAAAAAATCCATTTCTCGTCACCCGTGACAATCCGATGCAAAAAAGACTTTCTTTCGAACCGTTGAAGCAGCATTTCACAAATGGTTTTTCGATGTTCCATTTGCCTGTCGTTCAATGCGTGTGGCACCCATTTTCCATACTTCTGGATTTTTCCCAAGGCTTTTAAACGTTGGCAAATTGCTACTCGAAACACATTAAGTTTTTCTGCCAATATTTGTTGTGATTGGGTTGGGTCTTCATCCAACAACACCTGCAAATCCTCGTCTTCAAATCTTTTCGCTGCGCCAGGATGTTCATTGTCTTTCAAATCGAAATCTCCACTTTTAAATTGACGAAACCATGTCTCACATGTTCTAATCACTGGAGCATGTTCACCATAAGTTTCTACTAGCAAACGATGTGCTTCAGCTGCTTTTTTCTTGCTGATGAAATAAGAAAAGCAACGAATGCCGCAAATGCTCTTTATTTGGAACGAAACTCGACATATTCATTGATATAAACGATTATGACGCTATTATTTTGACAGAATGAGACTTGGGTGTTTTTGGAGGTTAATGTCAATAGAAAACAATCGTGTATATAACAAATCATAGAAATGCCTACATCCTGCTAGGGACACCTAATGTAAAAACCGGCAAACTTCAACTTACACTAAATTCGTTTTTTCATTTGTTTGAAGGCGCGGCCGAGTAAGATATGCTTTGGATGCTCTGAACATCATTCTTTGTTCTATATTCAACTACATATCTGTATAATAAAAAGGATAGAATGATGTTCACAGCATTCAAAGCGTGCTACTCGACCACTATATTACCGCTATATTAGCAAAAATTCAAATTTGAATTTTTACTCATAAATAATGCGAAAAAATAGAAATAGAATGTTTACGGTAACATCGATATAGTATATAATTTCGAGAATATAAGTATATCCATAGAATGTCTTGAGTATGTTATCAGTATTTTATATATATAAACTAATAACATACTCAAGATATTTTATAAATATATTGAGTATATACAAAAATATATTGTCAGTATGTACTAAGAAGCAGAAAACTCGGACATAGACGTATTCTTAGTACGTACTCAGGATATCGCAGTACGTATATCGAACGTTCTCAGAATATACGTAATATACCCTGCCAGCACTAGACGTGAAAGCGACGTTCTATATTGGTCACAAAGTCGCAAAAAAATATGATACGTCTTTTGCACGTTGCCGCGAAGTAACGTATATAAAAGAATTTAATTAACTGATATGTCGGATTGTTTAGTTTTATAGTTGGTATTTATAAAAATAAATTGAAATAAGGATATATATTATTTTTTAAAATTAAATTTAAAACGAAATTGTTACGTCGCAAAGACGTCGCAACGACATTACAACATTTTAGTTACATAATATTATATATATTACAAGTTACAATGTAATATTGGAGAAACATTATAAGAACATGTAACTGTAATATTTTATGAGAAATATTACAGCAACATTTTAAAAATATTATAAAAAGTATTTGTTATTAATCAGTATTTGTTATTAATCATTAATTCCTTTATTTACCACTATGCGGCGCGCGATGCGGTTCTTTCTCGTATTTGAAATTTGTTATGAGAATTATATAAGTAATACTTTGAACATCTTTAAACTGATCTAAAGATGTCTAAAATTCTAATATGGTTTTAAATATACAAAACGTCCAATATGTATATTTTTTTAATACATTTGTAAAACGTCATTGTGCTGTCTCGGATAGCATTAAAATTAATCTTAACTTCTTAAAACTGATCACATTCATTTTTAGGTCATGAATAGGTGCTTAACACGTCACATAAAGTCGCAAATAACACGTCACTACAAAGTTTCTATCACCAAGAATTTGGCTGTTAGTTACGTGACGGTAACGTGCCAATTATTACGTTTCGAACACTATTTGTGACGTCGTTGCAACGTAACGTGTGACGAGTTAGCACGTCATAATGACGTATTTGACACGTACCGATGTTGGCAGGGTACTTTTCTGAAATTCTCAGAACATTCTCAGAACATTCTCAGAATCAGACTTAATAACCAAAAGATGTCTAGAAGATGTCTTAAAGACATTTAATTTAAGATTTTTTTTTAATATATAGGCGGACATGGAGGCATCCTCAGTATAACCTAAATATATCCTCAGGTTTTACACGGATGATTTTTCTATGGATATCTGAATATCCGATGGACATATATACCTCGGATTATATAACTTTTTATTTATTGTTATGTGGGAATAGAGAAGCACGCTGTCGCATGCTTTTATTTAAAGATATAATATATATATTTTAATTTAATTAAAAATAATAGTATAAAAAAATTATTTGTTAGCCACTAGAATAATATATATTTTATTATATATGTATATTAATTTTATTCGTCGTCGTATCGATGTCAAAATGATCGAATCGGCATTGATTCGATATCGATTCGACCATCAATTTCTCACTGGGAGAGATGACAATGATTTTTGTCACGGAAGGTTATGGTTTACTTTGACAGCTGTCAACATACGAATCTGCATATCCTTGTAATTTTGCAAAGTGATATATTTTGTTGTGCTGGAATTATATATATTTGCTAGGTATGTATTATTGTAACTAAGATAGACACATATATGATATTAAATTGCATATATCTATATATATGTAAACACAAAATAAGAATAACAATAAAATAAGGTTTTATATACTTATATGAATAAGAATAAGATTTATATTTTTAATTTATAATAATTATTATATATATATATATAAATTTATTGACAGATCTAGCAGTTTTCAATGCCAAAGAATATTTTAAGTATCCGCACCTGGATTATATTTGATAAGTATATGTATTATTGCAACTAGATACACACACATATATGCATGTCTATATATATTAAATTATGCGCATCTGTGCATATATCTAAAGGTTTTACTTATATGAATAAGAATAATAAAAGATTTATATTTTTAATTTATAATAACTATTATATATATAAATTTGTTGACAGATCTAGCAGTTTTCAATGCCAAAGAATATATTTCAAGTATCCACACTTGTCAATGTGTACATCTTACAATTAATCAAGCAGCAGAACTGATGATTTTTGCAATCAAAGTGGAGTTGAGGGATCTTTGTTCAGATTACAATGAACAACTGGTATTTATTTTTTTTATATGTTACTTAGACAATAACATGTTCTTAAAAATATTTAAAAAATATGATAATGTTTAACATTTTTTGTAGAAAAAGATTTAAATTAATCTGCTGTTAAGCTTGTTGTGACGATGTCGACCGATCAGATTGCCCGAGTATAGAGAACGACGGATTTTTCTGTACAAGTGCTTTAACATGAAGCCAAGTGTTGGGTTTGAGATGCAGCATTTAATGCAGATTCACATACAATATATATTTACTAGTAAGTACTGTATACTTTTATCCTTCCTTGCTTAAGTTTCTCTTCCGCAATAAAGGACCCTGCACATATCTTATGGAAAATGGCTCTCGGTTAAATTCGCTTAAACTTTGCTATCTTCTAGTTTTTGTTATTCTGAACAAAAGTTTCCATGGTCACAACATGATCTGACGAGCCGTTTTTGCTCTATAAGGTTTCAAGTATTGGTAATAATAGCTCAATCGTATATGTATGTAAAACTATTTTTACAATTTGCAACTACTTTTTTACTAACTTTTTAACCTTTTTCACGTTAAGTGTAACAGTATAATAGTGTAGTATTGTATGTGTAATTATTTTTCAGATCCCCACCACGTCCACGTCGTTAATCCTACACAATGCTAAGAGCAGGGGTCACATTTATACACATAAAAATACTTACACATACAATACTACACTATTATACTGTTACACTTAACGTGAAAAGGTTAAAAAGTTAGTAAAAGAGTAGTTACAAATTGTAAAAATAGTTTCACATACGTATACGATTGAGCTATTATTACCAATACTTGAAACCTTATAGAGCAAACACGGCTCGTCAGATCATGTTGTGACAATGGGAACTTTTGTCCAGAATAACAAAAACTAGAAGATAACAAAGTTTAAGCAAATTTAATCGAGAGCCATTTTCCATAAGATATGTGTGAGGTTCTTTTTAACATAATATAACATATAGCATTTATATCTTCTAAGACATTTTTATCATTTATAATTCATTTAAAAATCTACAATCACAATGTTAATTTTGTGTATTGTATATGTACTTATTTTATTTTTGCAGCCTCTTCAGACGGAGTCGCGAAATTGTGGATTGCATTTACAGGAATAGAACGAGAATGTTAAGGAAGGATATTAAAAAGCTGTTATAGCTCTTACTTTGCATGAATTAATGCGTCGTCTACAATGGCAGCAAGCAGTACAGAGTATACAGAGTAAGTAGTAAACAATACGAAATGGGATTTGTTCATTTCGTTACTCTTGACGAAATGATGAGCAAATCCCATTTCGCATTGCTTATTGCTTACTGCTTACTCTGTACTCTGTACTCGCTGTACTGCTTGCTGCTATTGTAGACGACGCATTAGAATAAGTTTTCGCGAGTTAAGAATAGAAAATGAATATTTAAATATTTTCTGTTTTGCTTTTTATAAAAATGATTTGTAATTTCATTCATATTATGTATCATCGTTATACATGCGAAAAAACTCTCAAACAATATCTATTTGTGATTAAAATATATATATTTTTAAATATTTAAGAAAAAATTAATAATTGTTAAAACTCAATAATATATATTTGTTTATCTATATATATATATATATATATATATATATATATATATATATATATATATGTACGTTACATGTAACATCCATGTTAGTTGTAATTTCCCACTCATAGATGTAACATTTTAATATAACATATATTACATTGTAGTTATATTGTAATTATATACCAAATAGCACATTGATGTATTGATAAGTCAGTGCTATCTTGCGATATAATGACAATATAACTACAATGTAATATATGTAATATTAAAAATGTTACATCTATGAGTGTGAGAAATTACAACTAACATATACATTACATGTAACATGCTTGAGTATATAACATTTATATACTGTGTTTGCTGGGTAAATGTATACATACATTTTATATATATTACATATATTACATTGTAGTTATATTGTCATTATATCGCAAGATAGCACTGACTTATCAATATATCAATGTGCTATTTGGTATATAATTACAATATAACTACAATGTAATATATGTTATATTAAAATGTTACATCTATGAGTGGGAAATTACAACTAACATGGATGTTACATGTAACGTACACGTTATATTACTTGTTATATTCCGTTTTATTATAGCAATGTAACAATTATATATCGGTGTTTGCTGGGTATACATTTATATATGCAATATTAATATATATATATATATATATATATATATATATATATACAAATATTAAAATATTGTATTATTTAAAATACATATATTTAGATGTAAAAAAAATATTTCAAATTTAAATCAGATATTTCTCATGTTATACAGGGTGTCTGAGACCACCCGTACACGCCAAATATTTTGAAAACGATTTTAAAGTTGACCTGTAGACTTCTTTCATAACTGATGTTAAGGTCAAATATGTATCACCATTTCATATATTTGTTAAAGCCCTACAACATTTGTTTAAAACATTTTTATCTGTCGTGCTCAGTTTTCAAAATATTTGGGGAGGACAGGAGGACTGCATTAATCTTCGTCCTCATCGTCGATCGTCTCGTCCTCTAAGGCGCTGTCGGACTCTGCCGCACCTGCATACAGAAATATATATTTTATTAATTTATTTTATTTAGTTTTTTCTTGTTATAAATACTTACGGCTTTGACACACTAGACATCTGTTCCTCGCCAGGAAGACTGTGAACAGTCGATTCAAACAATCGTAGCAATAGAGATACGGTATATCCTTGTACCGCATCGTTTGGTGCCGTTGCGTAACGCACGCGCTCGTATACTGCCCCCTGTTTGTCATGAAACAGGATAGGCACAATTTCATGTCTCCCTGCGGCACGACGTACGAATAGACAACGCACATCCGCGAATTTTCGTTGAGGGATAGAATTGCTTGTTCCAATGCCATCTTTGCCGTCTAACAACAGTAACAACGCATGCGCAAACGCCAAGTTTATTAGTGAGAAAGGTGTGTGCGATGGTTTTTATAAAGAAATTTAATTTATATATATATATATATATATATATATATATATATATATATATATATATATAGCATATATATTATTATCAATAGATCAAGATCAAGCATTTTCTGACATCGATAAGCAATATTTTTATTATATGAAATGATATGTAACCTTCATATCTCTGTATAATAAATTTTATATCAATACACATACATAACCTAATTAAAAAGTTTGCAAGTCCTGGTCGTCCATCGAGCTTATTAGTATAATATTTACAGATTTAACAGGTATTCAAGATACTGAAGAAGAAAGTGATGTAGAGATAAATAATCCATCCTTACATAAATCAGAAAAGACTGTATAAATTATTACACTAAATATGACACAGCGGCAAAGTGTTCTTTTTGTGAAAAAATAATAAGTCATTGCGGAAATACCACGAATTTAATGCAGCATCTCTTAAGAAAACATGAGATATTGCTATTAAATAAAAAGAAAAAAATCTAATCCGGAATCTCTTAAAGATAGTTTTGGATCTGTCGATGACATTCAAGTTTCTAAAAGAAAGAAACTCCATGTATAATTTATAATGTGAAGTACATTATATATATATATATATATATATATATAATATATATATATAATTTTTGATTTTTATATGATTTATATATGCAAACATAGCTAGCGCGGTCTGTTTTTATAAGTACTTTAATCGTGGAAAAGGATTTATTGATCAGTATAGTCAATAAAAAGTTATATAAAAAAAACTAAATATTCTCGCATTCGGTCGGTAAAAACATTTATCCGGCATCCCGTTAAAAATATAACACCACACGCACACACACACGCACACGCACGCACGCACGCACACAATACGAAATAAGATTATCTATAAGTAATTTTTAAAACTTGTTAGGCCGGATCTACAACAGATGTAGTAAGCCCTAAGCTTTAAGAAATTCACCAATCACAGTCAAGAATAAGGGGAATAATCGACTGTGATTGATCAATTTTTTAAGGCTTAGAGCTTACTACACCTATTGTAGACCCGGCCTTAATCAAAAGCATGCTGACTTGTATTTTTTTAATTCTATTTTGTCTGTCTTAATTAATGTAAAAAGAAAATTTTTACATCTGCAGAATATATTAATTTTGATAATGATATCCTTGAACTGTATTAATCTTTGTATTGATTCGTTTACATTGTTTTATCAGAGATGCACAAGTTTACAATATATTATATATATTATGATATTAAGGATATAAAAGATTTACAACAGTTTATCTTATTAGAGAAATGTTCTTATTGTAATTATGAACCGGGCTCGTTAATTATGCGTCACATATCAATAAAATAAAGCATTTATTTACACATAATGTAGATTAAAAACTGTAAGTTACAAAAAAATATTAGACAGTATATCCATCACAATCATCACAGAAAATGCTAATAGTCTTCCTCCAATATGCATTTCTCCACTAATTCCCGCAAGTTTGGATTTTCCATTGCAGCTGCTATACGTTCCTTGTCGTTTATTTGTTTGTTAACTGTAATTTAATGCACACAATGTTAAAGGCAAGCATATATTTTATATACATTTCTGCTAGAACAGTATTGTACAGTGTTTGCTGTTATCTAAATAAAATTATATAGATGATCATCTAAATGAAACTTTGATGTCACATCTTATTTTTATAGATAATAAAAATATGTATTATCTATATCTGCATCTTATTGTTAGATGAGAAAAGGGGTTATCTTTACTAAATTATCTAGAATAACTTTCAAATAATTTTGGTTTAGAATCATAAAAGTACACAAAAATACTTAAATAAGTAGAACTTAAGCAGTAAGCAATAAAAACATGAATATATTTTATATCCCTTTTATAATTTCCATTTTGTTTATAACTGTGTTTACATAAGCAGTCTTGAAAATTATTATTTAGAAAATTATCTAGATGAATCGCTATATAATTTTATCTTTTATCTAGATATATTTAAAACAAAATCATCTATATCTTATCTAAATGTAAGATGAATTTACATATTTTTTCTCATCTTTATCTAGTTAATTTTAAAATCATCTAAGCATAACACTGATTGTACAACATGAACATACGTACTTTCTTGTTCGGTTGAATGTGCACCCTCTTTGATATAGATATCCAATTTAAATGATGCTACCAAATGACGTTCCAATTGATACGAATGCACAATCCAATGAGAGTTGCCAACGAACAGTGAGGCACAGTAGGATTGAATTCCACGCGAATCACAGACACTCCTCCAGGTGTGCGGTGACAAATAGTTATACATTCCTCATAGACAACGTTCAGTTGCTCCAAGGTTTGTGGTTTCTCTGGATCCTTAATAGTTCTTAGCAAATCTAAAAAGTGTCAAAAACCAAATTAGTAAATAATAGAGAATATCTGTAGATATTATTTGATAGATATTATATAGTAAATAATTTAGTAATTCAGTATATTAATTTATTAGTAATTTATATAGTTATTTAATCTCATCATATATAATTAATTTAATATATTATATTAAATAGCATATATTTAATGTAACATTTAATAAATTAAATATTATATATTAATATTAAATTTTTAATTTAATTTAAGATTTAATTAAATCAAATTTATACTGACATTATATAATTTAATAATTTTAAATGAAATATTTCGAGCGATATTCGACTGTTTTGAGTAGTGGGGAAAAAAGTGAAACAAGTCATTTGAAATGTCGCACCATCTCTTTCGGACATCGGACAATACACTCCGAAAGGTCGTAGGATACAACACGCAAATAGAGCGCAACAACTTGCCGTAAACGGATTCTTTTAACTCTGTATCTGTCATTAGTGCCAGATCGTTCTGACTCCTCGCTGTCAAGAGATCCTCTGCCGTTCCCATGATTCCCTCTGGCAATATACCATCTTTTATCTTTCCGCCGATTGATAGCTTACGAAAAAAGGACAGCATGTTTATATTTTAATAATAATAACAGGAAAAACATGACAACATAATGCGTGAATTACATCATCTTCGTTCGACAACGACACAAAACATGTCATGTGAAAAAGCAGAAATTATTAGATGCAGGACTGCCAGATTGTTTTCCTCAAAATCTAAAAATTCCCTAGGCAGAAAGAAATTTCCCTAGGTAGAATCAGAAAATCTCTAGTCGAAGACAAATAAATATAAATTTCCTGGGTCGAAAGCCAAATTCCCTAGATAGATACAAACCCCCTTATTTCCCCTAAAAATCTGGGGAATAATGCACGTGACGTATAAAGCCATGAAATTTCCTAGATTCCCTAGGCGTTTTCATACGTATCGTGTCTATATATATTTGTGCATCGTGATTTTCAAAATTGTTTCTTTCCGACACCTACATTTGACATGTATAAAATTATAAAAGATTAGAAGAGGTAAACAATGACGCAGGAAGTAAAGAGAACGAAGAAAAAGAGCACACAAAAGGAAAATGTAATTCAGGAAGAGAGCAAAACGGAAAAGACGGCCAAGCCTGCTGAATTGTGAGTACATATGTATATGTAAATGTCATTTATTATGTATTGTAAATATGTGTTTTGGAGACATATCGGTTCTCTATATACAGATTTCGACACAGGTGTTTTGCAAATATTGCTCAGACACATAATTCGAAAAAAAGACAGCTGATTTCTTATTTCGATAAACTATATCTCTATGTCGTTATTAAGTAATTAATTATTTATAATTATAATTCTTAATTAATTATTTATTGTTTTATGTAATTATTAATTATTATTTATTTATTAATTTATATAAATTATTTGTATTAATATAATATTTATATTAATTATTTATTGTTTATGTAATTATTTAATTTATAAGAGTAAATTAAAGGGTAATTATTTAGAATATAGGTTTCACCTCAAATATCGATAAAATTATGCTCATTGATGCATTTGACTTAAAGATATACAATCTTTGTTTCCAATTTGACAGAAAATATGGGCCTCCTGTATCTTTTCCATATCAAAGAGTATGGTCCAGATGCATTCTGATACTCGGAGTACTGTTGATAGTTTGGTTATAACAGCAGACAGGCCAAGGAAGTGTCTTTAGCGAAGCAGAAAGACGTGCTGGTAAGTCGTGCACAGAATGTTGACTGCTCCGTGGATTATAGAGACGAGTTAGAAAAATTCCCTGGCTGTGTACCAGAGAGATGTGGCAGAGTCGTTACCGATAAACTTGTCTCGACAACAGAAGTAGATGTTTTGCTGAAGCTAGTGAAAGGTGGATTAGAATTGGGCGGATCCGATGGCGGTGCAAGCATTTTGGATCTTCATTCTGGAGCTCTCAGCAAGGGACAGGGCTTTATCAATATCTACAAACAGCCGGTGGCAAAGAAGCTATTTAATAATATGGATTTAGCAATTTATAGGTATGATAAAAATTAATGGTGCAAAAATTTATTGTTAGATATATATAAATTTATTACTTATATTCCAGATCTAGTTTTTTTTTTAATAAACATTCAATTGACAATTATTTTATACAAAATTTATATACACAAACTGACATTTAAGCATTTTATTATATATTTACAATATATATCTAATGTTTAAAAAGTGAGAGATTATATGTAATAAAAATAACACTTGACATTTTTAATTTAGAGTAGTGAAAACGAAAATACAACATGCAGTAGCACATAACTTTGGAGTGGATATAAATACAATCTATCTAACCAAGCCTACTTTTTTCTCACGGATGACCAATAAACCTGCAAAAACTGTACATGATGAATACTGGCATCCACATGTCGATAAGGTATGACTCAAAACTATTATATAACACTTCTTGATATATATATATATATAGTATATATATATTATAAAAATATAAAAAAAATTTATTTTCTTTTTTTTATTTTGGACAGAGTGTCCTATAGGAAATTTCTTAAACTAATCAACGTCATTTTTTAATGCATGCAGTTATTGAGAAAATAAAAATTGTGTTGAAAAGAGGAATGTCTACAGTTTTTAATGGAGATAAATCAAATGTTTGTATACCAGTTTATTTTATTGAAAAAAAGTAATGAAAAAAGTGCTAATAATCACATATATGTAAACTAATGATAATATTTTTGAAGTGCACACCATTTGAATTTGTACAAAAGTCTGTTCTTTTATGAAAACTTGTAAAAACTTTCTAACATGTCATTGTTATTGATATTATATTTGGCACTGTTAAAAATAAATACTTATCATTAGTGTATATGATTTTATGTGATTATTAGCACTTTTTCATTATTTTTTATCAATAAAATAAAGTGGTACCTATACAAACATTTTATTTATGTCCAATAAAAACTGCAGACTTTTCTCTTTCCAACACAATTTTTGTTTTCTCAATAACTGCATGCATTAAAAAATGACAGGTGATTAGTTTCAGCAATTTCTTATAGAACACCCTGTATATTTTGTCAAGTATGATATTTAAGAAATAATTGAAGAAACTTAAATTAAATTAAAATAAACTAAATTAAAATATGTAAAACTTTAGGAGACATACGAATCGTTTCATTATACATCGCTGTTGTATTTAAATGATTATGAGAAAGATTTCGAAGGTGGTCGATTTATATTTATCGACAAAAACAATGTCAATACAACAATAGAACCAAGAAAAGGTAAGATTTACATGATTAAATATCTATTCTTATAATATGTGGATCTTTAATAATCCTTAGCAAATCTAAAAGGTATAAAGAACCAAATTGTTAAACGATAGAGAATATCTGTAGAATATAATTTAATAATAATTTATAAAGCAATTTAATCTAATAAATTATATAATTAAAAATCTAATATTATAATTTAAGGCTTCTGGGTCCTCGCCGTGACTATGGTCCGCTGCGTTCCCTTTGACGCTTTCAGCGCCATAAGCATCTTCTTTTCGTTGTACATCGAATATCAAACGAAGACAGGAAATGCTTATAGCGCTGAAAGCATTCAAAGGGAATACAGCCTATGTAAGATTATGACATCACAATTCCAACATTGGCGAGGAACTAGGTGCCTTAATCTAATATGGTATAATTATATAATGTTACAACTTAATAGTAATTTAATCTAGTAATATTTCAAATGATATTCGACTGCTTCAAGAAAGAAAAAAAACAAGTTATATTGTTTAATAATTTAGAACAATTTGACTTTTTTATTTTTAAAACAGTCAAATAATTAGCAATAAATTACTATAAATTTGTATATAATTTTAATATATATGTATTATATATTAATATTAATATATTGTATATAATTTTACAGGCAGAGTCTCGATTTTTACTTCAGGGAGTGAAAATTTACATCTAGTTGAGAAAGTGAAATCTGGAACCCGGTATGCCCTGACAATCTCTTTCACGTGCGATGAAAACGCTGCCATATCAGACTCGCATTTCACCGATGCATTAAATTAAAATGTTTATCTTAATTATAGAATATATATGTGTATATATATATATATATATATATAAAAGTCTCAATGATTCCATAATTTACGCGAAGAAAATGACTTAAAAGAATCATAAGTCAATGTGATTTACATTTATAAATTTCGTTAGATCATTCATACATAAACGAACAGTATTAATAGTGTTAAAGAAAAATTATATAAATTTATTTTCGAAAATTTATTTGATTAAATAATCAGGGAATTAGAGAATGTAAACATAAATTGCATATAAATTTGCATTATTAACTTGTACGTATAATATATACTTACAACTAGTAAGTGTACATTTATTTTCGAGATGTTAATACACAATATGTCGAATCTGTTAAGTTAATAAAAAAATACAGACAGTAAACATTTCTTTTTTTTATGTGCCAAACTTTTAATTGCTAATGGAATGAAAAATAAATTACATATTGTGCGATAAATCTTAAAATAAGATCTTTCTTTATATTTCAATAATATAAGAACGCAAAAGAGTTGAAGAGCCGATAATATTAAGAACTGTATTAAGCAAATGCATTGATATACCTTGTTGTTATTTACAATTTCATCACGATATTGTGATGATGATGATGAGAGACTCCGCATTAAGTGCTAGAGATCAACCCGCTTAAAATCAAAATATTAATTACTAAGTAGAGAAGGGAGGGTAACGCACTAAACTATTAATATTATAATTTAAATAAATAGATACGCACGCATCCGCGTTTACTTTGGAAATATCACGAGAAAGCTTACATAATAAGCTCTTAAAACAAGAGTTACTAAACTGATCCCATGTACTTAAAAATTATACAAGAACGTATTGTATTTAATTTAAATTAACGATACGGGAAGTACTGGTATACCATTTGAAAAAGCTTGCAATCATCTTATCTGACATTTTGTACGTTCTGTTTGTTTGCAAACAGTTACACAAGAGATTTTCTGACTTGTAATATCGGATAGCATATATATATAATGCGCAAAAGATTTCTACGTAAAGAGAAGTGTCACTTTATACAACGCGAAATCTCAGTAAAATTGCAGCAACATAACGCAAAGAGAATATGCGATAATCACGTGATAAAACATATCTACAATGTTTCTGCAACCTTTGTGGAAATTAAGTTCTTATCGACATGAAACTATTCTCTCTCTAAGGCGCGATTAATTTCTTTCCTTTTTATACATAGATTCTAATTCACGCCTTATTCGTGCTTTTGCAAACTATGCTTGCAAGAGATTTGCGAGCCTCTTTGCACTGCTTCCCAACAGTATCGTTCTGTGGTTGCCAGTCACCTCTTCCACTCTTACGGATTGCGTGCAGATCTGAAAAAGAGCAAGTAAGAGTATAAATCTTTGAGTATATAATATATGAGAGGGAGATTCGAAGAATAGAATCATTCAATTTCGATAAAAATGTCTATCGAAACCTAAAAAATATATTGAACTCATGATAAATTCACCATTTTTAAAAAAATTTAAAAAAAAAAATACACTGCTAAAAATAATAGGAAATATTTTTCCTTTCTAAAAATTATTATTTTTAAACTGTTGAAATTTGGCGAAAAATCATCATAAACTAAAAATTAAAAATTCATTTTGAAGCTCGAAGTTTCAACTTTAACGCGGTGATTTTTACAAATTCGTTTTATCTTTCCATTTTATGCTTTTAAAAAAGATGCTTTTGTTCCTTAAAATTACGTATTTTTGATGCTGAATCTTGATAAAAAATATTTTTTTCGAAAAATTTCAAGTTTCATAAACTACAATACTTTGCGTACAAAACGTTATTTTAAACATTTTTCTATGATTTTTTTTAAACAGAGTTACACAATTTTGAACTAAATTTCTATTTTTCATAATAAGGAAAATAAAAACAAATTCGTAAAATTAGCACGTTAAACTTTACATTTCAAGCTTCATGCTTTTTTAATTTTTTTATGATGATTTTCCGCTGAGTATTGCCATCATTGCTAAAAAATACAAGTTTAGTTTCAAAATCAACGGTAAAAAAAACGTAAGAAAATTTATTAAATATAAAATTTGTAGGTAAAATGTTATAGTTTATGGAACATGAGTGTAGAATTTTTCAAAAGAAATTTTTTTATCGAGCTACAAATGTCAAAAATACGTAATTCTAAGGAATAAAATTATATGTTTTTAGCATAAAATAAAGAAGTTAAAAAATAAAGAAGTTACAAACCACCGATAGTACATTAAAGAGAGTTAAAATTGCAAGCTTTAAAGTGCTTCTTAAATTTTTTGTTTACGATAATTTTTTGCAAAAGTTTCAATGATGAAGTTTGAAAATAGCATATCTAATTTGCAGGATAAGAAAAGTATTCCCTATGTTTTTTTTAGTAGTGTGTGTGTGTGTGTGTGTGTTATATATATATGACACACACACACTACTAAAAAAAACATAGGGAATACTTTTCTTATCCTGCAAATTAGATATGCTATTTTCAAACTTCATCATTGAAACTTTTGCAAAAAATTATCGTCAATATATATATATATATATATTGACAATATTACCCAAGTAGCAAACTGACGTCATTAAACGTCAAAATAACGTCAGTTTGCTGCCTGCGGGTATGTGTATAAGTTGAACGAAAAAGCTGGAAAGAGATAAGAATCTCTTACTGTCGATAAATTGTGATCTTGTGCCAAGGGTATGAAGTTTTCTGTAGCCTTAATCAGCATCACTGGTCCTTTAATTTTTGCATCCGGAGAATAAATTGTAGCGGCCGCCAATCTTTTGAACAAAAGATATCCAGCAACTTTCAAATCCTCTTGATCGAACGGGGTCTCGCCTATTATTTCCAACATTTTGTCAAACATCTCCTCGTCCGACTTGCTCTGCTTCAGAATTATGTATGCCTGGAATGAAACGACGAATATGTATGCAGAGATTATAAAATAAATTATCATATTTTTGAAATTATCTGTAGCTTGAAAAATTATCCCTAATATTACATCCGAAAGATTCTGAGGATATCCAGAAGACATTCGAATATTCTCATGTTCTTTGAACGTCTTCGGGGATATGTGTGCTGTTAGGGTGATAAATAAAACTAATATAAAATTCATCGAATAACTAAATAAACTGAAGGATAATTGATCAAAAAAACTCACTTCAGAATAATTGACATTCTTGTTGAACTGAATGCTGAAATACGCGAGCGATTTCATGCAGCCGTCGGAGACGAGATAATTCGTCGTATCAATTTTGCCGATCATCTCGCTCTGTTGTCGCACATACTCCAGGGAACCATCTATCAGCTTCAAGCTGACCTTCTCCCGGCGGCTTCCAGCTGTAGAGTCATCTCGATGGCAAGACAAGCTCCAAACGAGTATCCCGCTAGGTGGTACGGTCCCTTTTCCTGAATATTCCTAATCTTGTTTATGTAGAATTCGGCCAGTTTCGGTATCGTGTCGTGCGGCGCGTGCTCGACGCTCTGTAGGCCCCAGAGCGGTCTCTCGAGCTCGTTGGCCATGTGCTCCAGTGGCTTCGTCAGACCTTCAATTGCGTGAACGATGAACAGCGGCGGTCCGTTCGCGCTCTTCGTCTTCAGCCGGACGAGAGCTTCCTTGGGCAGCACCTCGTTGCCCGGCCACTGCATTATCAGCATGTTGCTGGCGGCGTTCACGTCGGAGTTGTCGGCTGTCGATGATTGTTGCTGCTTGCTCGTCGCATCGGGACTCGACGTGGACAGCTCTTGCAATTTGGCGAACGTCAGGACGCGGATCTCTTGAGCCGACAACACGATGTCGTAGTTTCTCTCGAGAGTCTGCTTGATCTCCGTGCCCATCAGCGAGTCCATTCCCAGGTCGGCTAGACTGTTGCTGGGACTCACCGAGTTCACGTCCTTGACGCCTAAAATGTTGGCGATCGCTTCGATCAGACCGGCCTTGTTGTCGTTCGTGGATTTGTGCTTCTCGGCCAATACCGCGGAGGACAGCACCGGATGCGGTTGTTGCAGGAATACGTCTATAGTCGCGAGACAGCTCAACATGTGCTGCGGCATGGTACCGCCGACCTCGGTGTTGTTGTCTCCCATTTCTAAAAAAAGAATAACATTGTGTGAAGAACAGATTATAAAAGGCACCAAATGCGTAGGATTTTGATTTTTGGTGAAATTGGCTGTTTTTTTTCTTTATGTGTTGTAGCTAATGACTTGCTGAACGACAGATGTAATAGCCTCGAAGCTAAATATTCGATGGTTACTGCGAGTTACAACCAGCCAAACAACTCGCAAAGTCCTAATTTTTCGTGTTTAACTGATTGTAAGCACTTATTATTTTTTATTTAACAAATCATAAAAGTTACATGTGAGGAAATCAACTGATTCTACCGGGATTCAATTTCTAGGATTTTATATGAATTAAAAAATCCCGTACTAATCATATAAAATTGAATCTTTGTAAAATCAGCTGGTTTTCTCATATGTTATAGCTTATAATCTACTACTGAACAAAGTGATAGACTTAAAACTAAATAATAGATAGTTACTGATTTACAGTCAGTCAAATATACCAAAAACTTGGGCTCTGGTTTGACTGACTGTAATAACAATAACTCATTAATAGCTATCTAATATTTAGCTTTGAGGCTATTACATCTTTTGTTCAGCGGGACGTAAACTGTAACATATGAAAAAAACAACCAATTCCACCGAAAATCAAAATTCTATGTACTCGATGTAGGCGGGTCCTTTAACTCACAAATTGATTCTCTAAAACAATAATTCCTTAATTTGGTTTTTAAAAATTCAACTGGCGATCAGATCACGTTTTCCAATAATTTCTTACTTAATTTTTTAATTCTAGCCTTATTGTTTTCCTCAAAGAATCGTGCAATAATATCGCTATGTCGATAAATGTACTTTTTAAGATGAAATAACCTTAAATATAGATTTATAAAAATGAGGATCTAAGAAAAGCTTCAAAAAAAGACATTTACCCATGATTAGGCCAACGTCTCCAATGGCACCCCATTGAATGGCGAGACCAGGCAAACCATTAGCCTGTCTCTGCTCCATCATTCTCTCCATAGCCGAATTAGCGAGGCCGTAATTAGTCTGGCCCATGTTGCCGCGTCCGCATGCCACGGACGAGAACACGACGAAGTAGTCCAGCGACGGGCAGGATTTCCTCGAGACCGCGTCTAGATTTCTTGTACCCTCGATCTTCGGCAGGCTCGCCGTCTTGAAATCAGTCTCCGTCAGGTTCTCGATTAGCGCATCGCTTAGCACGGCCGCCAGATTGAAGATGCCGCCTACCGGAGCCAGTCGAGCGCTCTCCTGAATCAGGCGTTCGGTGCCCGGCAAGGTTGTCACGTCCGACGTGGAGATGAGGACCTTCACGCCGCTCTCGCGCCAGCGTCGCACGCACAGCGACTGATAGCCGTTGCGCATACCCGAGCGCGACACAAAGACGATGAATTTGGCGCCGCGGGCGACCATCCAGTTAGCCAGTTCCAGCCCGAAGCCACCCAGACCGCCCACTAATATATACGATTTCTCCGGATTCATGTAAGTACGAGGTATGGCGGCCACTATCTTCGGCGTAGGCGGGACGCGTCTCTTCGGCTCCTCGTCCCGAATTTTCAGCAACACCTTGCCGATGTGTTTGCCGGTCGCCATGAACCTGAATCCCTGCTCGAGTTGCTGCTCCGAGAAGACGGTCGAGGGCAGCGGGCGCACCGCGCCGCTCTTGATCCCCTCCGAGACGAGTCTCACCACTTCCTTCTTCTCCGCGGAATCGTTCCCGAATAGCGCGTCCAACAGTATACCATGGAAGGCCGTGTTCCTCAGGAACATGGACATCCCTACGCGGCTGTCGTTTGATAGATCGTACTTGCCGATCTCGAGGAAGCGACCGTTCAACGCGAGGCACCGTATGCCGGCCTGTAGCTTCTCCTCCGCCAGAGAGTTCAGCACCACGTCGACTCCGCGTCCCTGCGTTTCGGTGAGTATCAGCTGCTCGAAGCTCGTGTCTCGGGAGTTGCCGATGTGTCTGTCGGTCAACTGCGGAAAGGTCTTCTTCAGGTATTCCCTCTTCTCTTTCGTGCCGACAGTGGTGAAGACCGTGCAGCCGGCGTGCAGGGCAATGGCGATCGCGGCTTGACCGACGCCGCCTGTCCCGGCGTGAATCAGCACGCTCTCGCCGGCTTTCAGTTGACCCCGTACAAAGAGGGCGTAGTAGCTAGTTGCGTAAGCCACGGGTAACGTAGCCGCTTGCTCCATGGTCCACTTGTCGGGCACTTCCCAGAGAAAACCGAGGTCCGCCACTACGGTGGTCGCCAATCCCCTGGCTTCGACCATACCCATCACGCGACGTCCGGCCGTATCTCTCCCGGAAAACTCCAGCCCCAATATACAATCCTCCGTAGCCATTTTTCCTGGCAGAGCATCTGGTGGTAGCTTCCCGCTCGCCAGCATAATATCTCTGTCATGTAAAGGATATTTTATAAATATATTTTTTTCTGACAATCTTGTTTGTTACCAAGCGTTTTAATTTTTGTCGTTATCTGCGCTTAGTCCTCAACTTTAAGTTTCTCAAATCTTTTTAATTTTATATTTAATTTTTTAACGGAGCTTATTTGTTTTAAGATATTTTATTCATTTGTCGCCCTCGTCTTTGCGAGCGATTCAAGACAAACTGCGGAAACCTTACCTGAAGTTCAACGGAGCGTAGTATACGCTGCAGAGGGTCGTATTCGAAGAGTTATCGGGCCTGTAATAACTTAACGGACCTTCGATCCATCTCAAGCTACTCAAGTCTCCTCGTACCAGCGAGTTGACGTAGGCGTGCTCCACCTGGAGGGAAGACACGTTGTTCTGTTGATCCAATTGCAAGTGTCGGTAGCTACCCCACTGGCCCCCCTTCAACACGTTGGCCGTCAGTCCCTTGTCCAACTGTTCCGCGTAGAATTGCGCGGATAAACTGAATTTGGGAGCGTTCTTGTCCTGGATGAAGACGAAACGTGTGTTTTCACCGCTCGCCTCCTTTCGCAAACAAGTCATGAATCCGATTATACCTGCGAACAGAGAGAAGTGTTTTAAGAAGGGTTGTTCGAGTTCAAAATGCCAAGAAAAATCAGTGCCTGAAATCTAATTCTTCCTTGAAACTCACAGCCACGTTTGGCTTTTACTTGTTCGTTAGATTAAAAAAATTTATCTGCTTCCTAAAAGATCTCTTACCAAGTAATGGTTCGCCTTGGGACACAAGGAGCAGTTGGCCCTCGTTCTCGGACTTCTTCAGCGCCGCTTTCACGCCCTCCAGCCACGAGAAGGATTTCTCCGTGATCTGTATTACAGTCGGTTCTTCCTTCTTCTTCAACTTTTGCAGCAACAGATAAGTCTTTCCTATGGCATCGGTCTGTTTCGCGATCAATATCATATTCGCTTGCTTCAGTGCAACTTTCAAATTTAATTGCGCGGCGGTTTCCTCCAGAAGAATGAAGCCGTCGGGTTTCAAAGCGGCCGCCAGATTTTTGAGAATACCGTAAGACTGGTTCGACAAAACATCCGTCGCTATTACAAAGTGCATGTCTTGACCAGGTGGTCCGTCGTTCACATCTCGCGTCACGACGTCGACGTTTATTTGGCCGCAGACTGTTGCGTAATTAGCGGGAGAAACGGCGACCACTTGTATGCTGAGCTGAAACAATGAAAAGTTTTTTTTTGTGAAACAAATATGGCGTTGTCATGATAAATAAATGTTGATCAGCAATGCTTCTTAGTTTCGAGTTTACAGGAAATATGGCAATCAACACCCTAATAGCATAACATATCCGAAAAATATTCAGAGGATATCCAGAGGATACCCAGAAGACATTCGAACATCTTCAGGATATTCTCTGAACCGAGATATGTGTGCTGTTAGGGCAAGAGGTTTTTCTGGGGTAATATGTGGCCTCGCATGCGAAGAATCCCTAGTTTGAATTCGGTTTGAGCCAACACATCACATATTCCTGCTTGGAAAAATTGTAAACCCTTAGGGAATACAATAAAGCAACTATAGCCACTTTAGCCTAACAAAAGGTTTTTCCGCGTCAGCTAAGCCTCTGTTGAAATTATAACAATGTAATTCGCATTAAAGTCCCGCGATATATACTTACATCGGGCAAGCTCGGTTGAGAATTGTTAAAGTCGATCACTAATGGTGCCAAGAGAGCCTCCGCGGCTCGTTCACCCGCGATCTCCAGGGTCTTAAGCTTCAACGCCGTCGAGTTTTCGCACACGATCTGCAACATCGCGGTCACGGCGTGCAATTTACTCCTTTCTGGATCCTCTGCTAAACTGTGCGAGTTCTCATAGGGTATGAAGATATATCGCTCGAGTTTAGGAGAAGCCTGAGTTTGCTGTCGTCGTGGGGCCAAGGAGGACTTCAATCCCCTGAGTTCGATGCCGCCAGATTTGACGATATTGACATTCTTGTAGTGATATACCGGTAATGTGCCGTTTTCTGGCAGCTCGTCCGTCAAGCGTTTGTGAAGAACCGGATTAATCGCGGCGTATTGAAGACGCGACGGTAGATACAGCAGCTTGTGACTGGTGGATAATATGCTGAACTGTAGCATGGTGTCTATATACGAGACCCATTCGTTGACCCAACGAAGCTCGCCAGCGGTGCCGTAGTTATCGGAAGTCTTGATCCCTTGGAAGATACCGCTATATTCATATCCGCGCAGCCTCAACTCCTTGTAAACATCCTTGGTGTTCAGCGGTAAGACGTCCTTGTTGTCGACAGGCGGAATGGATGGCGGTGATAGCTTCAGCTGCTCCCGCTCGATATCTTCGGATACCCGGATCCTTCCACTGACGGCGACTGTGCCGGCTTCGCAGATCTCGAAATCGCCCGTTCCCTCGAAGATGGTTATCGAAAATTTCACGATTCCCTCCTTCGGCATGATGGTGGCGCGTTGGAAGCGTACGTTCTCAAAGATGACTGGCAGTAATTCGAAGTCGGTACCGCGCAGTTTTGCCAAAGTCTTCCACACCAGTAGAAGATAACCGGTGGCTGGGAAAAGGATTCGCCCATCTATCTGATGTCCCGCCAAAAAAGCGTCCAACTCCTTCGATAGATCCACCTGTACGACGCATTCGCCCGATTGGGCAGAGGTTTGCTTGAAAGAGGCTACTTCCCAGGTGGTGGAGTGGTCCCACTTGATCAGGGACCCGATCATCGGGGTTCCGCGACCGACGGGGAAGCTCACCGGTGAGTACAGCTTGGAGATGTCGGGCTGAGCACCGGCCGTGTACAATTTACCTATGCTGGACAGCAGAAAGACCAGATTGTTGGAGTGATCCCGCTTGTGGAGGCCGATATTGATCACCGTCGGTGCCAGCGATCTGCGCAGGATCGCCTGTAGCAGGCAGTGTGGCGCGATTTCGATCGTTACCGCGTTCTCCGGGATATGCGCGATCGCTTCCTGGAAAAGGACGGGCGACAGTAAATTGTTGACGTGATACGCGGACGAGCTGAGCTGCGCGAGCGGGCTGCCCCACGCGGCTTCCGGTATGGAGCTCGAGATCCATCTGGCAGATCTCTGTTTTGGACTGGGTATAATCTTGTCGAGGGAGGCGCGGAGTTTGGTGCCAGCCGGGGCGATGTATTTGCTGTGGAACGCAACGCCGGAGCTCTTGACCATCTTGGCGAAGATGTCCTTGCTCTTCAATTCTTCCACAAATTTCTTCATAGATGCAGGTGGCCCGGAAATGGTGACCGAGTCCACGGAATTGTGACAGGCCGGAGTGATATCGGACGGACACATCTTTTTGGCGTCTTCCCAGCTCAAACCGACCGCCGCCATGGAGCCCGGGTTCAGTTTGGAGTCCATGATCGACTTGCCTCGGCAGTAAGCCGCCAAAACAGTCTGTTCCGGTGTAAACGCGCCATCGGCGTAGGCGCAACCCAACTCTCCGACGGAATGTCCAACTATGCCATCCGGGTGTACGTTTATCGACGCGAGTACGTCGACGAGGGCGACCTGCATAGCGGCGATCGACACGAAGGAGTCTATTACGTTCTCGTAGGTCTCGTCCGTAGCGTTCATGATAATATTCATGAGATCGATGCCGTGGGGTTTCAATGCCTCCGCGCATCGTCGCAAGCTACGTTGAAAGGTCTCGATACCGAGCAGCTCGCGACCCATGCCGGCCCATTGGGTGCCCATACCAGAAAATACAAACCAAATGGGACGTTTCTCTTGATTGCTCACTTCGGTCATTTCCCGGGTATCGTTGACATTTAGGATCTCGTAGCCGCGCATCTTGTGACCCGGTATATCGTGATTGTGCACAGCGTGCAACAATGAGAGAAACTCGTCGTCCTTTCGATACTCCCTCGCCTTGTCCAGCAATGTGTGCACGGCTTCCTCCGTGCGACCCGACACGGCGACCAGTTTGGATAGCAGTTCGGTGGTGTCCAGCGGTAGTGGGGGTAATTTCGGTTTTGGATTGCTACGTAGAACGATGTGCGCGTTCGCGCCACCAAAGCCGAATGAATTGATGCCTACGATGCCGCCGTTCCATGGCATGGCCTTGTCGACGACCCGGATGCGTCCCTCCTTCAAAGCGGGAATATCCGGATTCGGTGTGTCGAAATGCAAGTTGGGGGGGATGACGCCCGCTTCCATCGCGATCAGCACCTTGGCGATCGAACAGATCCCGCTGGCGGGTTCCGCGTGTCCCATGTTACTCTTGACCGAGCCAAGCAGTAACGGAGTCTTCCTGTTCTTGCAGAACAGCTTGTCGACGGAGTTGATCTCCTCCGGGTCGCCCACTTTGGTACCGGTACCGTGTGCCTCCACGTAAACTACGTCCGCCGGGTTGATCCCGGCCTCGTTGTACACCTCGCGCATCAATTGATTCTGCATTTCGCCGTTCGGATACGTGATACCCTGGGATTTGTGGCCGTCGGTGTTCGTTTTCGTGTGAAGTACCGTGGCATACACCCTATGCGCGTCCTTCGCCTTCTGTAAGTATATCGCTGCCACTGCCTCAGCCCTGACGTAACCATTGCCCGTGACGTCGAACGCTTTGCACTTGCCGTCCTGCGACAACATGTTCAATCTGTGGAACTGAAGCGCGTTCGCTGGCTTCAACAACAGATTCATCCCGCCCACGATCGCGGCGTCGCACTCGCCGGCGCGCATTGCGGCGACTGCCTGATGCATGCCAAACATGGCCGAGGAGCAGGCCGTGTCCATCGCGTAACTAGGTCCGGTGAAGTCAAACGCGAAAGAGATTCTGTTGGCGAACATCGCTCTGCAACATCCGACCAATCCGTATCCTGCAAACGGAATACAAATTTCTCAGTTTACCTTTCAGATTAAATGTATATTGAATGTTTTTCAGTAACGTGCAGACAACATTATGCAACACAAGAAGCTTTCCAACAAGAAAACATAGATATACATAGTGTAATGCAATTGACTATCGAATAAAGAGTCTTAAGAGATGATTTAGGGAGATTAGGTTAGTCAAAGTAGGAATTCCTGTTATTAGGATAGTTCGGGAAAGGAATGGAAAGCGTGTTAGTGGCGAGACAAAAAAAGTGATTAAAATAATACTTCTTTTATGATCTTGTTTATAGGAGCTTCCCAGCAAGTAAACGTAAATGACACAATGTGATGCAATTGGCTATCGAATGGAGAATTTTTAAAGTCTTGAAAATTGTTTCATTTGATAGCCAATAATCGTGCGACGTTGTGTTTATGTGTTCCTTGCTGGAAAACTCACAACTACTACCCCACCAACACATTAACGTTACGTAAACGTTTAACAAACGTTTTATCGTTTGTTAATCTACAATACAAATGGTTTGTTCCTTTAAGGATGAGAACGTCCGTGCAGAACAGTAAAAATCCAAAAACTTGTATCAGTCGAAAAATTGTGAGCCTTCATATTTTTTAGTGCGCAGAGAATATTGATGTACTCAATTAAATTTGCAATCTTTTAAAACTCTATTGAATAAGCCTCAATAATGAATGGTAAAAGTATTATACTTAATGTTTGACTAGATGGACATTCACATGTTTTAAGTTAAGGTTCAAACATTCCTGAAACGCTTATATAACGTTAATGTGTTGGTGGGGTACTGCTTTTCAACTATGACACAAAGTTTGGTGTCATTTTGGATGGATACCAATATTTTTACATTTGGTATCATTTTTCTTCATAAAATGATATTCCAATAAAAAAAAAACTTCAAATTTTAGAAAGCTACTAAAGTGACTGCCCTCTAGTAATGAGAATAAAAAATCTAAGCAACGTTCCAGCTACAAATTGACACAATGTGGGACTATATTTCGTTGCTGTAAAACATCCGTTATGTGTCCTCTAAGCTTTTGAGAAGCTCCTAATGACATTTTCCAACTTTGTTCGACTTTAGATGAAAAAAAAAAATTGAAGTCAACCTGCGAAATATACAAACCGTTAATGAGATCCGGATCTTTCGTCCAAAAGTCGTCCGATTCGGAGGAAGAGACGCCAATGAACACACCGGTGCGGGATCCTCTCACGGTTGAGGGGTGATGCCGGCATCAACTATCGCCTCGTGCGTGATTTCCAGCAACATACGAAGCTGCGGATCCATCACGTGCGCTTGCTTGGGGTGCACCCCGAAGAAGGAGGCGTCGAATGAAGCGAGATCCTTGATCTTGGCGGATCTTCGCGGTAGTCCGTAGATGCCCGCTATCCAACGACGCTCGTCGTCGCTAACCATGTCTAACCCTTTGAGCAGATTCTCTTTGAACTCCTCGATGTTTGACGATTCGGGTAAACGACCTGGAAAAATGTCGACGTGTTACGCTCCGCTAACGCGATTACTCCATTCGATCGTACCCAGCAAGCCTGTCGTTACCTGAAATGCCCGTAATGACGATGTCACTGTCGATGGAATACGGCACTCCATTTGTGACCACGGGCTCCCGCGTCACCGGGCTGTTGATACTTTCAAACTGTGCTGGCATCTTGCCGAGGGGTTCGTTCCTTTACGTAGGATTGCCTTTTACGTCTTTAAAAGTCACTATCTGCAAATTTAAATAGGGTCTGTAGAACCGATTGAAGTCTCTCTTCGAGAATTATGTGAGAACGAAGCATTAGACACACAAAATATTTGAACAACTGATAGAACTTCTTTAAAGGAATCCGATAGCCCACATTTGCTAATTAACCAGTTATGAGGACTAGATCTGTTTTATTAAATATTATTTTTATTTAACTCTTTATGGCTATACAGAACGAAAAATCCTTTACTAGAATTAAAGTATTCATAAAAACAAATCGGGGACTACTACATGTATATATAAAAAAAAACAATAAAGCTAAATAAATTTTTCTATCGGTTTTTTGCATTGGGTAGATCTAACTTAAACGATAAGAAAACTAATTATTTAACTGTCTTGGTTTCTTTTTATATACACATATAATAGCCCAGATTTATTATTGTGAATACTTTAATTCTAGTAAAAGATTTTTCATTCTGTGTAGTCAATAAAGAGTTAAATAAAAATATTTGTTGATAAAACAGACCTAATCCTCTTAAAAAACAAACCAGAGAATTTCTGATAAATTTGATTTATTAGTGTTGAAAAAAAAGATGAAAACTGACGTGAGAATACCTTTAAATCTCCTCTTTCAATGAGTTTAAAGAAGAATTTTGTATCATGTTAATTGTCGAAATCCTATTCTCGTGAATAAACAGAGAGATCGTTTACGCGTTTCTATCACAACGAAATCTGAACTCGCACTGCTTCTTCGTTCAGCAGTTCTCTTTGTATACGTTCGCTCTGCAAGCAATTACCTTCAATTGACATATAGCATAGTTAATTGAGTAATCTCAATTGAGTAGTTTCACTTGGATAAACCAATTTTGCAATGCTTGTTCGCGTGCGCGAGGACGTTTTTTCTCTCTCTTTTTCGCGATAAACATGTAATATTGACGAACGATAATCCGTGTTCTGGAATTACTAATTATCTTTATCTTTGTGTTAATTCTTTTCTAAATTTTATATGTTACTTAAGAATTCTAGGTACTTGTGCTACCATGTTAGATTATGACGTCAGAGGCGAGAAAATGTACACTGAAAATTCTTGCGTGCCATATTTTTAAATAAAAAAGATATTTTGAAGAAACACAACTTTGTCATATTTAATTTATAAAAGTACTATAGTTCAAAATGAGGTGTCTTGTTAGACTGTTGGTTTTCTCTTTTTATAATATTTTCAATTTAAAAAAAAAACTGTTAAAACTGTGAGAAGAAGCGACATAAATGCTTATGGATATTAAGAATTTCTCGCTTAAAAACGAAGAAATAATTTACGAGATCCAACTAACATCATAAGATCACATCACGGCGAATACTTTTATAAATTAAATATGACAAATTGTAACACGCATAAATTTCTTATAAATTCTCGACTCAAAGTAACGGACTATTAGTAATTTTAAGAATATTATGATTTATTTTTTTGTAAGAGTTATAAAGTACTTAACATTGTTATACTGAGGAAGACCGCGTGCGGTTGAAACGTTTATGGAAGGTTTTTTGTAATTTTAATATATTGTTTATGGAATAAATTTTAATTGGATACATCTTAAATCTTGCTCGATAAGTTGGCCTTTTTTGAATACATTTGTTGTTTTATACAATACACGAGCAAATAGAAATTTTAATTGATATTAAAATTTTAACATTTTTATAGCAAAAATGTATTTAGAATGAATATATTTATTATATTTTTTCCTCTAAATCGCCTCTAATGTTAGATTGACGTCAGAAGCGAGAAAGCAAACACTGAAAATTCTTAGATGCCATTTTTAAATATAAAAATATTTCGATGAAATGCTATTTCAGATGGTTTAAGTAAACTTTTAAAATATCTCGAAAACTATTCTTTTCTCTTGACAATCAACCGTAAAATGATCGTGATTTCAGATTTTATCGAAATAACTGCTCATGTGCAAAGACCAACTGAGCCTCATATTACAGTCATTTTACAGTTGTCGATTGATTATATAGGGAACAAGATAGTTTTCGGAATATTTTAAAAGTATACTAAAACCATCCGAAGTAATGTTTCATCGAAATATCTTTTTATTTAAAAATGGCACGCAAGAATTTTTAATATATGTTTTCTTGTTTCTGACATCACAATTCTCACATGGCGTCAGTGAGGGCTCAGAAGCCTTAAAGCGCACTAAAAGTTCTTGATAAATATTCAAATTTCTTGTCGTATTATATTATTTATTGAAAAGAGAAAGAAAATAATAAACATTTTTTAAAATGAAGAATATGGATTACAAATTGATTTTGATTGGCAAAAATGTTGGACCATAAATCTGCGTTTTACAAATAACGCTTTATCTCGGAAAGTGTTTTTAGCTCACAATCAGCTTTAACTAGTTTTTATTTTTACCCTGTGCGCAAAAAGAATAATAAAAGTATATGTGATGGTTGAGGATTTTCAATCCTCATGCATTTCAATAACCACAAGAGAAAAACAAATTATCGTGCTAATTAACACGAGATGTTATCATAAAGCAAAAATTGCGTATTTCGAATACTTTCAAATATATATGTGTGTGTGCATGAAAAAAATAAATTAACGAAGGAACATGTTGGGAATATTAATATCTTACACTTTATAAGATATATTTTATATCTTGCCAGTGTCAGAAAAATATGATATAAAATATCTCGTAAGATAAATTTTTATTTCTCGATAATCTTATCTCGATACTTTTTTGCGCATAATTCGAGAATAATGAAATATCTAAATACCGAGATATGTATATCCAATCAGAAACGTACGTTCTCAAACGTGCTATTTCGAAAAATTGCGATATTGCAATATGCGATAAAACGTTAACGACGATCACGAAATTCGTCATATTCGTCGCATGATAGAGAGAAATCTTATTTCATCTTACATTATCGACGCGATACCAGGTTTCGGTAGCCGAGAAAAATCACGTGTATATGTAAATTCGCGCAAAAATTCCTCGATACTCAATCATTATCATATCGCTCGACAATTTGTCTCAATCTTTTCCTTCCTTTTACCTCGTAACTTATTTTAGCATATTATTTAATCATTCTTATTTTTGACACGTGTCACTGTAAAAAATCGATGGCTTATTCGTTCATCGATCCCGCGACAAGAGCTGAAGATAATTTAGACATTTATCGCGGAAAAAAGTTAAGAAATATTTTTCGATGTAAAATAATTTATTGAGTCGACACGTGCGCCAAAGTTCGTTCGAGGCACGATGGGAGGAAAAAAACGAAATTTATGCGCAAAATTTATGCACGAAATTTATTGTCCCGCGGTGTAAAAAAATTTTACAGTCAATCACCCGACATTACATCACAAAAGTTTTTCAAGTCAAAAGGTCGCGGACTGTATAATAAAATATATGTATACGTCATTGCGCGCTTAACCGCGAATTGAATTTCGTGTCGCGCGATTTTTTATTACGCCACGCTTTACATTCATGCATCTGCTAATTACATATATGTACATATGGTACATACATATCACACGTATGATAATTCGACGGCGAAATATATTTGGCAACGTCGAATAAATTTCTTTCACGTCAGAGAGGTCGTTTTCCCCGACGCATTTCGCTAAATGATATGGCTTCATTTGTATACACGTATATATACAATACATAGTATGTGGGTGAATAATGCGTCGACCTTGAAAACATAAAGATGTATACGGTGACATTACGTCTGCCACATGTGCATGGCACGAGCCCATCTCGTGGAGTAGCCGCAAGTAAATAAAGTCTGCCTTTTTACTTATTTGTGCCTCTTCCGGGTCTCTTTATACATATGTATATATTGTTATAATGTACACTTACAAAATCTTTTCTTTATTTATTTAATTATCTATTTTTTTTCAAATAATATTTATAAATTTTTTTATTAATTATTTTATTTTATTTTTTATTTTATTTTTTATTGATTATTTATTCATTAATTCGACAAAGGAAGATTAAGAAAAAATAATCTTTTCCTTAATTATATTACTTATTTTTTTTAAATAAATATTTATTAATATTTTTATTAATTATTTATTCATTAATTCGACAAAGGAAGATCAAGAAATACCAGAAAAAAATCGTTTTCTTATTTATTTATTTTTCTTTAAATAAATATTTATTAATTTTTTTATTAATTATTAAATCTTATTTTTATTTTATTTTTATTATTTATTCATTAATTCGACAAGGGAAGATCAAGAAATACCAGACGATCTATACATTATTTTGTTTTATAATCTTTGGAAAAATTTGCACCGGCAAGAATATTTCGCAACTTCCTCTCATTCGTTTTTTGGTTACATTAATGTTTAAATTCAATCTCTCCGAGAGATCGCGCGGATCAAATCAGATCAGGTCACAAGTCAGAGCTGTCAGGTCAGGTGCGTCTGACATAGAGACTACTTGCGTGTTATATATTAAGACGTTATGACTAAGCAATACATGAGCAAAGCATGGTCGAATCTTTGCACTTGATATTTCCGGTTTGTCCTTGAACAAGTACGAACGCGGTTTTTTCTTCTTTCGAAACATAATTTTTGTGTCCACGTGACACCAAAATTAACCGCACGGCCAAATCTTTGGATTTGACACCATGAAGATTATTATACATAGCAAGAAGATTTTTACATAACTAAAGATTTTATACACTTTCAGATTCAACCGTCACATATACTTTTATTATTCTTTTTGCGCACGGGATAAAAATAAAAACTAGTTGAAGCTGAGCTAAAAACACTTTCTGAGATGAAGCGTTATTTGTAAAACGCAGATTTATGGTCCAACACATTTTTGCCAATCAAAACAATTTGTAATCCATATTCTTCATTTAAAAAAATGTTTATTACTTTCTTTCTCTTTTCAATAAATAATATATATAATACGACAAGAAATTTGAATATTTATCAAGAACTTTTAGTGCGTTTAATTTTGTATTCAACAATTTCTTAACATTTAAAAATAATTTAATAATAAGGT